ACGATACTGAATTGATTCTATAAAATTCTGCTAATTTTTACTGGAACACACAGTGCGTCATAAATTGCTGCCGCTTTGTCTCAAAATTATGCAAATGATCTGCCTAATGTATATTGTGAAAGGCCAAGAAAAAAATCGTGGGAAGTCGCACACACCAAGGTCAACAGGAAGATGGGCATTATGACAAGATGGCATGGTCATCTTCTACACCAACAAGCAAGCATACAATCACTAGACATAACAGGGAACTTCTTTTAAATTTGCAGCCTTTCACAGAGTAAACATATTAGGTATATATTGAAGCATTTGCTAGAATTAAACCACATTTACGAGAAACACAAATAAAGTGTCAGACATGGGCTATTTTTGGAATCAATCCATCAAACTATGAATGGCCTAACAGCGTAAAGCATTTTTCATTAGGGGAGTCATTTCATGGCAAATACTGATTATCATATAGTCTGGCTCGTTAGCAGTAATTTACATTATTTTTTAAATGACCATTCATTCCCCATGAAATTTAAGTATTTACCAAACTAAGAAACACCAATGAGGTTTACATCATGAAAAGCAGGCGTCATTATCAATGTATCAAACAACTTCTATCTCCCGCAGACATCTTTAACCACAATGCCTTATGTAACTCTAATGACCTCTGTCTTCCCCAATCAGCACTCAAGATCAAGTCAATGAATTATCATGTAGTGTGTTTCTCAGATATTGAAGTGCTACAGCTATCTGGCTCTTATCAAACAGCTATAAACCACAGAAGAAATAAACAATATTTCTTATAATTCTTCAGCCTGTTTGTGTTCGATCTATGGAAAGTCACGAGACCTGCATCCAATGCTAATGAGTTGGTCTCGTGATGTTTGGAACATTACATTGCCACACACAATGTTCCCATGGTATTTCATAGAATATAACATAAAGCCATAACATAATGTGTCATAAGTGCCAAAGTGCAAGAGGTCAGACAATATAACAGGAACTAGTTATGAAAACCGGAAACATATTATTTCATTTCTCATATTTTAGAAAATCCAAACCAAATGCGGGCGATTGCTCCTAAAGCTTAAAGCATTACTCAGCCAAATTATCATCATCCAACATTTAAACATTGCTAGGTTTAGAAGATGGTTGTATATAATTAACATCATCAGACTGCATTGAATCAAATTCGGCGAACAAATATATTGAGTGACATGCTTTAAGCAGCATGCGAACAAGAATCATGCTTTTACACTTTCTTTTTAACACGGATACTGCCTATCTATGGCCGCAACATGTGAATCAATCAAAACAGAGCATTACTGCATTCTTTGTAATGATTAGGGATGCAGTTAAATATTGTCTGAAGCATTATTGAACTGCGGAATGATCAGTTCGGAGGCTTTGTTATAAATATTTTGAATGAAAGCAATATATGGGGATCTGATATACATTATTAATAAGCATAATATAGCTGTCTAGTGTAAACAAAAATTATCTTTCGTTTTAAAATACACAGCTGCTGTAACAAAGACTAAATGAGTACATAGAAAATAAAATAAACTGCTTCAAACTACGACACTATGGACAAGCATGACTACACATTTTGGTAGAGCGTAAAAATCCTTGAAATAACATAAAGAATGAAAAAATCTTGTGTGTGTGTGTGCATGTATGTATGTGAATAATCTTGCAAGTATTGAAATCTTGATAGGATCAGTGTATCAGATTGGGGGAAGCCTATGAGAAACCCTTGACGGCCGTGGTTGGTCTGAACTGGATGTTTTCAAATCTACACACTGAGGAGATAAAATATTTAATAATTACTGAATATTTGATTTCATATAAAGTAAAGAAAAACCTTCTCATTTTGACCTACAACTTGCAGTCACGTTTTTTTAGCAAATTTAAAAAAAGAGACATCTGCGGCAGACTCTATCATCGGCGGCATCATTTTGCGGCAATTACGAGAAATCCTAATTATGAGAAATTCTCGCAGCATGATGGACTGCAGCCAATCTGATACGGAGCGACATACATTCAGAAATCTACATCTGAGACAATGCTGTAAAGTGGAGCGATAAAAAATTATCGACATAAGTGTCCAAAGAATCAGTGGCTGGCCTGTGTAATTATGCTCTAAAGCACATCTATTACTGGAATAGATTAATGATATGAAAATAAGATAGCTAAGTAAGACATAAATTAGTTAAAAGAAAAATGTGAAAAAATTTAAGCCACTTTTATAGCTATGCCTTTTCAATATACCTTGCGATCGGTCGGTCGATATACAAACACAAGACTGAAATTTCATGTCTTAGTAAATATTTTTCTCAGTCGTCGACTGCTCTCGTTAAGAGTACGCAAATTATTCTTAGAAAGGCAAAACAACACATACTTTATACTTAATGTCAAGATATGTTGTAATCTGGGTGCCTTCAGCCATTATAATCTCCCTGTTATCCATAAATACATTATTTGGGTTGTAATATTCCATTGAAAGATGTTTCATGTTTCCTTGTTTAAACATTTATTTGAATGACGGTCTTTCAAATGTCAACCTGCATTTTTGAACAGGTATTTCTCTTTATTCAAATTAGTATTATAAACTGAGAAACATAATAAAGCCTAATATATTCCTTTTAAAAATGATAAATATAATACCCAGGTAGTTACAGGACTTAGTTTCTCAAGTCATAATATCAACATTCTGGAAAACTTCCGATCAAAATTAAATTCTTAATCTCAGTGCTTTGTTTGACAAATTATCCAAAGATATATAAAGAAATGTAGAGGTATAAATATAGATGGCATTAGAAACACTGTGTTTCGATGAAGACACTACATGAACTTGTATTTGAAATATATTCAAAGAGGACAATGTAGAAAACAAGAAGCTAAACTGGGCAGGTGTCTATTCATATATCTAAACAAAAAGGCACTGCAAGGTTCCGAAAAAGTCGGCCATGTGCGAAGTGGCAAACTTTGATATCTTTTAAAGCCCTAGCTAGGAGCAGTTTACCATATAAGGCGCATAAGTATAATTTCAACCTTCAAACCTTTTCAAGGACAGTAGAAGTCCAATATCCTATTTCAAAATTCTCCGACATTTCTGTTTTGTTATTTGACCCAAAGGGTTAGTCTGCGTTTTAAATTCCAAAACACAATTAGCATTCTCGGATGGCAGGTCAATTAATTAAAACAAGGAAATGAATTTTACATTGTTAAAAGCAAGAAACCTAGCTTAACAAGTGGTTTTAAAAACTGACTTCAAAAAAAGAACCTTTCAAATGAAGAAGAAGAAGTAAACCTGACACAAATTCCATATTATGGATTACGGATTACCAACTTAATTTTATGTTAACCTTAACATAGCCTTTCGAGAACCGATATACAAGGAGTTAAGTTCATGTAAAAAAACTTTAAATAGGACCATCTTAGAAACTTGAGAAAGGAAATGAAATAATCCTTATGACAGCTGAATCAATATCAGATCTCAGCTGGTTTCTAAAAAATGCGAGGAATGCCTAGATCTAATAATGGGTCATTTCTTTCGTATAATTTTTACTGAATGACACAATCAAGAACAAACAGTAAGCTTAAAATTAAATCCCTAAAATTCATATCTCCTACTCGAATTTCAATTGCAGGAAACCAGAGCTGGATAAACATGGCATTAATCTAGCATAAAGGAACAAGTACCCTAGCAGGCGGAATTCGCGGAAATTCGTTGAAACAGGAACTTGTGCGATTCTCGGACACTGACATTTCAATATCCTCGATGTCTAAAGCGCAAGGTCGCCCATTCGCTGATTAGTGGTCAAACCGGAAAGCGAAGTAGGTGGGGAATGAGGCCGGGATGTATGTTCAAGAAACGCCGGGAAATCCGAGAATTTTCCAAATTTGATAATGCGATAGGAGACGATATGCTTTGCCCAAACACATATCAGAATAAACTTCTGCTACCTGATTTTAGCATCAATGAAAGGCAATAAATATTTAAGTAGCCATTGCATAGGTTTCTTGTTATGATAAAAGAAAAATGATCTATGTTTAGATTGCCTCTAGGAATTCACTAATATAATAGTTCTAGAATTTAAGGCTTGAGGTGAAATATTGCTACAAGGTTCATGTTTCGGTGTTGTTTCATTGAAAAAGCGTTTTTGCTTAAAAAGCAAGGGTGAGGGCAAACGTATGCTTCAGTTAATTACAATGAGCCACCCGCAAAAAGCTTTGGCCATTTGTACAGGTATTTTGCACAAATTTTAGTTAATTATCACGCACGAACGTGCTGTAAAATTGCCTTCGAGCATTCATGTGAAGCTTTAGAGATAAAATCAAGTGCTTTTTCATTACGAATTTGCTGAAAGCCTCTTCCTTTTGTCGTGTGTTTTTTTTCCGTTCTTGCCAAGACCAATTTCAAATTTTAAGCAAATTTAAAGTACCATTTCATTGTGAGCACAAACAGCTGGTATAAAAACGTATTACACGCAAGCTGAAAAGCCGCTTTTAGAAGAGCATTTACTTTATGCTATGTTACAGCACACTTGGCTCTGTTTAAGTGAAAATCATTGGTCCATTTCAAAATATGCTTTGTATCTACGCCGCCATATCGAGTACAACCCGTTGCACGATATGTCTTAATATCGTGATGGGGAACTTTTCACCTAAACTTAAAACGGTTTACGATTACAATATGTTCGCGTTGTGAATGCCAACCTCGCTAATAAATGTTGCCTTTTGTAAACAGCTCCGAACAAAGGCGCATATCGATGCTTAAATGTGCATTTTTTAATAAAATTTTGTGGGGAGTATCTATGCTGTTTGAAATTCGTAACACAACAGCCACTTTCCAAAAGCGAGTGCCTTTTAATTACGCTTCGCACTAAAATCGCAAAAGGTTATTTCAAATCGCAGGCATTATTAGTTTAAAGTGCAATTCGTGGGCAATTTTACGCAACACTTCAACAACCCTGTATAAACACCAACGTGAATAGTCGAAATCCTACCTTAACTGGACTTTGATTTTCTCCATAGCCATGACTTGCAGAGACTCCAGCGCGTTCTGGGGAATTTGATGGCGAACTTCCAGTATTTTCCGATAAAGATCCCGTGTAGGAAAGCCTTCTACCGTCGACCTTAGGAGCTATGTGTACATACGAGATCTTATTTCCATCTGTAGTCGCAATGCATGTGCTGGGTTGTTGAACTGCCAACATACTCGCTCTTTCGTAGGCAAAAGAGAGATGCGGTTCACCTTCGCTCGCCCTGCTACGGCTGTTCGAGCTTTCAGACGTCTCCCCAGATTGTTTCTGACTCCAAACGTTTTGTATTACCGGCTCGAAGTTGTCGTTTGTTTCGCCATTTGTGTTCGCGTATTGGAACTCGGTACGCGATACAATTTCGTTCGCTTGCATATCCAAAATATCCGTAGTTAGTATTCAAATTCTCTTCGTGATATTCGCCTCGATTTTACAGCAATATGACACGACCTAATGTAGCAATGTGTTCGCAGAATATCCACGATGTTGCTTGACTCATTAGTAAAAATAAATACTAACAAATATCTTTTCTAAAAATCGTGTCTTCCTTTATAATACAGCGAATCACCATATTGACACCGAAAGGCGAATTCTAAGATTATTGGCCTCTTCGAACCCTTAAACCCCGGGGGACTGGGAAACCGTACCGGCATGCCTTGCGGCCGACTCGAGTGCTCGGCACGCATGCACAAACGGGGACTTTAAACCCCTCCCATACCCACGCACGCGAAACCCCACGCCCCATGGTTTGTTAGCGAAAGTGTGCAAAGATTCTGATGCGGTATGAAGGCGTTCTAATGCCGTTCTAATTCCAACCGCCGCAGGTCAAATTTTATACCCGAAACCTTAATCAAATATTATCCGTATAATTACATAACAACAGCTGTGAGTTTCTAGCATAGAAACCCGATTCTAGGATTCTCAAAAATCGTTTTGTTAAATGCACTATTTTCGCTTTTAATTTCTCCTTACTGAGAAGATTTAGCAAAGACGACGCTCTTATTATTAATGGCGTGGCAAGTTTCACTAATCCAATGGACTAATTAAATCCGAATCTTGTTGTCATTCATGAGCTTCCAGTAGCGTTGCCTGGCGACAACCTGTACACGTCATACGCCACATGAATCTTTACTGAGACCACAACATAAACTACGTTGCAAATTTAGGTTTTTTAGCCCGGATCTAGGAGGAATGAATTAGGGAGAATAGTGATCGGTTTCAATAAAATTTCTCTGGAAAATTTATCAAGTCACGGACTGAATGCTGTTGAAGCGTTTCACTATTAATGGTTCCACCCGCATGGGCAAAAAAAATGATATGAATGTGACTCACAAAAAAGCAATCCCCATGAAATTGGCTCATATAGTTATCATAAGATACTTTTCGAAAAAATATGATTAGAAAGATTTGAGCTGTTCAGTTTAAACACTAATATATTGCGCTACTCAAAGACATAGAAGTTCAAATAATGCATGTGGCATTGACCTTGTTTTAAAAAGTTATTGTATTGGGGCTAACCTGTTCAAGCCCGCAAACGGCAATCATCTGAATGGTTGAGTTGATGAAAGAACGAGTCGTTCATCATTCACACGATCCAGATTTTTTGGATCAAATTCACTTCTGACGGATGTTTAATAGTTTGTTAAATTGCAATGCATATGGGCAAGAAATTTGCAGCTATTTGTAGCTTGGCAAGAGTTTCAAGTTGCGACAAACTAAGAATTCGCGCAATTTTACGGGTATCAGTTTCCTATACGAGTCATGTCCTATTGTCCGGCAACTTGTTTTCTTGTAACGCATAAAACGGAACTTACACAGGATTTCATCTTTCAACAGTATTGGTTTTCCTAGTTTATCAACGGTACGGGTATATTTCTAAGTACCTAATACTCAAAACTACGTGATTTGGTCCGATATCTCAAAAGAAGGCGAGAGTTCCACCAACAGCAATCCATTCTTTATGTGTCTAGACGATAAGGAACACGTTTCATCAAGAAACACAATGCATAAATTTAAATTCAAGTTTCGGTTCATTCACTTTGTAATAGCTACTGCATGAGAATGTTCTTTACTGAGCACAAAACAGAGAGACCTTGTGTGTCCAGCAGGAAGAAATTAAGTATTATTAATTTGGATAAAAGTAGTTTTATTTGGGAATAAACCATTTCAATGAAAAGATCCAACAAATATTCACAATGCCAATGGCAATTTCAGTGTTGTCAAGACCAAAGCAGTGATTGCTAGGCAGTCGAGCAGAATAATTGCTAGTGACGGACAGATGTGATAAAGTTTAGGAGAAAAGATACTAGAAAGGCAACTTCATTGAATTTGAATTTGAATCATTTAAAACAAACGTTTCTTTGTAAAGACGGCTTTATCTTGAATCTTATCAGAGTGAACCTGTTCTTTAGATTTGCTTGTACAAAACAAGTCACAATATAATTGAAATTATTGAATTGTTTTGTTTTTAAGTGACCTTTTTTGACCGACGGTAAGAGACTTTGGTTTAAGTAAATAACAATTTAAAGCTCTGAACCTCGGACAAAGTAGAACAATACTTCGATGTTCAGCAGCCCACGAAAGCATTCATGGTATAACCTAACAAAGCTCATTTACATGTATTGTGTTGTGGGCAAACTTTTCATGCATTGCCGGTGGCCAGTTTCAAGCAAAGAAATGTCAGCTGAGTTTGTTTATCTTATTGTCCTAAACCAGCAATTTACAGATTATCCATTTCTCAGCATTATACCCGAGTTATAGCGAATATATTAGGATTCTTTTTAAGCTATATAGTTAAATGTGTTTCAAAAATATATATATTCAATGGCAGGCTGGCAGCCATGCGTCGCCCAAACTAGCACGCCGCAGGACGTACCGTAGGACAATACACTGTCAAACAGCCATTCAGTGCTATGAAAGCAGGCTTAGACTTAGTCCTAAACCTAAGAAAACCTAAACTAAACTAACTTTATTTAAACTTGATAGCTTCGTCAGTTCTAAAATGTGGTTCTTGCTATAGAGGTCCAGTAAGGATCATCTCTTATTGATCCAGTGTTACCACAGGAGGAAACCTAAACTAAACTAACTTTATTTATACTGGATAGCTCTATCTGTCCTAAACTCTTCTTCCTAGAGGCCCAGTAAGGATAATCTTTTATTGATCCAGTGTTACTACAGAAAAAAACCTAAACTAAACTAACTTTATTTATACTGGATAGCTCTATCATTTCTAAAATGTTCCTCCTAGAGGTCCAGTAACGATCATCTCTTATTGATCCAGTGTTATTTCACAGGAGAAACTATTCTTTATTTAGACTGGAAACGTTCTGTCGGTTCTAAACTGTTCTTCCATTAGAAACTTCGAGAAACTACAGAGACAATGGTGTGAAAATTCTAAAGCGATTGCCAGTATGTAACACAAGCGCAGGTTATTACTGCACTGGAGAGATTATCATCATCATATCGCCGCCGTTTGTTAGCCAATTATTTTCAATCACGTGTGCCTCTTTGAGCCACTGTTCGCCGGGAACCGGGGGGGAGGAATATGCGGGGGGGGGAGTAGATATGATTATGTACAAATATTTTCCGCCCTGACAGGCAATATCGCGAGTAAGAACAGGCGAATATAGCCAGTCTAAATGTTCAATCAGTGTATCGCCATGCCTGCATGATACGCTTTCAGAATAAAATATATTCGTTTTGAAAGCCAATATTTAAATTTGTTTGTGCGCTTACAGCGGGCTTTTGTGGTTACCTAAGGTTGGACGATAGGAGGTCTCTCTCGTTATTCATTTAAGATAAGAAACAATCTTAGTTATACCACTTGAAATGCAGACTAGAAATTAAAACATGTATCAATGGCTTTGAATTTGATTCTGTCGGTTAAAACATCACGCGTTTTGCAACCATGGTACACAACATTATACGTTCAGGCAGCCGCCTTGGTATTCACACAAGCGAATATAGCCATTCTATTTTGAAAACAAGTGCGTTGAAGGTAACAACTACATTAGGTTGCATCAGGAGCTGGTGATTAATGTCTGAACTACTTGAAAAAGATTACAGCGTCCAAGTGCTTTACGATCGATAATATTTCTCGTGTTTATTCTCAATCTCACGCACGCAATCGCTATCAGTGTCAGGCTTAATATCCAATAACATGTTCGGGAGACATTCTAAGGCGCTTAATTTCTCCAAGTGACATAGTATTTGATTGTTATTTATTTATTTTTTCGCATGGTGATTGCCTCCTAGAAACGAGAGATCGATTAGAAAGCTGTGCGTGGGTTTAATGACGCTGCATTGACGCAGATACGAAAATTGATATCATGCGATCGTTATGTGGGGTAAACCTGCCATAATTTCGCGTAAAATCAGGAAGATATTAGTCATGACGGCCTCCCCTCTCATGTATGGAACGCATTAACGCTAATAGATAATAATACATCGTGAGTAAAATTGTCAATCGCCACACGAGAGGTACAAAGCCTGTTTTTATGCAGGAAACTGGTTCTTCTCAGAACAGGATCAGACGGGAAAATTATTTCCGTTCAAACCATTTGTTCTTGTTTACTGAAACACAGGAATAAGCGATCCAATTCGCGTCCGAACGGATGCAGAGAACGATCTTTCTGGCTGGTTCGAATCCAGCCGCAATTCAGAAAGTTAATAAAAATATAGAAGCTTCAGAATAATAGAGACTAGAGAGTTTGTATAAAACTATTAAATAAAAGCGGCCTCTCCAAAAGTGTCCATCATCTGTCGAGCAAAACCCGGTGTATTTGCTTACGCCATCTGACGAAACCACGAAACTCGTGGGCTTTTGTCAAATGTCAACACTTAGTTCAGTAAACAATGCTGATTATGTAACCCGCTTTTGGTTACGCAATTCATCAACAAACTCGGACTCAAAAACCTGACGACCACGACACAGTGACCACGAGTTTTGCACGATGGCGAGAGCAAACAACACACGCAAAAATGACGAATCAGGGAGCGACGATTATTATTGGATTAAGGAGAGCCAAGGAGGAGCCTGGAGGCTTCACAATTATTGGGAGGGGGCAAGCTACTCCCCGCGCCAATCCCCGCGCCCTGCTCGGAGGCCCCTGCCTCGGGGTCCATTCAGTTCTCAGTCTTCGTCGTTACGGCTAACTCCCGGCAAAAGAAGCTCACTGAATATTTGACGGGAAAACCCGTGGATTTGGGAGAAAACCCAGCCTACTCGTTCAAATAATAGAAGTAAAACTTCCTTATTAAGCATTTCCTTATCAGTGGTATAAACTGATATCCAATACGGGTTATTTTCGTCCTGACCCATTCAAAAGATTTAGAAAATCTAGGATCAGGTGGGCGATGGCCTGGAGCAAAATCTTTGCGAAAACATTCATTCTTAAGCCTGCCGCACACGAGAGCTATCAGCTGAGCAAACGACCTCGCGAGGGAGTTAGCTCAGCCCGAAAACCACCTGTACACGATAGAAACTTGTCTCTCGAGGCAAATTCCTCCTCAGGAAAACTATCCGCACCAGAGAGTAACTTGCTGAGCTAACAGCTTCGCGAGGTCTTTAGCTCTCCTGTGCAGTAGTGGGCTTTTGTTAATTCATCTCAGGTCTCAATCCTGAATATGTAATACTGGGTGTTGGCACTATGAATTTTCGAAAAGAGTGAGTCGTGAATTACTTGTGTCTTATTCCAGCTTAGCTTATATTTAACCCCTCAACTGAGTGACAAGGGGCAGCGAGGTAATCCTTGATCCCCTCTCCACCGTCTCCTGTGTGTCTGGCGGTGCTAATCTAGGGAGCTGGGCGGGGTTCGCGATCGTGGTCTGAATTCGTACTGTCGGCCATGATGTGTACAAAGTCTTTATCAGTCAGACTAATGTATCTGCTCGATCTAAGAAATGTGTAGAAATATCTGCGAATATCTTCTTCAAAATTCTCGTAAATTCACTAGAATTCTAATAATACCCCAGAATGCGCATTCTCGGAAGATATCGATCCATCTTAATATGTGTCATCATCCCGTGACCACAATTAGATTTAATATAAAGATATGTTTAAAGGAAGCTTTCACTGAAAAAGCCGCAGGAAATATAAATACCACCAAGGCCGACACCAACCTGACAGAACAGAGCCGCTAGCGATTATCAACTTCAACCGACCGTTAACCATCGCAAACAAAAGAGTAGACGCAAAACTGCAAAAGCCATAATTGGTCAGAAGTTCTCAGAACATTCCACAATCGTCGATATCACTTGCCCGTCGATGGCCCTTACGTCGAAATTTCCTGACAATCTCTTATCTAGCACGAATGCCGGATTTATTTACAATAATTAAAACCGTTAAGACTTTAAAAAAGTTGGGTGATGTACATTCTCAAGTGTCCATTAGCAAGCGTTCATTTTTTTACGGTCTTATTTCGAGTAAAATCACCAAGCAAGCCGCAAGTAGGAAATTCCTAGTGTGGTTGGAATTAATGCCATGACCTGCGGTAAAAAGATGTGCGATTGGTTCAACAAGTTCATAGTTTGAATATATTTCAAAGCCCTACCCTAATTGGCATGGGAGCTGGCCCACCACAAGAGTAGGCAACAATCACCCGAACACAACATATCACACCACGTCAACAAGCTCAGTCAATAGTCGTCGTTTGTAGATTTAATTTAACACATCAGCTTACGGTACTGTGTATATAAGTATATTGTTGGAACTAGGAAGTAAAATTGGAATTTAGAAAACTGGCATGCGATACAAATAACCTAACAGGCTACAGGTGGACCTAAGTGAGGTATTTAAACCGCTGTGTGAGCCGTGAGGGTCGAGGGATAACTTCATATATCTATATAACCCGCAGTATCCCAGACAAACGGCACGGTTAAGCATTTTTACAAAGGTTTTATCACTATGCCGTGGATAGTGTTACCCAGTCTTCGTACAACCGCAGACTGATATCTTGTATTTTGACTTTGCAATCCTGACAGCGTATAACAAGCTGGTACGATATATACTTGTGAAAATGCATCATTTTTTGTTTTCAACAGATTTCAAATGACCCGGAGCGTACCTATTCTTATTTGGGTTCTCAAATATGTTTGTGTTCAATAACACGAGGTCGAGGCGAAACTGTACCACTAGTTCACAACAATACGTTGAAATCAAATATTGGAAATTTGGAATAAATATATGACGGACCGTATGCTGCTAATTATTCTGGATAATCGATCCAGCTCACGGGATGGCATGAGATCAGTACCAGAGCCGCCATCTTGAATATATAATCATTCTGACTTTCTCCCAGCATGCCGAGCGTTTTCCTTCCTCTCTCGTCACTTCCGGTGTACGATCGGACGCCAAGACAGAGAATTTGGCCGAAATTTGGCGATTTTACTTTAAAATTTTACCACCTTTAACGCCACAATGTCGACGAGAGCAGAGAGGGAGAAGAACAAGAAACAACATGATAAAAACACGAGTGTACTCATGGAGTTACTTCGCGAAGAACAGAACAAATTTTGCGCTGACTGCCGGGCAAAAGGTCGGTGTATGTGTGTGTGACTGTGATTATGTGTGCGTGTCAAATACGAGAGTTGTGGGGGAAAATATCGACGTATCAGTCCGTAATACAATTCTTTTACTCCCCTAGGACCAAGATGGGCTTCGTGGAATCTCGGTATTTTCGTCTGTATTACTTGTGCGGGCATTCATAGAAATTTAGGCGTGCATATTTCCAAAGTGAAGTCTGTCAATTTGGACGCATGGACACCGGAACAAGTTAAGGTAGAAATTGGAAGTTGATTTTATAAAATCGACCAGGAAATTGTACTATATTAACTGCGTTTTATGGTCTGTTTATCATCGTTTATTAGAATTATATATTCATTACGGGCCTTTGATTATTTCCATCGTATTTTTTTCACGTTTCTATGTGGAAAGGAAATAGCTATTGCAGTATCGTGTTTGCTGTTTCCCTCAAAGTGCAATGAAATAGGAACACAATTCTCTTTGAAAAAGCCGGTCAAATAATAAATATCTCTACAATTCTTTCGGTAGCCTTATAATCGCGCGGAAATAAAGGAGCTTACTATCAGTCCATCAAGACATTGAATGAAATATTTTTTATGAAAGCCAGATGTTAAAGGCTTTGTTTTAATCATGTTTCTGTTGCAAACTTTTGTGCTGCTTCCCTGATAGCAATCTCAAAGATGAATAAAGTAAATGAATTTTAAAGAATGCTGCTTGTAATTTGATGTATGTTTGAAATTTAATCAATATTCAGCAAAGGTATGGCATCAATACAGGCTAAGGATAGGTTTGTTCAAGACTTAACCATGTTTGTCATGGTTACATATTTGTCTATTGGATACAACTGTTACGAAATGCTTTACCAACCAGGAACAATAGGATGAACTGAGGTTTTGAATGGAATGTATGTGTGCTTTCATTTGTAATGATGGTCAAATCTTTCTTTAGAATGTCGTGGAATGGGGAAACAGAAGAGCAGCAGATTACTACGAGTTTCATTTGCCCGTTGGATTCCGTCGTCCTCAAGGCGACTCAAGCCTTGAACAGTTCATTAGAAATAAATATGAGAAGAAGTTATATATAAATAAGGGTGGTCCACCCCCTGCTAGAGAATCAATTAACTCGCCTGAAAAGGTAAAGACATGGTATAAAAGCTTTTAGCAACTCACTAGGGCCAACTCTGACTAGTTATGAATGAAGTCATGAGTAAAATTTTTTGCCCTGTGGCAAAATGAATTGCTTTGTCATTTTTTAATACAGGCAGAGTGAACCACTTGAATATGTTTCTGACTCTAACATGCACTCTGAACTAAAAAATTTAATGGTTTTGTGTAGGTTAGCCAAGATAAGAAAAAATCTAGCGATAGCCAAAGTAAAAAGGTATAAACATTGAATGAATGTTATTTCAATGGTTCAAGGAAATCTGTAAGCTATGTGGCTTATCAAACTGGATGTTTTCTTGTAATTATATAAGATATTTTTACCGATGATCTAGATATCTAGACCAGAACCGTCCAAGTCGGTTCCGAACCCTACCAAGGCTAGCAATCTGTCGAACATCAAGCCATCATCAGCTACCGTAGACCTTCTCTCAATGTCTGAACCAGCACCATCACAACAAGCACCAGCACAGATAAGCTCCACCTTGTTGAGCATGTCAGCGCCACCTGCTGCTGCACAAGGCAATACTGCTGACGTAAGTTTGGACACAGAACACACACACACCTTTGCTCTGAAATTCATCATCTTTTTCTTCCATCACCATGTCATTCCTTCTCCATCATCATTTCAACCTCCTGAATAATCCTTCCATTTATGGGTTTCAATTTTGTAGCTTCTCAACTTCGGTGGTCCCTCGTTCCAAGTTGCAGATAGCAATCCCCAACAGCCGAAATCCCAGCCACCATCCCAGGGATTTGCATTTGAGTTGTCGCAGGTAAAAGATAACATCTGTTAGAGAAGTTGAAGGACTGTCCTCAGGAAACTGTTCTTTGAGACACTAGACTCTTTCAAGATGCTTTTTATTTTGTATGATCGAAATCAGTCACGCTAGTAATGTATTTTAAATTTTATACTTTGAACCTAGAATATGTCAACACCATCCCCAGTTATCAACAATACAACAACAAATGGTACTTCAGATCAAACCAATATCGAAGAAAATTTGTTTAAAGGTGATCTTTCGAGTGGAGGACAGTCGAAAAAAGGTTAGTGAATATTAGCAGACTAGTCCATTGATCTGATAATAAACTGGATACATCATCTAAGGTCAGTGGATCAGTATGATTCTATGAATATTGCGTACCTGGTCCACGAGACTCTTCGCTTCGGTCATGCGTGATTCAACATCTCTCGCGTTTTTTGCCGCCATTAGCCTGGGATTTAAGCGTAGATTTCAATCGTTCCATTCCACCAATCTGTTTTTTCTAGATTCTATAATGGCGTTGTATCAACCATCTCAAAAGCAAGCCAATCCTCAGATGTTCGGTGTTCCAGGCGGAGTTTATCTTCCTCAACAGCAGCAACAGCAGCAGCAACAACAGATGAATGTTATGGCGATGAACAGGCCTCAGGGAATAACACCTCAATATAACGCACAGCAAACAATGTTTAATATTCCACAGCAACAACAGCAGCAACAAATGTTTCAGGTTGGAGAAAAACACAGCTTTCATAAAACTCTCTCACGGAAAACCTTGCTGCTAAAATCTATACTCATGCGTATTGTACTTTCCGTATAATAGAATATTATCCTCCAATAGTGGCTATTAGATGAAATTGACGAGTCTTCATCGTCACGTGTTCGTCCACGTCATGATCACGTGTCTTCTAAGTTTACCTCCAAGCATAGAACATCGTTGTCTTTCATCATCGAGATATTGATGACAGATAATTGGATTGTCTATCCTTATCATCCTTATCTTGCTTCTATAATCAGTATACCTTGAAGTTCCCTGTGTACCCTGTAGTCCCGTATTGTATACCAACATCTTTTGCAATTCTTTTCCAGGTCAACCAGGTCCAACAGCAAATGTCGATGTTAGGCCTGAGGCAACAGCATCAACCAACTCAGGCAATGCCCGGCAATCAGGGTATGCCTAATTTTCAGGCAGGTTCAGGCTACAATCCAAATATGGCAATGCCAGGTATGATGTCCTATAACAACAGTGCGACTCCGTATGGAAACACGCCCATGGTTAACGGCGGCTGGATGCCGCGACCCGGAGGAAATTTCCCCCAACAACAGCCAACACCCCCGTACCTAACCACCGGTCCTACAGCGCCAAGGTTCAATATGTACCAAGCACAGGGGGGTGCGCAATCTGGGCATACGTTAAGCACTAATCTGTGGAAATGAGTTACTTTGGAGTCAGCTGAATTAAGATGAATCTTCTTGTCGAAAATGGTGAATTTTTTTCGGAAATTGAGTGTAAATACATTGAAGCGTTTTGTGGTAAAATTTCTCTTTTCGTGGAGTAGAAATTTGGACGTCCGTGTTGTCTGACTGTGACTGAATGGTTGTTCATTTAACCAACTATTCCTAGAACTCTGGAAAAGATGTTCTTTAAGTAGACTTCAAACTACCGTGTGGTGAATGATTGGATTCTCTGAAAGACATAATAATTTCATGAATAGTTGAACTTTTCATGAGTTTTACAAATGAAGCTAATTTCTACTTGTGCTAGAATTAATTTAATAAACAATGCGTATACGGTGTTGCACTGAAGTATAGAAAACGTGGAGACACTGCATGCCACTGATGATGATTGTTTCCTAAAATAGTTATTTCTCTAAAGCAGCCACAATTGGTTATGCCAGCAAAGTGTAGATTTCATTTCATTCAACCGTGTTGAACTAAAATTGTTTTGCATATAAAAAAGCTCTATCAAATGTATAACCAATTGTATCGAGCCAATCAGGTTTTGTGTGTATTTGCGTACATTATGCTAAATAGGTTTTTTCTAACTGCAATTGTAAACACGCATGCGCTCAGCATCAGACAAACTTCCATCAAACTAAGCTAACTTGAAGAAAATACCAACACTAGCAAATCCCTTGTTTTAAGATCTAAAGTTTTGGTCAAGTTCCAAATTCAAAGAATTTTAGCATATCAACGATTATTTAGTATAAATATATATCAAATTCTGTGTTCGTAAAATGGAATATAAATTTAAATAAATGTAAATTTGAATTTTAATTTATATGGTGGTATCATAGTATATCAGGGGTAAAAGGTGAACTGGCATATAAAGAAATAGAGCTTTGCACAATGGTTATAGCAGTAAAGTCTGCTTTGAATGAAAACTTTAAATGTTTTCACGTTCATGTGTTTACCTATACCACAATGCAAAGCGAGTGAAGCTGCATATTCTTGAACCCAGGCCCACACGTAATAATTGTGGTTAATATTAATTGTAAATTTATTAATTTAAGTCAGCCTTTTACTGTTAGCTATTTGGAGCAATTGTTTTTAATATGAATGTCATAATTTCATCGGCTATGCTCCCTCTTAAAAAACCTACCAGCGTACAATGCAACTTTGCAAGTGTCCATTAAACTGTACCGAAGCGCCTGTGAGCCTAACTGAGAACGGAAATCATTTCAAATTCTTTAGCAAACAATTTAACGACTTTACCTATTGATACATGTAAACACATCGCCCCGTTCATATTGTGAGAAACTTTACAGCAATAAAATTCAATTATAACCACAAAAATGATTAATATCACTTTTATTGGGGAATTTATGTGAAATGTAAACACAGATTCGACCGCTATCGCTATCTCCCGCGTGGAAACTTATCACTTTGCAATACCGACATGATTAATTTTTTATTTCCTTGCATTTTCAATTTATTTTCCCAAAGTAGTTATTCCAACAGTAAAAAAACTCCTGTTTTCCCCTAAATTTTACTTCAAAGAAGGCGCCTTTACGACTAGCCTTTATTTAGTTTGAAAGTTAGCCACAAAGGTAAAAAAATTAGAGCAAGTAGATTCATTTTTTTAAAAAATCCCATTAAATTGCAAATATAAATTATGGGAAAATCATTATGACGGTGCAAAAGCCGAAATTATTAAATTGTTGGAAGACAAAACATCTTATTTTTTTATCAAAGTCTTGGACGATTTTACTCGCGAATAAATGATGTTTTATAGGGTTTTGATCTTCCTTTGTGGACTTATGTTAGGTTTAAGCGCGAAGTTTGTATAATCTTGTCGAAATTTATCTGTCAATATTGGGATAAGAAATGAATTTACTGTTATACGTATGCAAATCATTTACGCACAAACTCATCATCTATGGTGCCTCATTTGCCATAATTGGCCAATCGTTACGGGGGAGCAGAGATGAAACTTCTTCAAGCCTTCCTTGAGGTTCAGTCCCATAAACAAAATCCTAATTAAAACAGACCTCTCTTGATTATACGTGACTGTTTGAAAAAAAATCAAATATTTTTTATTTAGGTAATGACTGATACCACGTCCACGGCCTGGAGTCACGTATTTTTATGTTGTAAGAGGATAATTATTTTGTTTAAACGACTGAAAAATCCACGTGGATAACGTAGACGTGACCCATCAACGTCGACGTGTCCGACGCGGACAAGGTTAAATCCTCAATGTCAACCTATTGCTGAGTTTGAGTGACTCAGTCACCACGCATTCAGGTTTTTTATTCAGCCAGTTTTCCTCGCGTTTGGCGTCGATTGAGAAAGATTGAAATGGATCCAATGACAGGAAAATGATTTTGTCCTTGAACAAAAACGGTTGAACAAAACACGGTTGTTCGTCTGTAGCAATAGTGTATTTCCCTAAATATCCGACTGTGAAATAAGTTTTATGTAGTGATTTAAAAAAGCCTGCAGAATTAGACTGAAAAAAGCAACATTCTGAAGAAACCTGACACTTTGTAATTCGTAAAATCAAATATACATTTATTTTTGAAATGTATAAAAAGAGTAAAAACTTCAAGTCCTTTAAAGGAACTCTCATATCAACGAAGAGTTTTCAATGCATTGCAAACGGCCAATGACATTGTAATATATGAATGAAAACACTTCGGAGATAAGTCATTTTTCATTTATCTGGAGACCAATATATATAAGTGTCATGTCATCATCCACAACAGCTCCACCCCCCGGGATATTGACAGCCATTAGCCTCAAAAACTCTAATTGGAAGAGAATTGAATATTCATGTCGAATATACAGACAAGCTGAAAGAAAAGAGCGTTGTGGGGTGCCAAATATATTCAAGGCAAGCACAAAAATACTCGACGAACCGGAATAGAAAGTAACAACTATAGCTTCGTGTTTCAACGGCAACAAAGGTACTTTTATTTTATTCTTCAATGTCTTTTGTTCATTCCTATATCTTGTCATCCTAAATTGATTCAAATCGTGTATAGGTTTATCAAGTTTGGCAGAGCTTAGCTAAACATTTTTCTCATACACTAGCGAGGGGTGACGTTGTTATTGTTAGCAAATGTAGCAATTGAAGTCTTGTCTACTATTAGCGAACGTCAATGTCAAATCCGCCTCTTGAAATTCGTGCAATTTTACGAGTTATTGTGAAAACTCCAAAGCAGTAAATATACGACTTATATATGATATTAGTTGACTGGTATCTTATGAACAGTTTTATATCTGCGGGTATTAATCCACAGGCATAGATAGCGCTGCGTTAATTCTGATCTAATGACTTAACGGATTACTTTGAACGCGGTTACGATTTTTACTGAGCGATTGCGTTCTGTTATATGGAAGAGGTACAAATAATTTGTCAAACAAATGTATTCATTGACGCTATTTTTTATAAAAATTTACGCATGACTTGTACATCCCCGTTGCAATTAGCAAGGATATATTAAAGTCAAATGGAACACAAAAGATAATGTATGTTGTATAATATATCATTTTGAATTTGTTAGGGCCAATAATCAGAGCTCAAGGTGATTGTTATTCTTGTGACAAATCAGTCACAGTGGTATAGACCGGACATCGTTTTTTAAAATGTGAACGGGGCGCTCGTGATTCAGATGCCGAGCGAATTGGTCAAGGAAATGCCATAATTATATTTCTACGTGGCTCCAAGCGCCTCATTAAGACGAGATGTCATCTGTTCTGTGTCTTATGTAAGTAAACGCAAGAGCTATGGACATGTTGTATATACTAGACTGTAAAAGCTTACATATTCAACACAGCTTATCCCATAGTACGATCAGTGCTTAGCACAATACCGTGGAATGCGCTTGTAATATATTTCGCAAATATATGAAGATGCGGCAGGCACTATGATAAACCATATGTAATGTATGAATGAATTAAGAGATTATGTGGGAAGGTGTAAAGTGAACACAGCAAAGGCGCAACGTGAAAATTACCTTTTATGCAAATTTCGCTTGGGGGAATGTAATATTTATGTGTTAAAGTTTAACAAAATGCTCCGTGTTTGCTTTGGATTTTTCTGTAATTTCTTCGTGTAAGCATACGGTATTTTGTTGAAGTCTATAAGTCGGTTTGTCAAATGTGCTTGCGAGGCAAAGAGCGAAGAGCGCGTCGTTGGACAGGCAGATGGGGGGCTAATTACCATGAGGTGACCTGTTCGATATTGCGGAGTTCAGTCGTGCAGCTGAAATATGGGGGATTATTTAGCTAGGGCAGAGATGATGTGATCTCAAAACGAAGGTAAATTGCTTGTAGATGTATCTAGCCCTAAATAGATCCTCACCAGACAGGATGAAAAATTTCCTGCGGTGCAAGGATGAAAACACCCGGCCATTTTCTCTGCCTGTTTAACGGATCAAGCGAAAGAAGCAATGTCGACATACAAGATATGTCGCCGGCCTTCGAGATTCATCATTTACTGGCGGCACTTTTGACCGAAATTCATCGCATTTGCCGGCTGCGTCTTCTCATCGTGTCGTGATGTTTTTATTTCAAAATGAAAAAACAAACAAAACAGACATTCTCTGTTGGCCAATGTCAGATGCGGGAAGTTTATTGACATGTTTACATGAAACCGAGGAATTTTTTTGTCTTGCTAAACATTCAAGGCGCGAACACCCTGTTTTTGTCGCGTAATCGTCACTGCTTGTTTCATGTAAACATTCGTTTGAGAAAAACACGAGCTTTGTGGGCAATAACTGGGCCATTCTTGTCGTTAAATTGACCAGTTTCCGACGTATCGTTACGAACGCATTAGGCACCCGCTTCTGCACTTATACCATGTCGCGTTTGCCGCCTAAAAAAATAGTGTCGCGAGTCTTTTTTTTTGCCTTGTTCGTGTTCCGGGGGGGAGAATAAAAGCAATTCAATGCGTATTTTTTACAGCATATCCAGAATGTACTAACTGTAGACTATTCCAAAAGTCTGCTATCGCATAAGGTCCGTTATAGCAACTGATATGACACCGGCATCTGATCATTGACATTGATAGCTGTTTCTGCATCGTCCATATCAGCTATGTCCTATGACTTTGAAAACTGATATTTCTCAATTTCGACTATAAAGCCATAGCATCCCAGGAGGATGCTTCCTGGGCTTTCTATGATAAAGCACATCAAACTTGAGGACGCAATGACTGAGACCTTATGACCAGGCTTATGACTAAAGGTCTGTTCATATGAGACGGGACGGGCAGGGCTAGCTCGGCAGTGCTGGGATTTCATTTCACATATTATTTCACTATCTTTGTAAAATTGCATTCATATGGAACCGGATCAGCCCGGTTCTGGCGAGTTCCCGCCTGAAAGAAGCGAGATCTTGCCTGAAAACATGAAGCGGGCCAGCGAAAGCGAGCCAGCCCGAGAAACCGTAATTCACTGCAATGTAGATCTCATTTTTAAACTGAAGTAAAGCTTTCTGCACTCGATTTATGCATTAAGTTAAATACTTTGTTGATAACTTCATGCGTACACTGATAGCGGTGTTGGATTTAGAGCAGTTTTTTTTAAGTGCAACTTAAAGAGATCCACAGTTTGATAACCCGAAGCGCAATCTGATTTAGAGAACAATAGTTTTGTGTACGACTTATGAATATATTTTTAGGTGACAATGTTTAAAAAAGTGAAGCTGTTTCGTACATCTTCTTCGAAACGTCGCGAAGAAGAGTCAATTCAAAAACGTCGACGGCTGATTCAACACGCATTATTGGCCAGCTATAGATTGGTGCCAGGGGTTGCTGGAGGAAGGGGGTGTATATCTTTCGAGTGCTTCTCTAAACCGAGATTCTTCCTTTGTCATCGAGATAATAATCTCATCATTGAAAGATACAAAGACTCAGAAGATTATAGTAAGTACTGACAAGCTTAGCATGTCTGCAGGTTTGTGTTTATGGAACCATAGAAATTTATATCAACATCTGTTTTTAACTGTTCTTCCTAGAGGTCCAGTAAGGATCATCTCTTATTGATCCAGTGTTACTACAGGAGGAAACCTAAACTAAACGAACTTTATTTATACTGGATAGCTTTATCAGTTCTAAACTGTTCTTCCTAGAGGTCCAGTAAGGATCGTCTCTTATTGATCCAGTGTTACTACACGAGGAAACCTAAACTAAACTAACTTTATTTATACTGGATAGCTTTACTGATCAGTTCTAAACTGTTCTTCCTAGAGGTCCAGTAAGGATCATCTCTTATTGATTCAGTGTTACTACAGGAGGAAACCTAAACTAAACTAACTTTATTTACACTGGATAGTTCTATCAGTTCTAAACTGTTCTTCCTAGAGGTCCAGTAAGGATCATCTCTTATTGATTCAGTGTTACTACAGGAGGAAACCTAAACTAAACTAACTTTATTTACACTGGATAGTTCTATCAGTTCTAAACTGTTCTTCCTAGAGGTCCAGTAAGGATCATCTCTTATTGATTCAGTGTTACTACAGGAGGAAACCTAAACTAAACTAATTTTATTTACACTGGATAGTTCTATCAGTTCTAAACTGTTCTTCCTAGAGGTCCAGTAAGGATCATCTCTTATTGATCCAGTGTTACTACAGGAGGAAACCTAAACTAAACTAATTTTATTTATACTGGATAGCTCTATCAGTTCTAAACTGTTCTTCCTAAAGGTCCAGTAAGGATCATCTCATTGATCCAACCACTAAACCACATCATGTTCTTGCAAAGTAGAAGGATTTTCTAAAAAGGATTTTCCTATTTCTTAGAAAGCGAAGCAACGTTCGTGATATTGGAAAACATGTGGTTCCAAGATTTCTTTGCGTTTGAGTGCTTTACAAGCCCAGGATGGTTCATAAGACGGAACTCGTTGGGTCTGAGTTTACAACGATACGACGGAAGCAGAGAGTTTAAAGAAAGTGCAAGCTTCAAGTTATCAAAAAAGCAATGTCTATGTAAGTGTTTGCCTTCGGTGAAGAAGCGTCTTTAAGTCCGGTTTACACTTGCACTTTTTGCTACGATTTTGTGCGTTTTTCGTCTTTTGATAGATGTGAACGAGTGATTTAGTTACTGATGTTCCAATAAGAGCTCGTACACAGCAGAGCATTCGTAATTAAGTACTCGTTGTAGTACATGCTTTAGTTCATTGGATTGCAAGGCCATAGTGCTTGAATATGTTTGTGTCAGTTGATGCCATTTTAAGCACATTCATTTGCTTCCCAGCATGCAGTGAAGTACCGGTGGTCAAGGGCGTGAGAGTCTGGGTTCGAGTGAACAACATGTGCTTCACAAGAGGAGTGGTTACCAAAGACTTTTCTCACGAACTTCATGTAGTCACAACGAAAGGAAAGCTGATCAAATGTCCGCGAAATAAGGCCGAATTCTTAGCCGTGGATAAAATTCCCAATCCTCACGATGTCAAGGCTGGCTGCCGCGTCGCTGCAAAATGGCACGATCGTACTGAGCCCTATTATCTGGCGACAGTACAGGGGAGACTGGGGCATAATAAATATCTGCTGACGTTTGATGACGATGACGAGGGTTATTGCGATTTGAAATTCATCCGAGTTCTTTTATGGACATCTTCTCAATCAGGTGAACTAGAGATGATGATGATCTTTACTGCATCAACCTCTAGGAAGAACAGTTTAGAACTGATAGAGTTATCCAGTATAAATAAAGTTAGTTTAGTTTAGGTTTCCTCCTGTAGTAACACTGGATCAATAAGAGATGATCCTTACTGGACCTCCAGGAAGAACAGGTTAGAACTGATAGAGCTATGCAGTATAAATAAAGTTAGTTTAGTTTAGGTTTCCTCCTGTAGTAACATTGGATCAATAAGAGATGATCCTAACTGGATCTCTAGGAAGAACAGTTTAGAACTGATAGAGCTATCCAATGTAAGCTGACTCCTCAGTATTGGAACCTCTAGAAAGATCTGTACAGCACCGATAGCGCTATCTTAAACCTTTCTCCAACTTTTAGAAGAGAGTGTTAGTGCACCGCCGTGGTCATCGCTTGAAGATATTCCTCGACTGAGTTCAGGGATGTTGCTAAACAACAACGACAATCGGGCAGAAAAGTTAAAACTCGCACCAAAGAAATCCTGGGGAAGCTATCGAAAGATAAGCGTGAGCGACCAGCATTTGGAGCTGCGACACAACCCGGGGCTTGTACCAAACTTTCTTCAATTGTCATCCGCGTCGAGCTACCGCGAGGGGAGCAGTTCAAAGGCGCTCAACGGGTCGGGATTTTCTCAAATAGGCAGTCGGGTTGGTTCAAGACGCATGAGCCTTGGTAATGTGCTGGAGAAACGAGACAGGAAGAACGGTGTCGCGGGGATCTCGAGATGGGACAGATGAAGTTGACATGAATGGTATACACACACGAGTGTGGACATCAAGAGATCTCGTGCCAGGATTGTCAAAGATGACCATCCCAGGTAATGGCTTACCGAATTGCCTTGCAGAATTGAAAGCAAGTCGAGAAGAGTTAAAGATGACATAAAATGCCGTTTTGCATGTCCACGCTTTTTGTCCCGAAACGTGGTAGTTCAGTGTAGGTAGTATTCTGCAATCAAGTTGTCGTGGTTTGTGTCTTAACTACCTGAGAAAGATATCTCAAACGTGGTGGTCCAGTGTAGGTAGTATTCTATAATAAACTGTCGCGGTTTGTGTCAGAACTACCTGAGAAAGATATCTCAAACGCGGTGATTCAGTGTAGGTAGTATTCTACAATAAACTGTCGCGGTTTGTGTCTGAACTACCTGAGAAAGATATCTCAAACGTGGTGATTCAGTGTAGGTAGTATTCTACAATAAGATTTGAAGTGACATTGAGAGTGAACAAAGTTTGGTCAATTTAATTATATGGCACCGTCCATACAGTATAATATACATAAGAACGAAATAAATAAACGTGTTCGCTAAAAATATTTATTTTAGAAAAATAGGAAAATTGATTATAAAACAAACTAAAATTGTTGTATATTTATATCTATGAAACGCAGGAAAATAAATATTATGAAAAAGTACTACAGAATTAATAATACACAAATTTATGGTCTAAATGAAGTTGAATTTGAATGCGATAGAATATATTCTATATGCAGAGATGGCGGTTTAATTTTATACTTGAAAATATGCGTGGAAAGTCTGTTTAATTTAGACAGAATTTTAACACATCTAAAGTAGAAACAGCTTAGCATAGGATCCAAATTTCTGTCAAATTGAGAGGTAGCCATGTGTTCAAATGATCTGCCAACGATATACAGTTGTTCGATGACTTTGTTTTGTTGTTAGTTAGCGCGTTGATTAGCAACTAAACATTTGGCGAAACAATTTATATTGATGAAGCGATTCAAATCCTCTCTAATTTGGTATTGAATATATGAAGTGTAGCATGCAGAATGTAGCGGCTATGACATGAATACACGATGCCGAACGCATGTCTAGATGTCAAACAAAACACTGGCTCCTCCACTCAAAGTTATAGAGTTTCCAAAACTAGACTCGGCGTAGTTTGACTATAAAGTATAATCGTGCTTCGAATCTCGAAGGAGAAGTGTTTAATGGCTGCCATGCAAGGATTAAGTTATTATTATCATAAGCTATTCTTAATTCTTTTAATAATTATTCCCAATGTCGCCGGGAAATGACATGAAACAGGCGTTAGATGAGAGATTTAGACACGCTAAGAATCAACATATAGACGGCTCCCAATTGCACATTTTTACGCCAAAGTTCGACCACCGTCAATGGGACAAGGCAGTTTGATTTCTAAAGAATGCCTTGAAAGAGGGTTAGAAACTTAGATCATACGTTATGCTAGGAGCCAATTTTTCGTTTCTCGATCATTTCAATTAAAGAATGCGGCTGTTTTACGTTAGATGCAATCTTTCAAAAAATATTTCAGAACATTCTATTGGTTCGGCGAGCTGTGTCTCTTAAAAACAGCACTGATAAGGCGAGCCAAACAGAGTCAGTGTACGGAAAGTTTCTTGCTGAAATTGCAGCAGAATTGACACAGAATTCAGAAAGCTGCAATTGCCACTTCGTTGAAACGTGGGAGTGAGTGAGAATGAACCTACGTAATGAAAACTAAGAAAGAAAATCATCTTGCAAGTGCAAGAAGCAATATAAGTTATTTAAATCAAAACTTGATATTTTAAATGTATTCTTAAGAGAATATTTAATAAGATTTAATTACATATAGTTTGGGTTTCTTCTTTAGTAACACTGGATCAATAAGAGATGATCCTTACTGGATCTCTAGGAAGAACGTTTAGAACTGATAGAGCTATCCAGTATAAATAAAGTTAGTTTAGTTTAGGTTTCCTCCTGTAGTAACACTGGATTAATAAGAGATGATCCTTACTGGACCTCTAGGAAGAACAGTTTAGAACTGATAGAGCTATCCAGTATAAATAAAGTTAGTTTAGTTTAGGTTTCCTCCTGTAGTAACACTGGATCAATATAAGATCTAATCTTCATATAAAACCTCAAGAAAGACAAACAGTCCAGATTATTTAACAAGGTCCAAAGAAGAAGTAGAAAAATCGAAGCCTTTCTTTATTTTATTGAATTTGAAATTCTTCAGAGATGAAACAAAGAACTCCAAATCTCGACGATGATTCTTTCTCAAAGGAGCTTTGATAATCGTAGGGAAACTAATGCCCATATATTATGCCTATTGCCAAACTATTGCCAAAGCATCTGAATGTTCTATCGTAGTAAACACCAGTTGACGAAAGATGGCTTAGTTCTCTTCCTAAAACTTACAATCGCGAGTAATAAACAAGATCTCTGCGCAAAATATCACTCTAACATTTGCTACAGAAATGCGATTTTCAAATAAAAAAACAGCCGAGCAAAAAGTTTCATGAAAAGGCTTTCATATGTATGTCCAAAGCGATTTATCTGAATTCTGAAGAATATCGTTTGCCATTATGACATGTGCTGAGTATGTTAAATGTACGTCTCTGATTGGTTCGTCAAAGTTTGTTGGAGGTTCGCAATTGCGAGGCAGACAATACAATGACAGGCGTATAAGAGCGAATTTATAATTATGTATATATACAAATTGGAAGTTGAAAGAGTAGGAACAAAGTTTTCTCCCGTCGTGTAAAAGAAGAAAGTTAACGAAACAAAGCTTCTGGCTTGCTTTATCGTAGACATTCGCCTTGAATAGTCGCGCCCAGCAGGGGGAGTTTTCCCTGGAGCTAAGATCGTAAATATTAACAAGCTGACCGGGCAGTCACGCATGTCAATAGGTCAAACAAATCGGGCGAATTTGTGAACGACTATCTCTCTAATTTCACGGCGTCGCTCAATACAAGCTCAGGCTGTGTTAGGAGGAATATCTACACAGAAGAAACACTTTCAACAACACTTGACACGGCGTCGATGCGGTAGAAAGGGGAATAATCGGGTAAGTATTATACAGACATGTCTAATGTTGTTACTTGTGAGCAGTCTAAACTTAGTTGTGTCCTTGAGAAGTAGTTTCGGCCTTTAACTCACTCGGAGCCCATCTAAACCCCAGTTCACAACCTTAATTCGTAAAAGTTTGTAGGTTTGGGTAGGTCTTCGCGAAGATTAAGTCCACAGTTGGCAAAGTTTTTGCATAGTTTATGACTTAATGTATTCAAATCTTCATTGCTTACTTATGCTAAAGTAATATTTGAGAAGCTGCCAGCCACCACACTGTGCACGTCTAAAATCAATATAAACTCTCATGAAATGCCCAAAATATTACTTTTCCCTACTTAAATTCCGATTCGAAGGCAAACTTTCTCGAACTTGTTCGAAAGTTTTTCGCTTTCCGATGGCAAAACTAGCAACATCGCACACACATGAAAATATAATAAAGTAGGTTATTTATTGTTCGAATCATGACAAAGAATAGATCATTGTTGGGAATAAAATACACACCACAAACTTTGGAACATAAACACAGCAGCGAGGAGAGACGCGAATTCTCAGCTTTGGAAACAACTTTGAATTTGAGCAGAAAGTCAGTGCCCTTCGGAACCGGTTTCCCAGGCAAAGGTGACTTGTCGCAAAAGGTGCGGGGGTATTTTTTCAAAACTTTTCTAATTAAAATTCAACAAGCTATTTTGAATAGATTTGAAGTGCAGATGAATCAATTAATTTCGCTCACAGCGAGTGAAATAACTTTACGAAACTATCTTGCAAAGAAAGTTCCGGAGCTTTAGCCGAGCAAAACTTCGCTCGAGGAGAGGAATCTTGCAAAGAATTATGAAATAGCGACGGCAGTTTAATTTGTTGTCGCTTTCATACAGGCATCCAAGTCGCGGGGCATATTGAATTACTCCAAGTCTGAAAGAAGTTTGTAAAATCATTGTTGGTGTTCAAAGTGGTAAGATTTCTGAAGTCCGAAGGCTCGTGGGATAATGAAACGAACGTGCGAGTACAGTTTGCCTTCTTTGGAGGTAAGTTTTCAAAGAAGAAGGAGAGATTTTGTGACGGCCTGGAGTTTGGATTGATTGTAATCGTATCGCTTTTTCTGAACCCTCGCAGTAATAGTCAGACCTCATATGGAGTTCGGAATTGTTTTCGTATTTGTCTCATAGAAGCGGACTCAAGTAAACTTTTGCACTTTAAAGCGAGCTAAACTCTTGAAAGTCGACCGCAAAGGCACTCAAGATATTTAGAACTATTCCACAAATGAACTTCGCAACTTTTGTCGCCAGAAAGCGCGCTCGAAAAAGCAAATTTTCCAAACATACAAGCGAATTCTTTGCGACAAAGCCCTAAGGCTATTTGCATATACGATCCAGCTGAAAATTGATACGATTGGAACTATTATTATAAACTGGCAAAAATGAACTTAGAGTTCCCCAATATTGCAACGCGGCTTTCCGGATGTGTTTTTCTGTCTATATTGTGGCCAGCTAAACTTTTGGCGCCAAACTGCGCCGAAAATAACAGTCTTCGAGGTGAAATCGAGATAATTTCATAGTTGTTTGCTTTTTTCGTATCTACTTGTCATCTGTAGTGTTACATATTAAAATATTATTTACAACAAAAACCTGTGGCAGAATTGCCGAGACCAAATTCGGACGTAGCATATCGGGAAAACAAATAGTAATATATAATACGAAGCGGCGATAAAGGACTGATGGATCTTTGCAATAATATATGGCCGAATCTTGCTCAGTTTTTAAGCGAGAGTTTTTTGCAGACTTTTCCCCGGATAACTGAATCGGAAGTGCTTTTCTTTTCCTGTCTCAATGAATGCCGACTTGTCAACTCTATGCATACAAAGGATAAATTTAAATATATTCGCTCATATGTCATCTTTTTCGAATACAATGGCAATGCGTTTTATTCCCGAACCGTCGCTGAAAAGTGACGATGGAAAATTGCAAATTTTTCGACTGTAATTACGTTCGTCCATTTAAAGATAAAATCTTTTGACCTATAAACGAACGCGAGATGGCGGAATAAGAGTTAAGACGGCGATAATTACTCGCTAAACTAAAGAACTTTCAACTGCTTGACTCTTTTGAAGAGAAAAGTGAAAACGACAAGGAACGCGGCTCGTAGTCCAGCAATTCACGCCCGTTTATCGATTTATTTATCAGGACATTATATATAAACATATATAGCAAGCCACCTAAGGATCAATATTTATCCATATAGCGGGCCATATGCGAGACACTTGAAAAAATTTTACATTTAACAGCAGGCACTAACAAACATGGGAAATTAGATTCGGTCGCGTTCACCGAGACTGGCATTCTTCAGCTGCTCTTAAAAGCATTGAGATAAACCTATCTAAAGGGTCTTTTAGAAAACGCAGAAAAGGCAACTCTTACTTAAAATGGAGTAAAGCTGTAAATCGAATCTTAGGTTCGTTGATAACCTACGTCTATAGCGCGGACAGGAGAGGTCACGCAACACTGCGGTGCGATGTACAGCTAGGTTACCAGGGCTTTTGCAAATAGACCCTATTATGAAAGTGGAATCTTCATTAAGGCATTATATTCTAGAAATGGCTGAATGCATAGCATACTAATGGCTTTCCAAATTAGTTGAACATCAACGACTTTCTTACACAGAATGTCATTGTCAAGTATAATAGGGTTCCGTATGGAGTAACCATGTTTGTCTAATTATGATTTCCAATGGCATGCGTTGAAATGACAGGAATGCTTGCATCCATAAATGGTATGAAATCAAATGAATTTGAAGAAAAGGTTAAGCTGTTTTCAGTCAAGTGTCATTGCTCACTGGGCTTCTTGAAGTGTCTAAACTTACGTAATTCTGACAGAACAAAGAACAAAAATATTAAATAATTGTGTTTCCAAGGAGCTTGCCTGAAATTCACGTTTTTAGGAAACGTTTTATGACATACATGATTTAAGCTATAAATCTCCAAAAATGACTCAATCAAAGTGCTCTGGCTGATGGCAGAGTGTCCATGCTATTTGCTATTGTGAGTTTCTCACATATATTTCAGCCCCCACCTACTAGCCCACCGTCCTTCATTGCACCCTAACCCCCATACCCCATCCATTATTGTCTATTCATTTCATCTCACTATGGATCCCTTGTGTATTTTCATCCCCTCCTCTCCAACACTATTCCTCATTTCCCCATTCAACCCCCCGCCTTCCATGTATTTTGAGCCACCCCCGACTAAGCCCCGGTTCCGTGCCCTCTGATCCCCGCCTCACCTCTAACCTGTTTCCGCTTGTAATGATCATAGCGGCAAAAATAACATTGCTACCCCCCCCACGCACTCGTTAAATTAAAATGATTGATTTTGCAACCAGAAGGTGCGAAAACTTCCCATTTGCTTTTCAATATGAACAGCCACAAAGAGCAAAATAATTTGTTATGCTGATAAGTTGATAGGACACAGCTCTGTCTTTAGTGCTGAATTTGTACGAAATAAGAGCTACCATATGTTTTGTCGAAGCTTGCAGCAAACTAAGCCATTAAATGCCTGTTTACAATTAAATCGGAATGAAAGGATGTATTTATTCATGGGAAAGCAATTTCCTTCAAATTTATATATTGACATAGGCACAAGCTCAATATTACTTGGAAGTTGCTGCTTGTGCAAAACAATGCCTCAGTTATAGCTTTTGGTGAGAAAAACTTTGCAAAAGTTACCCTTTCAGTGTTTAAGGCTGAATTATGTACACTACAACCCATAAACCGGATATCCTACGGCAGTTCTTGTATTGGGACTGGATTGTTTAAGTCTGTTTATATGGCCATTGAAATGAGACTGCATTAATTTAGCGTTGTATAATTGTGTGTATCTTAGATAAATGAATCATGTTCAAAGTTTTTCAGTACCAAGACTGATTACTATTTCAATGGTCTATCATCTGAACTCTGTGCAGGAAAGACAGTAGCATTTATAGCTAAATAATACAGGTATCCATTACTGCTGCATTATTTAGGTTGTAATATCTCCTTTGTGGGGCAAATATCCCCTTAGGGCATGTCATAAATGCTTGGCTGAACATCTATGAAATGAGATGAAATATCCAGCTGATTTCATTGTTTGCCAAAGCATGGCTCATAAAGCTTTCTCTTTTCAATTTCCACACTTTTGAAGTGTCTACTGGAGAAGTCTTGTAGACATTGTTGATCATTGGGCAGTGGCCTTGCTATCTAGGGTAACTTTAGAAGCACTCAAGAGATCTGACTTACTGTCTGTCAGTTGACCTTAATAGAGAGCACTTGATGTGTTGATCCAAATTGTCTGGTGTAATATTACATGTGCATTGAGGCTTTGCATTGAGGTAGGCCATAACAGCAAAGATAAGATGAGGGGCAGGCAAAGCAGGTGGGGGGACCCAGGGGGTTGCAACCCCTCCTATTAAAAGAGGACTACAAAACCTAAAACAATATCTTTCATTGTCTATGAAACAAGCTTCCATGGTCAACATTTGAGAAGCTATCCAGTTCGGGGTTGACATGAAGTACAAATATGCATCGTGAAGATTTCTAATGCCGTTTGGTTTAAGGCTTTAAGCGCCGTATTAAACGTTCAAAATTATTCCTTCATACCGTCCCGGCTGTGTGAAATATATTTATTTAAAAAAAGATAAATTCTCTCTTAATTAAAAAGCAAGTATAGATGCTGATAAGGTGATAAAAACGAGGGATGTTTTGGCTTGAACCAACGGAAAGTTTAACAAACATGTTTAATTAAAATTGTACAACATTTCAAAATGGCTGACCGTTTCAGAACCGTTCTACTTTGTATAAATGTACCACATCTTGTCATTTACCTTATTCAGATGTCCCTTTCTAACTTGATTTGACGTTCAAATACCGCACCATGTTTCCAAGTACTTTGTTTTGAACAGAAATCTCTGTAAAACTGTTGAAATTAAAACAGAACTCTCCGCTTTGAAAAACGGTTACATAAATACTCCTTTCTGTTATTTCGTTTTTCTAACACGAAGTAACGGTAGAGTTTAATTAAAGAGCACAATCTGACCAATCAGAAACCAGGCTTTCACCCACCGAAATTTTCACCTTCGTCAACCTTGGTCATCACTTTAATCAGAATTTGCATTTTTCGCGCCGTCAAAATTTCTGGTCGTCTCTGGTCATCATCTCAGATTATGCGCGCGAACGCTAATGACACCCTTGGCCTTACATCTCTCTTGAATGAATCAACTTGAATATTATGCACTGAATATGTAGCTGTAAACAGTATCGTTGTTTTAAGGTTAAAAACATTTAGTTTGCTTGTTGAATAAAACGAGAGACTTGCTTTCTATTTTGAACTAAACCACGGTTAACCACCAACAGCTAAACGGGTTTGATACAACCGGACCCAGGACGATTATTTATAAACGCCTTGTTGTCTGTCTTTACCACAGTTTACTAAATGCGAATGAATTCCAATGTATTTTAGGAGGAATTTGAATCCAAGACACCCAGATTGTTACTACGGATCTCCAACGGTCAGATCAAGCAACCGTTGAAAACCGAATCGTATTCGGAGGACGACAGCCCGGGATCTGACAGTGATGCCGAACTGGCGACAGTTGAAAACAATTGTGAGATTTGTGGAGAGATCGTGGACACCGAACAGTTTCAATTGCCTGGGAAACGATACTACTGTAGCTACGAGTGTTTGGAAGTTGATGCAAAGGATTGCAGAGACGACAGCGAGAGTGGTGAAAATGAGGTGTTTTTGAGTAAGGTGAGGTTTGCAAAAGTGTCTGCACTCTACAGCACCAATTTTCGACGCAAATCAACGAAACAATCGCAGTTTCGACTATATTACAAATGTGTTCAAAGTGTGTGATCATATCTGCGAGTTCTATCACCCGTAAACTACAAAACAAGAGTCTGCTTTCAATTTTTTAAGTGTTTGGTAGTAAATATTGAAAACGGTGAACATTAAAAAATGTTTTAGCCATTTTGTGACGTCATGCATTAAAATAAGTACGTCATTCATTAGAATAAGTACGTCATTCATTAGAATAAGTACGTCATCCAAGATGGCGGATGCTTGATTTGAAAAGTAGTTAAAATGTGTACAATTTTGTAAGAAAAATAATTTTGTAAAATTACTCTTGTGTGAAAGTAGGTGAAAAGTGGTTGCTATTACAAAAACCCTTCAAGTTTCATGAATCTAAGAAAAATTTCCACTCTGATTAAAAAAAAATTGATGGTGACTATTTTTTGTAAAGGATGACAACGATTACCTCGCCGATGAACAAGTTCAAAAGACCAATCGTGATATGAAAAGATACGGTTCAACTGGTGAGAAATAAGAGTTCTTTCTCCCTTTATTCAATACGTTCTATGACCCTGTCTGTTGGTAAGCCTAAAATTCTTGTTTTTCGTTCGTAACATTATTCTATTCTTTTGTTTTTTTCACAGCATCAGCGCAAGAGCTTCTCGGGTGAGCAAACATTGTATCAACAACAGAGGGTCTTGTCAATTTCCTTCAATACATAACTTTTCTGTGTGTTTTTTTCAGCTGTTCCACGCCTGGTTGTGATGGAAAAGGCCATGCTAATGGGAAATTCTCTACACACAGAAGGTAGCAAATAATGTAAAAATATAATGATATCTTTTATGTGGTATTTATCAAGAGAACATGAGAGTTACGAATCGATCTTTGCGTAGATTTTATTCGTTGCTTTCATCCTGCTTTCATCAACAAAACTGTGCAATTTTTAGCGTCCAAGGTTGTCCAAACGTTTCCAAGGAAGAAAATAGAAAAGGTGAGTGATTTAGAGTAAGGTTAAGCCATGAAACTGGTAATCCCCTAAAACTAAGAATCTTGGTGCGTTGCCAAATGTTTAATATGGTCATCCAGCCCAAGATGGTAAATCGTCTTTTAAAAAAAAAACACGCGCTTATACCATCACATATTTTTTTATTAGCTCAACTAAATTCCGAGGGTCAAGATGATAAGTAAGTCAATTTGAGAAGTCTTAAATTTTCTTGAGATTTCGCACGAAGCTGCTTAACCAAACCGTATCTTTCATTTTAGAACATTTCGCCATTTCTTCTCACGATGTCCTACGAAAGGTTGCGACGGAACTGGGCACAAGTCAGGCCTCTACGCCACTCATAGAAGGTAATGGATACTGATGTATAATAATGGATTGTGATTTATGTTGATGGATCACGTTATACATCGATGGATCGTGTTGCATATCGATAGATCTTAATGTATATTGATGGATCTTTATGTATACTGATGGATCATAATGTATATCGATGGATCGTGATGTATATCGATGGATTTTAATGTATATTGATGGATCTTAATGTATATTGATGGATCTTGATGTAAATTGATGGATGGTAATGTATATTGGTTTATCGATATGAACTATTTATCCTCATATAGCCTCTACGGATGTCCCAGAAGAACGGCTAAAAAAGGTAATTTTTGGCCTCAGAAAGCTTGCTTTTCCTTTCCTATTTTCATTCAATGGTTTTCATCGATCGTTTTCTCTGGCTTTCAGCATATAACTTCGTCATTGAAGGGGGAAGCTCGTTGAAGTAAGTCGCAATGAACTGCCATGTTATGTTTGACGAGAAAATAACCCTTGAAAAAGATGATTAATTTCAAAAGATACAAATGACAAAAGTTTCACTTTATTTCACAGATGCCCTGTTCCTGGCTGCGACAGCTCTGGTCACAGAACCGGTCTTTACACTTCGCACAGAAGGTAAGTTTGTCGATCAATAAAAATTGATAGAAATGTTCCTCTGAAATGCGTTTCATTTGATGGAGGGGTGCCTCTTCACTCTGTACCTCTGTGGTTAGTTCCGTCGGCAGTGAGGCTTCGTTTTTGTCCACAATTGTCTAATAAAGCTTTTTTTTTCTCATCAACAGAGCGTCTGGCTGTCCTCTGGCCGCAGCAAGGAGACACTACGAACGGCAGTTATCACCTTCAACTAAAACCAAACGAGGTCAGATCTCACATTTTTATAATGAAAGAATTCCTGAGCAATGGAAATGACAAAGAGAAATAATTTTAGGTCGTCGCCCTTCCATATTGAACATGGGCCAAGGTGTTCTTCAAGACAGTCCAACTTCTCCAGACTCAGGAATTTCATCGGGTTCCAGTCTCGAAGACCTTAACTCGGCCAAGAAGGACGTAAACACAGGTTCCCCCAAAGAAAAGGTTCATTTCACATTCCCTCGACCGGCAGAGAGTAATCCAGGAATACCTTTCTCAGCGACAATGGTTCGACCAAGTAGAGTTGCCAGCCCTCTGTCAAATTCAACCCCCGGAAATACAGCTTCAATGAGGTGAGGATTAGACGGATTATTAATGAATATAACTGGATGTTTATGGTTTATTGGGGGTATCTGATGCTGTCTAGAGGTACCATTTAACGAGGTCTAATAATTACGTTTCTATTGCGCGCAGTTCTGTTGTCTGGAGTGTTGGTTATCAAAGTCCGATTGCCCCCACCGGGATCGCCACCAGTGTCGTACAAACTGCGCACATCAAGCAAGAACCCAGGGGGGTGAAGTCAGAGGAAGGAGACAAAGATCTGATGTGTTCCGATGAAGAATTCTCCGATGAATCCAGCGGTTCTGAGGAATTTATTCAAGGTTTGTAGACGCTCTCGCTCCGGTGGTCAGTAATAGGACTGGCGGGCAATATGTTAATCTATTGTAGAGAGTTTAGGACCCGGCGACCGTTGATAGTCGTTCAATCTAATGAAATCAGCCCTTTGATATATTTTCTTTTTAATTTCAGAGCCACGCCATCAGTTCAGGTGAGTTGGCTGCGAATCAAAGTTTCCTTCTTCACTGACAAGGAAATTCGTGTTTTCTTTGCGTAAAATAACCGAGCAGAAAGTTGAGTAAAGTGGGAGAAATAATCGAAATTACACGACTAAACAGACTAATATTTTCCTTCATAGTTTGCCAATGCCTGAAAGACAGGAGAAACTAGCAACTGAAGTCAAGACAGAACCAACTAACGACGACGATGCAAGCAACGAATATAATAAAATGATTGAAGTTTCATCAAACAGGTGAATAAACACAGCGTTGTGAACGTTTGTACGTGAAATTACGAGACGTTTTACGAGACAATTCACTAACATTTATCTCTGGATCTAGTAGAAATCTGCCCAATACCTCAGCGGACAATGGACAACCACGACAGCCTGGTAAGCAAAGCCATATTTGCATGTGTTTCAACTGAAAGGCTCGTTTATACACTTGGATTTTTCCTGCGAAGTTTGTGTGCGATTTTTGATTGATGTGAACGAGTGCCTAGTTACGAATCGCCTGATGAATAAGAGCTCTTTTTTGAACATCAGTAACTAATTCACTCGTTCACATCTATCAAAAGAGAAAAATCACAGCAAAAATTCTCTATAAAGGAGCTTTCCAATCACCTCTGACTGAGTTTCAAATCATTTTGATTCATTGCCACATATCCTTCCTTGTTTAATGCTCGTATATTTTCTTCTTCTTCAGAGCATACAGAAGTAAGGTAAGACAATCCAGTGTTTTCAAAGACCTCCGGGCAATTTTGAAGCTGAACTTAGAGCAATATTTTGAACTCCACTGATGAAACATCACTGTCCATCTTCAGATGTCCCACTGTGGGTTGTGATGGCACTGGTCACGTTACTGGACGCTTTGCTTCTCATCGTAGGTAAGTTCGGAGGTTGCCTTTTTGATTTTGAAATCAAATTTTGTCTCATTGCACTTCGAATCGGAAAGATCATTTGGTGTATTGATGACTTTTTGTTTCATAGTTTGTCTGGCTGTCCTCTGGCGCCCAAGTCAACACCAGTGAAGACTGAAACAGGTGAGGGGATAACAACAGACACCCCCCCTCGCTTCTCAACCAGGGACCGGTTGTATCAATCCCTTTTAGCTTAAACGGTGGATACGTTCAAAATAGAAAGCAAGTCTATCGTTTTATTCAACAAGCAAACTAAATGTTTTTAACCTTAAAACAACGATACTGTTTACAACTACATATTCAGTGCATAATATTCAGGTTGACTCATTCAAGAAAGATGTAAGAGTGTTATTAAATTTTGACTTATCCACCGTTTAAGCCAAACGGGTTTGATACAACCGGCCCCAGGGGCCCAAGTTTCGACTCCTCAACCACATAAATTAGAAATAAACTTTTCCACCTTCGTTAAAAAGAATACGCACCCTTGATCGAATCTAACACTTTCTTCTTTCTCGCAGATAACAACAATCCCGAAAGAGCGCTGTAAGTATTTTAAACACCGAGTTTTTCGGCATACATTTCGATTTCATATAATTTTACAACCTCACAATATTCACGCTCTATCACGTTCAGGTGTCCGACCCCAGGTTGCGATGGTTCAGGTCATGTAACTGGTCAATTCCAATCCCACAGAAGGTAATTAGCGAATCAGCGAAGACCACGCTTAGGAGTGATCCCGTGACCGAATCACTGATCTCATTTTGATAACTTCATTGGATCATTGGAGAAAATCATATTTTCGTGGGAGCTCAAAATATCTTGGAATTCTTTGTGTAGTTTATCCGGGTGTCCAAGAGTGTCGGTGGAAACGAAGAAGGAACTCATGAGACGTGAAGTGGAAATCAAGTTAGCGTGCGGGGATAATTCACCGGAGGTTGGTCCTAAACCAATCAAAATGCAAGCTGAACAACGTAAGTTCAAACTATCAACGGCTGAACATTTCACTAAAGGAAGAAGAGTTCCACAGATTTTCATTGATCATCTGATGATTGATCACCTAATCAGTGCTCAAATGTAGCCAATATGCATGACAACAGTAATTATTGGTGATTATCCGCCAATTAGCGCTAATGGAGTGTTCTAATTATGTCTTATCCATTCTCGCAGACATCGATCGCGTACGAGAGATCGAGAATTTGGACAAAGAAATTCGCATCCTCAAGGCGACGAACGACCAGTGCACGAAGGAGAACTTCGAGCTACGAAAATCCATTTCAGAGATGGAAAATCAACTGAAGTCGAGCGAGGAGGAAGTGGAAGAGATGAGGACAGGTCACAGCATCGCACGCACCAAACTAGTCATCTTACAAACTAAATTCATCGCCAGTCTCTCGAGCGTCATGCACAACATTTCTGGCACAGGTAACCTAAATTACAACACTTTCGATAACTGCATCGATATTCTTAGCGAAGTATTTTCTCAACCCGAGCTGAACGCGGTTGCCATACGACAAGTCAAGGAGGCCCTGAGCGATTTTAATATTTAATTTGTTTTAGTTTTAACTTCCAGGAATGCGCGCATTGTGAACGAGCGGCAGACGTTTTAACACGCATGCGCATATCCACGTTTCCTGTTATAAGAGATCTGTAGGGTAGCAGCGTCTTTAGAAATCTTACCATGAAATAGGTCCAGCGACTGGCTTCTAAGCTATACAGGAAAACTTCGGGACGTTTCGACATATAATTTCATCACAGAAGCTAGAAATATGCCAACTTTCATCAGGGAGGTTAGATATAAACCATCAATGATTATGGCTACTTTCCTGCATTGGTCGAAACGTTGAGAAGTTTTCTTTTATATTTGACGCAGTTTTTTGAAACTATTTCATGAGAAGATATTCACATGCAGACTGAATTCAGTTCGAGGCCTTAGGTTGTAGAAGTGAAATGTATTTTTCGCGCGCAAAGCTTTATTATATAGAACTGCGCTCAGACTAGTGTTCACAATGTATAGTCATTCTAGGAAGTTAAAGACTGATTGTAGCCTTAGTATCTCATATGTGACATTGGAATTTGGAAAGACAGTTTTCACCCTCGAAGAGAGTGTCTTTCATAGCAAACGAGGTCAGTTGCTAGAAATAAGACGTTTTCTTCGAGTTCATGAGCTGGTTATTATTCCAGAAGTACTTTCGCAGACCATTGATAACTAGTAATCGATACGATGGTTACTATATTGTACATAGAAGGGCTAAAATCCTGGGTCTGAGATAATAGGTGTGATTAGAATAACTACGGTCTAATTAAAGATTACCTCGGATATTGATCAGGGACCAGATTGTTCGAAAGGCGGATAAGCCATTGTTTAAAAATACTCTTGATACATCTTGTGAATGAGTGAACCTGCGTCTTATGCATTAAATATGTACTTTCATTGAAAATTAAACTATTTACATCGAAATATATCAGCTCAGTTGTTCAATAAATAGATAATTTTGTTTTCCATTTTGAACTTATCCGCCTTTTAAGGCTAAACGCCTTTCGAACAACCGGTTCAAGGCGTTTCTGAATCGCCAGTCCCCGAGTATTTTATTGCAATTCTCAGTTACACCTTTGAAAAACAAGCCAAATGTTTGCCAACTTTGCAAACGTATGCCGGCCATTGTGTAACTTTTTTTCAATTTTCAGTTGGAGAAATGTGTACCATAGATCTGTTTCTAAGAAAATATAAGACCACTTTACCTTTTCTGAGAATTGAGCTTGTTTCGTAACCTCATTGAGTGCTAAAACGACAAACAATTTGACCAGTATGAAATTCAACGAAGATTTTAAAATCGTCTTGAGATATTTTAGCTTTATATATGTTCGCTGCCGTCAACATCGATATGGAAACATCGATCAATCTGAATAATCTTTATATTAACCCGATTGTGTGAGTAGGTTTGATGACTTCAAAATAACCTGGAGTGATAGCTTGGTGTTTTTAGTACATACGCACGTAAACGTTTAAAACCCTCCGAGCTTCTTTAACAAGGGTTAATTTACACTACGCGATATGTCGTATACGATTCTTATCCTGGCGTATGTGAACGTGTAAACACAAGTATAAACGTGACATTTTAATTCCATTCCGCTTTGAACAATACGACTGAAGATTGTGCCATGGCCCGGGCCCTCTTTCCCATTCGTCAGAATGATAATTGCATACAACTAATCGTCTATGGCTTTAGATTTTGAAACTTAAATTGAAAAAATCATTCTAAATCATTATTTATTCATTCGGTTGTTTTAGTTACAAATAGATTTAAACGTTTACGTGGTCGTACGTATTATAAAACAGGAGATAGGAACAGACCAGTTTTGATTGACCGTTCTTTTAAAAGGGAATACACAATAGACGAAATCGTAATCATTGTACAGGGTCAGGGTGTCCCGAAAAAAAAAGCAACCACTTAAATATGCAGAACATTAATACAGCTCTAAAGCGCAATAGATAAGCACCTCTGGGAATTGAAAATGGCTCTTAATCCTTCATTTACAATGCTAAAAGTCATTTTAGCTGAACTATGGTGCAAACCCGAACAATATTAATATTCTTGCATATTTAAGTGGTTGCGTTTTTTTTGGGACACCCTGTGTAGCCCCCAACCCCTCCTCCCACAACAAACCATTCAAGTTGGTTCGGCAAACAAACACGTGACATTTTTGACACTGTTTTGTGTTTTCAAACAGAATTTAGTTTCTGGTATTTTAGTGTATGAAATGAAATGCGTTTTACTGATGCAAACACAGTGTACATTAGACTAGTCATAATTCATGTCATTTTTTGGGGGTTTTATTGCTGTTACGATCACGTGATGTCTGCATGGTGCTATATGATCAATAATAATTCCATGTCCAGTAAATCTTAAATTACACGAATTTAATCCTAAAGATAAGTTAGGATTAGATCCTAGATTAGGATTAACCCCGAGCTTAAATCTAACCGTAATCCTAACCTAATCTCAAGGATTAAACTCGTGTATGATTAGAGTCCAGGCCATCACAGACATAGCGTAACGTAACATTACCACAATTTGCATGGAACTACGGTGACTGAGCTATAGAACTGGACTACAAAATTCAAGACATTGTCCAACAATATATTATAAATATATATATATATACACACATAACCTTTAGCTTGTATTGTAGAGAAATTTTAAGAAGCGTGAATCTGGTGAAGCGCATGCGTTTTAGCATGAATAGCAAACGCCATTTTCATTGTAACAAATATATATATTCCAACATTTTATATGTAGCATGTTATGTGTAACCTTACTTAAATGTGCTGACGTCAATGGTGATTTTGGCGGGAAAATATAGCCTCGTTTACGTGTAACTCGCCACAAAGGCCTTCTGCCGGTTATTTCAAGGTTTGCAACTTTTTGCACAAATCGGAAACTGGCCTTGAGAGTTCTGTTTTAAGATATGGCTAGCCCTACAGCGACTTTGCAATCTGGATGAAATAGGTCTTTTATACGAACTGATAACAAGGCCTGTTCATTTAGTGATTAATTGAGGGTACAGCCTGCTGAAAGAACGCATCTAAATCAGAGGGCAATGCAATCATATAGAAGACGCGTAATTAAACACGAGTGGAAATCTTCGTAGGTAATAAATATGTCTAATATCAAGAATGCAAAAATAAGACACCAGGAAAAAAATCGCAGTATAAAACTAATAAAAGTGACAATATCACAAGTAAAACCGGCCTCGTACAAGCATACAAGGATTCATCTGACAACATATCCTACTGTATGTTAGAGTTCATGAATAGGTACTTTAAAGAGGATCTGATTTACATCAAACTAATCAAAGCTTCGACTTGGTGCCCCCCGCTTTGGAAAGATGAATGTTCAAATTCTCGGAAGGGATCATCCGAAGTTCTTACGACGGCATCCGACGATGGACATTTGCACACACAATAGTAAAAAAATAAAAAAGCGCCGGAAAAAAGATTGGATGAGAAATTGAAACTACAGAGATCCAACCTTTTTCCAAAAAGATCACTGATATTTTACTGCAGAACCTTCCACCAGCTTCTGAAGTGGTTGTTAATGATACAGGCAAAAACCAGGGTCAACAATCGTTCGTTGGATCTTCGGTGGGCGGGAGATCATTCTTTGTTATTTTGTACATGGTTGCAAAGTAATCTGTATTGCTGGCTTTTTCTTTCAACGCAGAGTTCTCAGCCTTCAGATTTTCAATTATTTCATACAACTTAAAGGAGAAAAACAGGTTTTGAAAGGTTTGAAGCAAGCTTTGATAGGGATAGCGAGATGAGCCTGGGCTATGGGTATACTATACCTTTCATGTTTTCAAATCCCGACCAGAGAAAAGGGCCACCCTCTGGAAATTCTGCACTCCTCCTTGCACAATATAAGCCCGGTATACATTCATGTTTTCATCTAAACTAAACACCACCAGAGAAGGGCCACCCCCCTGGAAAACCTACACCCCCACAAGATAAACCAGGGTATACCTTCATGTTTCATCCAAACTAGTCACAACCAGAGAAGGGCAACCCCCCACTGGGAAAACCTACACCACCCGCAAACTAAGCTAGGGTATACCTTCATGTTTCATCCAAACTAGTCACAACCAGAGAAGGGCCACCCCCCTGGAAAAACCTACACCCCCCACAAGACAAGCAAGGGTATACCTTCATGTTCTCTTCCAAAGTCTCCTCAAGAGCTTTGCGACGTTCCTCTGCCAATAATTCCCAATACTTTTCTGGTGCCTGGTCTTGAAGTGAAAAAATTATATAGTACATTGCTTCAGGATTTGTAGCATCATTTTAACTCCATTGTTTTTTCTGCAATGCTGACTCTACTTGCAAATCGACCTCTCAAAGTCAACTTTCAACTCTGTTATATTCATATGTCTCAACAACAAGAACAACTAGTTTCAACCACAATCATGAACTGCAATGCAGTACTTACCTAGCACCATCAAGGAAAGAACTTCGTCAGAGGATGAGGCGACATCAGGCCTTACAGCAACCGAAGTGATAGCATTTTCAACCTCAGATGAACTTGATTTTGTTTCATCCTCTTCAGATTGTTTAGAAAGATAGTGTTTGAGTTGTTTTTGTGTGGATGATAAAGCATTTCTTTGTTGTGTTCTTTTCTATACAAGAAAATATTGAACATGAGATCAAGCTTTAATCAAAATAGGTCAGAAATATCACCGTTTATAGTCAATGTAGTTTCGTGGACACATTTTTACCTTTGGTTTCTGCGTGTCCCGTTTTGTTTTCCGACCGCTTGTTCCTCCAACAAGTAATTTCTGACCGTCGGCAGAGGGCTGAAGGACTTTTAGAGACGTTCGCTTTTCACGACCCTCAAATAAAGACAGACTCGACGAGGAAGAATCATCTGATTTCGTCTGAAATTTTGAAACAGAAATATGAGAAAAGCTGATAAAAATCCTAACATTTTGCAAATACCTCGCATATCAAACCATACCAAACATTTCATGGCAACCAAATAAATAAATAAAACATATCTCGAAAGGTTTTAATATTCTCGTTCTTTACGCTGGAAATATAAATACCTTTGTGTCTTTTACGAGCGACTTTGATTTAGATGATTTGCCATTTTCGTCCGATTTTCCGACGGCTTTCGTGTGTCTTCTTGGTGAATACACAAGTTTTGTTGCTTTCGGTTGCTCCCTCATGTTTTCTGTGAGTGTAGAAGTTGAACAAGACAGTTTATCTTCCTTCTTCGTCCTTTGAACTTCGACTGCTTGCTGAAAACGTGAAAATGTTTCGTCCGCCATCTTTTTAAACCCTCCCGCGCAAAGCCGCCATTGATGTCGGAGCACCTTCGGTCTGGGTTCGCCATCGTCATTGCACGAACTGCCAAATAAGGAAATGCTCGGGTCTCTTGCTGATGAATGTAAAAAAGTGAGAAATTAGCGCAGATTCACCAACTCGGCGCTGTAATTTGGAAATATTTTGGTGTAGAAAGAAGAGAAAAAAGGTTCTGCGTCAAAGGTAAGCTTTATCCTCTGTGAGAAAAGCGATAATTTAGCAACCAGGTTTGTAATATGTTTATCTACATAGTTTTTTAAACTTATCGGTGATTGGGACGATTGGAGGAAGGCGGGATTCATATTATAAAAATGGCGCAAAAAATTCTCAAAATTGTGAGAATGGTTTCAGTATCGTAACCAGCCAGACAAATTTGTCGTGTGAAAACACTGAATTTCTAAAGAAATGAATGATTGTAATGAGTTGAAGAAGCCCGTCATCCTCTATTAAAGCTCCAAGCGTCGTTTTTATTGTGATTTTCAATGTTTGCAAGTGTTTTCAAGAAGTATCAAATGTTTGCAACACATGCGCAGTTAGTGTTAGTAATACTAACTGCTCTATTAGCCAGGATTGAATCTACATAATCTATGATTTTGAATTGTGATATTAAGATTATGAATTTGATATTTCATATGTCTGAGGTGGTTCAGAAATATGTAAGATTTATAGCAGCTAGAGGGTCTGCAATGCTTCATAATGGCAGTTGAAATGACAGTTATAAAGAATCTAATTTATAGTCATGTCTTTCTATTTCATTTAGTTTTTATTGAAATAAAAAGAAGTTGTAAAACACAGTAAAACATGCCTGAAAAATGCAATTACTGTGATAAGACTTTTTTGTGGAAAAGCAATTTGACTGAACATAAAAGAACACATACTGGAGAGAAACCTTATGAATGTGATGTTTGTGATAAAAGATTTTCACTGGCAGATAACTTAGAAACACATAAAAGAACACATACTGGAGAGAAGCCTCATGAATGTGATGTTTGTGATAAAAGATTTTCACTGGCACGCAACTTAAGAAGATATAAAATAACTCATACTGGAGAGAGGCCTTATAAATGTGATGCTTGTGGCCAAAAATTTTCACAAGCAGGCAACTTTATAATAAGAAAACATGAAAGACTACATACTGGTGAGAAGCCTTATGAATGTGATGTTTGTGATAAAAGATTTTCACAGGCAGATAACTTAGAAACACATAAAAGAACACATACTGGAGAGAAGCCTCATGAATGTGATGTTTGTGATAAAAGATTTTCAAACACAGGCGAGACTTTGTGTCTTTAACAAGCGACTTTGATTTAGATGATTTGCAATTTTCGTCCGATTTTCCGACGGTTTTCGTGTGTCTTCTCGGTGAATACACAAGTTTTGTTGCTTTCGGTTGCTACCTCATGTTTTCTGTGAGTGTAGAAGTTGAACAAGACAGTTTATCTTCCTTCTTCGTCCGTTGAACTTCGACTGCTTGCTGAAAACGTGAAAATGTTTCGTCGGCCATCTTTTTAAACCCTCCCGCGCAAAGCCGCCATTGATGTCGGAGCACCTTCGGTCTGGGTTCGCCATCGTGATTGCGCGAACTACCAAATAAGGAACTGCTCGGGTCTCTTGCTGATGAATGTAAAAAAGTGAGAAATTAGCGCAGATTCACCGACTCGGCGCTGTAATTTGGAAACATTTTGGTGTAAAAAGAAGAGAAAAAAGGTTCTGCGTAAAAGGTAAGCTTTATCCTGTGTGAGAAAAGCGATAATTTAGCAACCAGGTTTGTAATATGTTTATCTACATAGTTTTTTAAACTTATCGGTGATTGGGACGATTGGAGGAAGGCGGGAATCATATTATAAAAATGGCGCAAAAAATTCTCAAAATTGTGAGAATGGTTTCAGTATCGTAACCAGCCAGACAAATTTGTCGTGTGAAAACACTGAATTTCTAAAGAAATGAATGATTGTAATGAGTTGAAGAAGCCCGTCATCCTCTATTAAAGCTCCAAGCGTCGTTTTTATTGTGATTTTCAATGTTTGCAAGTGTTTTCAAAAAGTATCAAATGTTTGCAACACATGCGCAGTTAGTATTAGCCAGGATTGAATCTACATCATCTATGATTTTGAATTATGATATTAAGATTATGAATTTGATATTTCATATGTCTGAGGTGGTTCAGAAATATGTAAGATTTATAACAGCTAGAGGGTCTGCAATGCTTCATAATGGCAGTTGAAATGACAGTTATAAAGAATCTAATTTATAGTCGTGTCTTTCTATTTCATTTAGTTTTTATTGAAATAAAAAGAAGTTGTAAAACACAGTTAAACATGCCTGAAAAATTCAATTACTGTGATAAGACTTTTTTGTGGAAAAGCAATTTGACTAAACATAAAAGAACACATACTGGTGAAAAGCCTTATGAATGTGATGTTTGTGATAAAAGATTTTCAAACACAGGTGATTTAAGGAGACATAAAAGAACACATACTGGAGAGAAGCCTTATGAATGTGATGTTTGTGATAAAAGATTTTCAACTTCAGGCAACTTAAGACAACATAAAAAAACACATACTGGTGAGAAGCCTCATGAATGTGATGTTTGTGATAAAAGATTTTCACAAGCAAGCGATTTAAGGAGACATAAAAGAACTCATACTGGAGAGAAACCTTATGAATGTAATGTTTGTGATAAAAGATTTTCACAGGCAAGCAGTTTAAGAATACATAAAAGAACTCATACTGGAGAGAAGCCTTATGAATGTGATGTTTGTGATAAAAGATTTTCACGGGCATCCGATTTAAGAATACATGGAAGAATACATACTGGAGAAAAGCCTCATGAATGTGATGTTTGTGATAAAAGATTTTCACAGGCAGGCAACTTAAGAATACATAAAAGAACACATACCAGCAAAAACTGTTCACATGCCAGTTCTTTAAGAAATCATAAAAAATCACATGAATGTGATGGCTCAGTAATACATAAAAGAGCAGGAAAAATGGCTAATGTCCATCTTAAGTTAAATACAACAGAACTAGTTTGTGTTGGTTATATTTGTGGAGTGTGTGGTCATGAGTTTGATGTTCAAAGTGAACTTGAAGATCATATATATACCACCCATCATAATATGATGATGGCTTACTAACTTGATTAGATGTGAATATTTTGTGGGATATCTTAATATTTTGTTCAAGTTCTTTCAAATATACAGAACTTGTTGTTATTATTTTGTAACATAAACAATGACGTTTTTTTAATCATTCGCATATTAAATAATACGGTTGGGTTACATGGGTTGAAATTTGTAAATTATGTGCTGAAAAAGTAAATTCTAAAATATCAAAGATTAGATGATTGATTAGATGTAAATATTTTGTGGGATATCTTAATATTTTGTTCAGATTATTTCAAGTATACAGAACTTGTTGTTCTTATTTTGTAACAATGACGTTTTTTTCATCACTTGCATGTTAAATAATGCGGTTTGGTAACATGGGTTGAAAATTAAACAAGACTTTTTTCCTTTTTCGTCCTTTGAACTTCGACTTCTTGCTGAAAACGTGAAAATGTTTCGTCGGCCATCTTTTTAAAGCCTCCCGCGCAAAGCCGCCATCGATGTCGGAGCACCTTCGGTCTGGGTTCGCCATCGTGATTGCGCGAACTGCCAAATAAGGAATTGCTCGGGTCTCTTGCTGATGAATGTAAAAAAGTGAGAACTTAGCGCAGATTCACCGACTCGGCGCTGTAATTTGGAAATATTTTGGTGAAAGTGAAAAAAAAGTTCTGCATCAAAGGTAAGCTTTATCCTATGTGAGAAAAGCGATAATTTAGCAACCAGGTTTGTAATATGTTTATCTACATAGTTTTTTAAGCTGATCGGTGATTGGGACGATTGGAGGAAGGCGGGAATCATAAATAAAAATGGCGCAAAAAATTCTCAAAATTGTGAGAATGGTTTCAGTATCGTAACCAGCCAGACAAATTTGTCGTGTGAAAACACTGAATTTCTAAAGAAATGAATGATTGTAACGAGTTGAAGAAGCCCGTCATCCTCTATTAAAGCTCCAAGCGTCGTTTTTATTGTGATTTTCAATGTTTGCAAGTGTTTTCAAGAAGTATCAAATTTTTGCAACACATGCGGAGTTAGTATTAGCCAGGATTGAATCTACATAATCTATGATTTTGAATTGTGATATTAAGATTATGAATTTGATATTTCATATGTCTGAGGTGGTTCAGAAATATGTAAGATTTATAGCAGCTAGAGGGTCTGCAATGCTTCATAATGACAGTTGAAATGACAGTTATAAATAATCTAAGTTACAGTCATGTCTTTCTATTTCAGAGCGAGAATAAAGTTGTGAAACACAGTTAAACATGCCTGAAAAATGCAATTACTGTGATAAGACTTTTTACTACAAAAGCAAATTGACTGAACATACAAGAACACACACTGGTGAGAAGCCTTATGAATGTAATGTTTGTGATAAAAGATTTTCACTGCCAGGCAGCTTAACAATACATAAAAGAACACATACTGGAGAAAAGCCTCATGAATGTGATGTTTGTGATAAAAGATTTTCACTGGCAGGCAACTTAAAGATACATAAAAGAACACATACTGGTGAGAAGCCTTATGGATGTGATGTTTGTGATAAAAGATTTTCACATGCAGGCAGCTTAAAACTACATAAAAAAACACATACTGGAGAGAAATCTCATGAATGTGATGTTTGTGATAAAAGATTTTCAAACGCAAGCGATTTAAGGAAACATAAAAGAACACATACTGGAGAGAAACCTTATGAATGTGATGTTTGTGATAAAATATTTTCACTGGCAGGCAACTTAAGACGACATAAAAGAACACATACTAACAAAAACTGTTCAGGTGCCAGTTCTTTAAGAAATAAAAAATCCTATGAATGTGATGGCTCAGCAATACATAAAAGAGCAGGGAAAATGGCTAATGTCCAACTTAAATTAAATAGAGAGGAACCAGTTTGTATTGGTTATATTTGTGGAGTATGTGGTCATGAGTTTGATGTTCAAAGTGAACTTGAAGATCATATATATACCACCCATCATAATATGATGATCACTCACTAACTTGATTAGATGTAAATATTTTGTGGGATATCTTAATATTTTGTTCAGATTATTTCAAATATACAGAACTTGTTGTTATTATTTTGTAACAATGACTTTTTTTAATCACTTGCATGTTAAATAATACGGTTGGGTTACATGGGTTGAAATTTGTAAATTATGGGCTGAAAAGTAAATTCTATAATATCAATCATTCATTGAACTAGTTTTCTACGAAGTGTCTTTATCGTCATGTCAGCATTTTTCACTTTAAAAAAATTTCTTGCGAGTCCGTGTGGTTGTCGCAGATCCCGAAGTACTTCTCAGTGTGAGGTCGCTGATCTGAGTTTTTACGCCACGCAGGCCCAGGCGTTATAATTTGGAAATATTTTGGTGTAAAAAAAGGAGAAACTAAAGTTCTGCGTCAAAGGTAAGCTTTATCCTTTTTTGAGAAAAGCGAGAATTTAGCAACCAGGTTTGTAATATGTTGATCTACATAGTTTTTTAAACTTATCGGTGATTGGATCGATTGGAGGTAGCGGGAATCATAAATAAAAATGGCTTAAAGGCCGACACAGACCGGACGCGAAGCATATAAATTAAATTCTGGAATCAAAATTTGGAATCTATGGACGCTAGACCAATCAAAATTTATTATTTTAATGCAATCTACAAGAAAATTTTGATAAGTTAAAATTTATTTGCTTTTGAAAAATATAAAACGTTGAAAATTCGCGCCGCGTTGCCAATTCGCGTCCTGTCTGTGTGGGCCTTTAGGCCGACACAGACCAGACGCGATGCGGCAACGCGAATTTTGAGTTTTCAGAAGCATATAAATTAAATTCTGGAAGCAAAATTTGGAATCTATGGACGCTAGACCAATCAAAATTTATTATTTTAATGCAATCTACAAGAATATTATGATAGTTTGATTTTGAAAAATTAAAAACGTTGAAAATTCGCGCCGCGTTGCCAATTCGCGTCCGGTCTGTGTGGGCCACATTAAAAGGCCCACACAGACCGGACGCGAATTGGCAACGCGGCGCGAATTTTCAACGTTTTTAATTTTTCAAAATCAAATAAACTTTAAACTATCATAATATTCTTGTAGATTACATAATAAAACATTTTGACTGCTCTAGCGTCCATAGATTCCAAATTTTGCTTTCAGAATTTAATTTATATGCTTCTGAAAACTGAAAATTCGCGTCGCGTTGCCGCTTCGCGTCCGGTCTGTGTCGGTCTTTACAGTTTGTCGTCACCTGCTGTCACCTGATAAATTTCTCTAGTATTGATCATGATGCAGTCTGAACCATTGGTTTGAACTTCTCAGATATCGACTCAAAGGTAAGCTTTTAATCCTATACTTTGAGTTTGGCAACCAGGGGGCGGTTGTATTAAATTCTTAATCACTTTTTAAGTCACTTTTTTGTCGTTAATAACTTCAATCACGTAGTTAAAACTAATTCCCGTCTGAGAAGCAAAACATTAAATATCTCAGCAAGTATTTCGGCTAAAGACCCCGGAATAGCACTAAACGATAGCGGTTGAAACGATTATTCAAATAGAATATTCAAACCAACATATAGTTGTAAACTGCATTTGTATTATAAGTCAAAACACGAATGAAAATAGTAGGTTGCTTTGTTTATCATATACTTTAGAAATTCCGTATTTTTTCGCTTTTTTTTGTTCTCTGCTGTCTTCAAAATGTCTGAATTTTACCTGTTATCATTCTGTTATAATTCTGAGTAATTGTTGGGGTATGATATGCAAAAGAATCGAAGAAATAGCATTTTATATAAAGTTCCAAATCCAAGCGATAATCGTTGTTGCTATGCGCCCTATAAGCTGTGCTATAAACGATAATCGTTGCTAAGGGTCTGACTACATCACGGGCGTTCTTTGAGGGCGCCCGCAGTAACTTTGTAACGCGGATATATTTGAATACCACAAGATACTTGATATAAAACGGTATTATGAACTATGATTAGGGTCATTTGGGTTATTTAAAGCTCTGCTCTGCAACGCATTAATCCATAAATTTAAAATACCACTCTTGGAAGCTCAATATTTTCGCCAATTAAGCTATAGAAAAGTACTCGTACATACCTGTATTTGAGAATCGTTTATGACCTTTATCTTTAAAATGTGCTTCTCTTGTGACGAAGCAAGTAGAGCTAATGGACAGGTATTTTTCGATAATATCTTCATAATTTTTAATATCGTCAGTAAACCCGTAACAGTAGGATCCAATCACCTTAAAATCCTTCAAAGCGCCTTGCAGAAAACTTATTTCTTCGTTTACTATGTTTTGTAACCGTGCGCTTGCCATATTTATATCTATATTTATATTTATGCCTGCCTAAATCTATTTATAAATATATTCATATTTATGCCTGCCTTCCCTCAATCGTCAAAAACCAGTAAATATTTAAATATTTCCCGCAATATTTTAAAAAGGACAAAGTTCCTGCAATTACAATGAATGCTTGCTGACCGAAAAGATCGCTAATAGCATTTATCCGCGTTGCAAAGTTACTGCGGGCGCCCTCAAAGAACGCCCGTGATGTAGTCAGACCCCGTTGCTAAGCGCCTTATATAAGCGCCCTGTTGCTAAGCGCGTGCTTTATATAGCTTTCATTGTAGGATATTTCTTATTTCTTTGTCAATTTAATTGAAATATAAAAGTATCTCAATACAAAGCATTATATTAGTATTATACTTTTCATTGAAATTCCCCTCATATTTTACTCAAAAAAAGGAAAAAATAAAGTTTAAAAATACAAATTTAGTTGACCGCGCACATAGGAGGTCTGAAACTGACGTGCTATAGCGCCTCAATATCCGCCATCTTTGGCTTCACTTTTTGGCCTCACGGAAGTCTTAAGTTCTTACTCCAGATATATGTGGAGCTCACAGGGAAATCGATTTCTGACGTAAAATTATATATTTTATTGCATTTTTTACAATCTTTTAGATCAAAATACTGTCAATTTTTGTAAATACGAGTCCACAGTCTTGTTCAAAATCAATAACAGCGGTGACAAATTTCTCGATACTTCATGCTATTTCTCTGTTTAACAACCCCACGCAAGCACAGTGTGACGCAAGTTAACTACGTGATTAGTTAATCATCCGACAAACTACGTTTTGTGAAGTCGTGTAGTTAACTAATTATAGTTAGGGATTTAACTACAGTGATTAATCTAATTTACAGTCATGTCTTTCTATTTCATATAAGATAAGAGGATGAACGAGAATAAAGTTGTAAAACACAGTTAACCATGGATGAACATGTATGTGATCGTTGTGGTAGAAGACTTGCAAATGCATACAACTTAGGACGACATATAAGAAACGTACATGTGGGAATTCCCCTTCGGCCTAATCCTAATGATATAATTCAATTAAATGAAATTCTAAGAGAAATAGAAGTTGGTGGGGCCCAGGCCGCCCAGCAGCGGAGGAGCAGATATGGGAGGATAATTAGACCGGTCACCCGATACGGAATAATATAACTCTTTAGTTTTGTTTCATGTAGTTGTTAAGTTAGTTGGAACTGTTCAAGTAGTTGAACTGTTGTAGTTGACTCCAGTACTTGTAAGTTGTATAAGTTTTCGTTAATATATTAGAGAATCAACATCTTTGACTCTTTTTAAGAATAACCTTAAAAACTTGCATGAGTTATAATAGTTTTTAAATTTCTTATTCTATGTGTTGTTTTAATTGTCTATGTGCTTTCATGAACTTTTATGAACTTGAACTTTAATGAATTTTATAGCTTAATATTTATATCATGTATTTTAATAATTTTATTGCAGGGCCCCATTGAAAAACACCTCGGTGATATGGGCTCCCTATTGAAATATAATTATTATTATTATTAAATATTGTTATATATAAGTCTTCCACCGTCGTGAGTTTAACAGGTTATGGGCCCAGTCACAGTCACGGCCGCTTGTTAGTTGTTACACGTTATAGATTATTTCAAGTATACAGAACTTGTTGTTATTATTTTGTAACATAAACAATGACGTTTTTTATTCATTTGCATGTTAAATAATACGGTTGGGTTACATGGGTTGAAATTTGTAAATTATGTGCTGAAAAAGTAAATTCTAAATATCAAAGATTAGATGATTGATTAGATGTAAATATTTTGGGGGATTTCTTAATATTTTGTTCTAGTTTATATTTCAAGTATACAGAACTTGTTGTTATTATTTTGTAACAATGACGTTTTTTTCATCACTTGCATGTTAAATAATACGGTTTGGTTACATGGATTGAAAGTTAAACAAGACTATCTTCCTTTTTCGTCCTTTGAACTTCGACTGCTTGCTGAAAACGTGAAAATGTTTCGTCGGCCATCTTTTTAAACCCTCCCGCGCAGAGCCGCCATCGATGTCGGAGCACCTTCGGTCTGGGTTCGCCATCGTGATTGCGCGAACTGCCAAATAAGGAATTGCTCGGGTCTCTTGCTGATGAATGTAAAAAAGTGAGAAATTGGCGCAGATTCACCGACTCGGCGCTGTAATTTGGAAATATTTTGGTGTAAAAAAAAGAGAAAAAAGTTCTTCATCAAAGGTAAGCTTTATCCTATGTGAGAAAAGCGATAATTTAGCAACCAGGTTTGTAATATGTTTATCTACATAGTTTTTTAAACTTATCGGAATCATAAATAAAAATGGCGCAAAAAATTCTCAAAATTGTGAGAATGGTTTCAGTATCGTAACCAGCCAGACAAATTTGTCGTGTGAAAACACTGAATTTCTAAAGAAATGAATGATTGTAACGAGTTGAAGAAGCCCGTCATGCTCTATTAAAGCTGGAAGCGTTGTTTTTATTGTGATTTTCAATGTTTGCAAGTGTTTTCAAAAAGTATAAAATTTTTGCAACACATGCGCAGTTATTATTAGCCAGGATTGAATCTACATAATCTATGATTTTGAATTGTGATATTAAGATTATGAATTTGATATTTCATATGTCTGAGGTGGTTCAGAAATATGTAAGATTTATAGCAGCTAGAGGGTCTGCAATGCTTCATAATGGCAGTTGAAATGACAGTTATAAATAATCTAATTTATAGTCATGTCTTTCTATTTTATTTAGTTTTTATTGAAATTAAAGAAGAGCAAGAATAAAGTTGTAAAACACAGTTAACCATGACTGAAAAATGCAATTACTGTGATAAGACTTTTTCATGCAAAAGCAAATTGACTGAACATACAAGAACACATACTGGTGAGAAGCCTTATGAATGTGATGTTTGTGAAAGAAGATTTTCACGGGCAGGCAGCTTAAGAATACATAAAAGAACACATACTGGTGAGAAGCCTTATGAATGCGATGTTTGTGATAAAAGATTTTCACATGCAGGCAGCTTAAAACTACATAAAAAAACACATACTGGAGAGAAGTCTCATGAATGTGATGTTTGTGATAAAAGATTTTCACGGGCAGGCAACTTAAGAAGACATAAAAGAACACATACTGGTGAGAAGCCTTATGAATGCGATGTTTGTGATAAAAGATTTTCACATGCAGGCAGCTTAAAACTACATAAAAAAACACATACTGGAGAGAAGTCTCATGAATGTGATGTTTGTGATAAAAGATTTTCAATGGCACACGATTTAAGGAGACATAAAAGAACACATACTGGTGAGAAACCTTATGAATGCGATGTTTGTGATAAAAGATTTTCACATGCAGGCAGCTTAAAACTACATAAAAAAACACATACTGGAGAGAAGTCTCATGAATGTGATGTTTGTGATAAAAGATTTTCAAATGCAAGTGATTTAAGGAGACATAAAAGAACACATACTGGAGAGAAGCCTTATGAATGTGATGTTTGTGATAAACGATTTTCACAAGCAAGCGATTTAAGGAGACATAAAAGAACTCATACTGGTGAGAAACCTTATGAATGTGATGTTTGTGATAAAAGATTTTCACTGGCAGGCAACTTAAGACAACATAGAATAACTCATACTGGTGAGAAGCCTTATGAATGTGATGTTTGTGATAGAAGATTTTCACGGGCAGGCAGCTTAAGAATACATAAAAGAACACATACTGGTGAGAAGCCTTATGAATGTGATGTTTGTGATAAACGATTTTCACAAGCAAGCGATTTAAGGAGACATAAAAGAACTCATACTGGAGGGAAACCTTATGAATGTAATGTTTGTGATAAAAGATTTTCACAAGCAAGCGATTTAAGGAGACATAAAAGAACTCATACTGGAGAGAAACCTTATGAATGTAATGTCTGTGATAAAAGATTTTCAACTGCAGGCAACTTAAGACAACATAAAAGAACACATACTGGAGAGAAGCCTCATGAATGTGATGTTTGTGATAAAAGATTTTCACAAGCAGGCAACTTAAGAATACATGAAAGAACTCATACTGGAGAGAAGCCTTATGAATGTGATGTTTGTGATAAAAGATTTTCACAGGCAGACAAGTTAACAATACATGAAAGAACACATACTGGTGAGAAGCCTTATGAATGTGATGCTTGTGATAAAAGATATTTACGGGCAGGCGATTTAAGGAGACATAAAAGAACACATACTGGAGAGAAACCTTATGAATGTGATGTTTGTGATAAAAGATTTTCACAGGCAGGCAATTTAAGAATACATAAAAGAACACATACTGGTGAGAAACCCTATGAATGCAATGTTTGTGATAAAAGATTTTCAAACGCAAACGATTTAAGGAGACATAAAAGAACACATACTGGTGAGAAGCCTTATGAATGTGATGTTTGTGATAAAAGATTTTCACAGGCAGGCAACTTAAGAACACATACCAGCAAAAACTGTTCACATGCCAGTTATTTAAGAAATCATAAAAAATCCCATGAATGTGATGGCCCAGCAATACATAAAAGAGCAGGAAAAATGGCTAATGTCCATCTTAAATTAAATACAAACGAACCAGCCTGTATTGGTTATATTTGTGGAGTATGTGGTCATGAGTTTGATGTTCAAAGTGAACTTGAAGATCATATATATACCACCCATCATAATATGATGATGGCTCACTAACTTGATTAGATAAACTGTAATTATTTTGTGGGATATCTTAATATTTTGTTCAAGTTATTTCAAATATACAGAATTTGTTGTTATTATCCCCGAGCCGGCGCGAAGCGCCGTGCGAGGGTACTAATTCCGCTGAGAGATTTATTACACCCGGGTATTCTGACAGAACATAGCGGGATCCAAAGTTGCTCAAATTCTATGTCGTGGACCGTGGACCGTGGACGTTCAATGGTCATGGTACTTGTGCGCATGCGTGAAATGCGAACGAGTGTAGACTGGTAATCAACGAACGTTCTGATTGGCTAAGACAGAAAGTTTGTAATTCAATGAGAACGTCAGCAATTTAACTGTCATTTCGTAAACATTTTTGTAAAAGCGTTTCATAAACTTTGTGCAAAGAAAGTAAAACGAGAAGAAACAAGATATAGCATGACAGATAGCAAAGATGAACGTGGATACAGTCAAAACAAAGCCGTGTAAGAGGAATAATTCATAATCTGCAAGCTTATAAATGTTTTCAAAGACAAAGGGTACGTGTTTATTTGTTTATCTCGTACTTGTTCGCGGTAAGAATGAGCCGTATTTGTATACTTTTCAGCTTTGTATGCCGTTCATTTGTTAAATTTTCAGTTTTTCTGCAAACGCATAAACCTGTGAAGGGCTATTACACCTTTGCTTTAACTTCAAAAATTGTTTTTGAAAGTGTAATTTGAATTTTGGTATCAAAAATACACACTATATTTATAAAGTATACTTTTAGCCGCCGGCGTTGACTGCAATTACAGAATAAAATAACATTTGAAGTTTTTTCTTTGTCTGTGAAGATTTTGTACTGTTTTAATCGTTTGAAACTTCGATTTTAAACCGTTACTTAATTGCTGGCATGGTATAATGCAGCAAAATTGAACGGGCAATGTTTACACTAGCTTTGTGATTATTTTTGTATTGAATGATGGAAACTTTAAGACTGATTTGAGTTTTGTGTCATTTCATAATATAAGTTTAGATCAGGTTAACTCAGGAAATTGTGTACTTGGTTTGAAATAGCGAGGGGTTGCTGCATGCATGTATTTCTAGTTTTATAAGAATTAGGTTTTTTTCATCACTTGCATGTTGAATACGGTTGGGTTACATGGGTGGAAATTTGTAAATTATGGGCTGAAAAAGTAAATTCTATAATATCAATCATTCATTGAACTAGTTTTCTACGAAGTGTCATTATCGTCATGTCAGCATTTTTCACTTCAAAAAAAATTTCTTGCGAGTCCGTGTGTGATTGTCGCAGATCACGAAGTACTTCCCAGTGCGAGGTCGCTGATCTAAATTTTTACGCCACGCAGGCCCAGGCGCTATAATTTGAAAATATTTTGGAGTGAAAAGAGAAAAAAAGTTCTGCGTCAAAGACTCAAAAGGTAGCTATTAAAGCTTTATCCTTTGTTGAGAAAAGCGACAATTTAGCAATCAGGTTTGTAATAATATGTTGATCTACATATTTTTTTAAACTTATCGGTGATTGGGACGATTGGAGGAAGGCGGGAATCATAAATAAAAATGGCGCAAAAATTTCTCAAAATTGTGAGAATGGTTTCAGTATCGTAACCAGGCAGACTAATTTGTCGCGTGAAAACACTGAATTTCTAAAGAAATGAATGATTGTAATGAGTTGAAATTTGCACAATCTTGCTCCCAAGCCCGTCATCCTCTATTAAAGCTCCAAGCGTCGTTTTTATTGTGATTTTCAATGTTTGCAAGTGTTTTCAAAAAGTATCAAATGTTTGCAACACATGCGCAGTTAGTATTAGCCAGGATTGAATCTACATAATCTATGATTTTGAATTGTGATATTAAGATTATGAATTTGATATTTCATATGTCTGAGGTGGTTCAGAAATATGTAAGATTTATAACAGCTAGAGGGTCTGCAATGCTTCATAATGGCAGTTGAAATGACAGTTATAAAGAATGTAATTTATAGTCATGTCTTTCTACTTCAGAGCGAGAATAAAGTTGCAAAACACAGTTAAACATGCCTGAAAAATGCAATTACTGTGATAAGACTTTTCACTACAAAAGCAAATTGACTGAACATACAAGAATGCACACTGGCGAGAAGCCTTATGAATGTGATGTTTGTGATAAAAGATTTTCACAGGCAGGCAACTTAAGACTACATAAAAAAACACATACTGGTGAGAAGCCTCATGAATGTGATGTTTGTGATAAAAGATTTTCACTGGCAGGCTATTTAAGAATACATAAAAGAACACATACTGGTGAGAAGCCTCATGAATGTAATGTTTGTGATAAAAGATTTTCACGGGCAGGCAGCTTAAGGAGACATAAAAGAACCCATACTGGAGAGAAGCCTTATGAATGTGATGTTTGTGATAAAAGATTTTCACAGGCAGGACATTTAAGGAGACATGAAAGAACCCATACTGGAGAGAAGTCTCATGAATGTGAAGTTTGTAATAAAAGATTTTCAAGTACATGCCATTTAAGACAACATAAAAGAACACATACTGGAGAGAAGCCTTATGAATGTGATGTTTGTGATAAAAGATTTTTACAGGCAGGCAACTTAAGACGACATAAAAGAACACATACTAGCAAAAACTGTTCAGGTGCCAGTTCTTTAAGAAATAAAAAATCCTATGAATGTGATGGCTCAGCAATACATAAAAGAGCAGGGAAAATGGCTAATGTCCAACTTAAATTAAATAGAGAGGAACCAGTTTGTGTTGGTTATATTTGTGGAGTATGTGGTCATGAGTTTGATGTTCAAAGTGAACTTGAAGATCATATATATACCACCCATCATAATATGATGATGGCTTACTAACTTGATTAGATAAACTGTAATTATTTTGTGGGATATCTTAATATTTTGTTCATGTCATTTCAAATATACAGAACTTGTTGTCATTATTTTATAAGAATTAGGTTTTTTTCATCATTTTCATGTTAAATAATACGGTTAGGTTTCATGGGTTGAAATTTATAAATTATGCGCTCAAAAAGTAAATTCTATAATATAAATCATTGATCATTCATTGAAATAGTTTTCTACGAAGTGTCATTATCGTCATGTCAGCATTTTTCACTTCAAAAAAAATTTCTTGCGAGTCCGTGTGTGATTGACGCAGATCACGAAGTACTTCCCAGTGCGAGGTCGCTGATCTAAATTTTTACGCCACGCAGGCCCAGGCGCTATAATTTGAAAATATTTTGGAGTGAAAAGAGAAAAAAAGTTCTGCGTCAAAGACTCAAAGGTAGCTAAGCTTTATCGTTTGTTGAGAAAAGCGACAATTTAGCAATCAGGTTTGTAATATGTTGATCTACATAGTTTTTTAAACTTATCGGTGATTGGGACGATTGGAGGAAGGCGGGAATCATAAAAATGGCGCAAAATTTCTCAAAATTGTGAGAATGGTTTCAGTATCGTAACCAACCAGACTAATTTGTCGTGTGAAAACACTGAATTTCTAAAGAAATGAATGATTGTAATGAGTTGAAATTTGCACAATCTTGCTCCCAAGCCCGTCATCCTCTATTAAAGCTCCAAGCGTCGTTTTTATTGTGAGTTTCAATGTTTGCAAGTGTTTTCAAAAAGTATCAAATGTTTGCAACACATGCGCAGTTAGTATTAGCCACGATTGAATCTACATAATCTATGATTTTCAATTGTGATATTAAGATTATGAATTTTATATTTCATATGTCTGAGGGTGGTTCAGAAATATGTAAGATTTATAGGAGCTAGAGGGTCTGCAATGCTTCATAATGGCAGTTGAAATGACAGTTATAAAGAATCTAATCTATAGTCATGTCTTTCTATTTCATTTAGTTTTTATTGAAATAAAAAGAAGTTGTAAAACACAGTTAAACATGCCTGAAAAATGCAATTACTGTGATAAGACTTTTTTGCGGAAAAGCAATTTGACTAAACATACAAGAACACATACTGGAGAGAAGCCTTATGAATGTGATGTTTGTGATAAAAGATTTTCACAAGCAAACGATTTAAGGAGACATAAAAGAACACATACTGGTGAGAAGCCTTATGGATGTGATGTTTGTGATAAAAGATTTTCACGTGCAGGCAGCTTAAAACTACATAAAAAAACACATACTGGAGAGAAATCTCATGAATGTGATGTTTGTGATAAAAGATTTTCAAACGCAAGCGATTTAAGGAGACATAAAAGAACACATACTGGAGAGAAACCTTATGAATGTGATGTTTGTGATAAAAGATTTTCACTGCCAGGCAACTTAAGAATACATGAAAGAACACATACTGGAGAGAAACCTTATGAATGTAATGTTTGTGATAAAAGATTTTCACAGGCAAGCGATTTAAGGAGACATACAAGAATGCACACTAGAGAGAAGCCTTATGAATGTGATGTTTGTGATAAAAGATTTTCAAGTGCAGGCAACTTAAGAAAACATACAAGAACACATACTGGAGAGAAGCCTTATGAATGTAATGTTTGTGATAAAAGATTTTCACGGGCAGGCGATTTAAGGAGACATAAAAGAACACATACTAGCAAAAACTGTTCATGTGCCAGTTCTTTAAGAAATCATAAAAAATCCCATGAATGTGATGGCCCAGCAATACATAAAAGAGCAGGGAAAATGGCTAATGTCCATCTTAAGTTAAATACAACAGAACCAGTTTGTATTGGTTATATTTGTGGAGTGTGTGGTCATGAGTTTGATGTTCAAAGTGAACTTGAAGATCATATATATACCACCCATCATAATATGATGATGGCTCACTAACTTGATTAGATAAACTGTAATTATTTTGTGGGATATCTTAATATTTTGTTCATGTCATTTCAAATATACAGAACTTGTTGTTATTATTTTATAAGAATTAGGTTTTTTTCATCACTTGCATGTTGAATATGGTTGGGTTTCATGGGTTGAAATTTATAAATTATGTGCTGAAAAAGTAAATTCTATAATATCAATCATTCATTGAACTAGTTTTCTACGAAGTGTCTTTATCGTCATGTCAGCATTTTTCACTTTGAAAAAAATTTCTTGCGAGTCCGTGCGTGATTGTCACAGATCACGAAGTACATCTTAGTGTGAGGTCGCTGATCTAAATTTTTACCCAGGCGCTGTAATTTGCATAGAGATTATAAATAACAGCTGCGCAAGTGTTATTTATAATCTCCATGGTAATTTGTGTACGTGTAGGTGACACTTGACAGGAGAATATCAGAACTTAACTCAGAAGATATACTTTGACAAAAGGTAAGTCTAACCTAGTGGTCAAATCGTAGTTTAAAACGGCGTCTTGAGCTTTTGAGAAGTAAATCAACACATATTAAGGTTGTCAACCGTTATCCACTCAGAAAAGGCCCCGGTCGAAGCTTGTATAAACATTCGGACAGCTGAGTTACATTGCTAAATTTTCTTTTCTTAAACAAAAGGAATAATTCAAACAATATGTTCCGATCATTTTCTGATATGTTGCGAATGTTTTTGCGTTTTGACGTGTCTTTTTATTTGCTTATTCGGAGTTATGCATTTTTAGCGAAGGTAGGTCAATAATTTTTCTTTCAAAATTGGGTAGTTTACCGCGACACAAATTTGTATGAACACTTCAAAAACTAATTTCTTAGGAGCCCGGTCACCAAATGTAACAATTTTTACATGAAAAGGATTTTAAAAACCTCCTTTATGTTTGAGGTAAAAATGTGCGACTCTTTCCGCATATTTACGATGTAGTGAGATTTTGAATCTTCATGCCATTTTTGTATATTTCGGACACCGACGTGCTGCTAAACAAGCAATAATGCAACTTGTAGTTTTTCATTGCAAAAAAGTTTAGGAAGATGCAAAATAATGCAAAAATATACTTTTACGCCAATTCTTGATTATATAGTGCAATACGAGTATATTATAAAGAAGAACTTAGATATGGCTGCAGTGCACTCTAAAATTACAAGTGCCATAGTGCAAATGCCAGAAAAATAACATTAACTTTAACAATTGTTTAAAATAAATTGTTATATTTATTTTACATTAAATTTCAATAGTTAATACCAAAATCCAGCTTACCTGAGCGTCAAATCACGATCATTTGAGGGTATAAATTGCCCGTCCGAGAACAGGGCGAACTGTCCGAAAACTGGACATCAATATTCGTGATGATTTTGAGCAACCGCAAGAAAAAAATATAACGAAGCTGGGCGTATTTTCTTTTAACATAAGTTTCGAAACAAATATGGCAACAAATCTTGAAATTTTGAACCATCGAGCGATAATAAAAGGCGATGAATAACGAAAAAAAATTTTGTGTCCGAAAACTGGGCGACATACTGTACGCTTTTATTTTTGTCATTTGGGCAGCAACGGAGTATGATGCCAAATTACGATCCTAGCAAAGATTACCCATCTCCATTTTCAATCGAAACCGGTATTTTGACTAAAAGGGACGTTTTTATATTAAGAGCGCCGTTTTCGTTGAATTATTTTGAACTTTTTCCTTGTTTTATTGCATTCTTTCCAATATTTTAGATCAAAATACTGTCAATTTTTGTAAATACGAGTCCACAGTCTTGTTCAAAATCAATAACAGCGGTGAATAATATGAGATACTTCATGCTATTTCTCTGTTTAACAACCCCACGCAAGCACAGTGTGACCACAGAGGAGAGATGGTCCATCTCTTCTCTGTGGTGTGACGCAAGTTAACTACGTAATTAGTTAATCATCCGACAAACTACGTTTTGTGAAGTAGTGTAGCTAACTAATTATAGTTAGGGATTTAATTACAGTGATTAGCGCTAATCATAATTAAAATTAACTACGTTTTTATACAACCGGCCCCAGGTTTGTAATATGTTGATCTACATAGTTTTTTAAACTTATCGGTGATTGGATCGATTTGAGGAAAGCGGGAATCATAAATAAAAATGTTGAAATGACAGTTATAAAGAATCTAATTTACAGGACTTCATGTCTTTCTATTTCATTTAGTTTTCATTGAAGTAAAAAGAAGAGCAAGAATAAAGTTGTAAAACACAGTTAACAATGCCTGAACATGTATGTGATGATTGTCATAGAAGTTTTTCAAGGGCAGGCGATTTAACGAGACATACAAGAACACATACTGGAGAGAAGCCTTATGAATGTGATCGTTGTCATAGAAGATTTTCACGGACAGACAACTTAAAGACACATATAAATAACGTACATTATGGGAAAAGCTTATTGAAGAAAAATGCTTCTTCAAGACGAAAGTTTGAAGAGTCTTTCATAGGCAGACAAGTTAACACTACATGAAAGAACACATACTGGAGAGGAGCCTTATGAATGTGATGCTTGTGATAAAAGATTTTAAGTTCTTTAAGAAATCATAGAAAATCCCATGAATGTGATTACTTAGCAATAGGTAAAAGAGCAGGAAAAATAGCTAATGTCCATCTTAAGTTAAATACAACAGAACCAGTTTGTATTGGTTATATTTGTGGAGTATGTGGTCATGAGTTTGATGTTCAAAGTGAACTTGAAGATCATATATATACCACCCATCATAATATGATGATGGCTCACTAACTTGATTAGATAAACTGTAAATATTTTTGTGGGATATCTTAATATTTTGTTCATGTCATTTCAAATATACAGAACTTGTTGTCATTATTTTATAAGAATTAGGTTTTTTTCATCACTTGCATGTTGAATAATACGGTTGGGTTACATGGGTTGAAATTTATAAATTATGTGCTGAAAAAGTAAATTCTATAATATCAATCATTCATTGAAGTAGTTTTCTACGGAGTGTCTTTATCGTCATGTCAGCATTTTTCACTTTGAGACATTTTTCGTGAATCCGTGTGATGCAGTGAACACGAAGTACTCCGGAATGTGAGATCGCTGACGTAAATTTCCAGGTCACGCAGACTCGTGTTGTCAAATATGGTGGAATTTGGACGTGGCATTTATTCAATTTGAATAAATGCCACGTCAAAGCAAATTAAGCAATCGTCAAAGCACTCTAAATGTGAACAAAGGCATTTGTCAATGTGTTTGCTAAATTTCTCTATTGATACAGTGAAACCAAATATATCTACTTGGTGAAACTTTCCAGATATTGACTCATCAAAGGTAAGTTGAGAAAAGGAACAAATTTGGTAACCAGGGGCCGGTTGTATAAAACGTCGTTTATAACTTCAATCATAAAACTAATTCCCGTCTGAGAAGCAAAACATTAAATATCTCAGGAAGTATTTGGGCTAAAGACCCCGGAATAGCACTAAACGATAGCGGTTGAAACGATTATTCAAATAGTATATTCAAACCAACATATAGTTGTAAACTGCATTTGTATTATAAGTCAAAAGTCAAACAAAAATCAAAATAGTAGGCTGCTTTGTTTATCAAGAAATTCCGTATTTTTTCGCTTTTTTGTTCTCTGCTGTCTTCAAAATGTCTGAATTTCACCTGTTATCATTCTGTTATAATTCTGAGTAATTGTTGGGGTATGATATGCAAAAGAATCGAAGAAATAGCATTTTATATAAAGATCTAAGCGATAATCGTTGTTGCTATGCGCACTATAAGCTGTGCTATAAACGATAATCGTTGCTAAGCGCCTATATAAGCGCCCTGTTGCTAAACGCGTGCTTTATACAGCTTTCTGTATAAAGGACTGTTTTTAAGAAAGCTCGAAATTCTGTAAACAATGAAATTAAACTTGTTAAGAAAACCTATTATATGAACGCTTTTCATGAAAACGAGAATAATGTTAAAAAAACTTGGGGTATCATCAATGAATTGACCTCAAGAAAACAGATGAGTTCACGAGTAAATGAAATCAAAATAAACGGGGTTTCTATTACTGACCCCTCGGACCTATCTGAGACGTTTAATACTCATTTTGCTACTATTGGACCTAAGCTTAAGGAAAAAATACCTGACAAAGAAAACAATCGCTCGTATTTAGAATATCTTACTTGCCACAATAGTAACAATAATATAGAGTTTATTAAAGTCAATAACCCCATCATCAGTTTATTCGCTTCTTAACAAACTTTGTAAGTCCAAAGCAATTGGGCTAGACAAAATATCTGCCAAGCTTCTTCGTCATTGTCCTGACTTGCTTTCTGAATCACTTGCCGTAATTTTTAACTGCTCTATCATTACCGGTATCTTTCCTGAAGAATGGAAATGCTCAAAAGTCATTCCATTATTCAAACAGGGCGAGCGTAGAGACTTAAATAATTATCGCCCAATTTCGATAATACCGGTTGTGGCGAAAGTTTTCGAACGAATTATTTATGATCAAATTTACGGTTTTCTTACTGAGAACAATTTACTATGTAATAGCCAGTCTGGATTTCGACGTTTGCATTCAACTGTTACTGCACTTCTAGAATCTACTAATAGCTGGGCCTACAATATTGACCAAGGACTGGTCAATGCTGTCGTTTTCCTAGATCTTAAGAAAGCCTTTGATACAGTTGACCATGGAATTTTGTTGTCAAAACTGTCAGCATATGGTCTTGGGGGTGCTGTGGCTAACTGGTTTAGGTCTTATTTAAGTAACCGCAGTCAAAAATGTTATGTCAATGGCCATCTTTCTACCAACCGTACGTTACTTTGTGGTATTCCACAGGGAACTATTTTGGGACCATTGCTATTTTTATTGTATATAAATGACTTGCCAAATTGTCTTGAGCACTCCCAAGCACGAATGTATGCAGACGACACCAATTTAACATTTGCAAGCAATAAAATTGAAGATATAGATTATTACTTCAATCAAGATCTTGAAAATGTTAATAAATGGCTTATCGCCAATAGGCTTACATTGAATCAATCCAAAACTGAATTTATGCTAATTGGCTCACGACAAAGAATAGCTACTTTCCAATCAGACCCATGTTTTAAAATAGACGGAATTCCTATAGACAAGGTTTCACATACAAAATCTCTAGGAGTTCACCTTGATGAAAATCTATCTTGGAATATACAGATCAAGGAATTAACAAAAAAAATTGCTTCTGGTATTGGCGCTTTAAAACTCGTTCGTTCATTTGTCCCAGTTGCAACATTGTATTTAATTTTTAATTCCCTTGTCCAGCCATATTTCAATTATTGCTGTACAGTTTGGGACAATTGCAATAAAACCTTGGCAGATAAACTTCAAAAACTACAAAATCGCGCAGCGAGAGTTTTGACCTTTTCAAGCTATGACACTAATGCCGACATCTTACTCGATAGACTTGGCTGGAAAAAGTTATCTTCCCAACGCCAGTTTCAAAAGGCTGTCATGGTTTATAAATCACTCAATGGACTTGCTCCACAATACATGGGTTCCATGTTTGTAAACCGTGACAGTGTCAATCCTTATTCGTTGAGAAACACAAATAGTAAGCTGGCTGTTCCTAAGCCTCGCACAAACTATCTGAAGAATAGTTTTAGTTATAGTGGTGCGATGCTATGGAACAGCCTACCGATTGGGCTACGGCTAGCAAATAACCTATCAAATTTTAAAGCGGGCTGTTCCAAATTATTTTAATCTACATTCACATTTGTATTATATTATATTTCTTGTATATATTCCTTACACGGCTCTCATGAAAAGCAGGTATATTAATTATTAGTTTGATTTATCATTGTAAATATTTTTGTAGTCTTATTTTGTAATTCATAATCTTGTCATTTGTCAGCATGAAAATCCTGATTGAGAATACCGTGTGTAAATAAAGTTTAATAATAAATAATAATAATAATAATAATAATTCATTGTAAGATATTTCTTATTTCTTTGTCAATTTAATTGAAATATAAAAGTATCTCAATACAAAGCATTATATTAGTATTATACTTTTCATTGAAATCCCCCTCATTTTTTACTCAAAAAAAGGAAAAAATAAAGTTAAAAAATACGAATTTAGTTGACTGCGCACATAGGAGGTCTGAAACTGACGTACTATAGCGCCTCAATATCCGCCATCTTTGGCTTCAATTTTTGGCCTCACGAAAGTCTTAAGTTCTTACTCCAGATATATGTGGAGCTCACAAGGAAATCGATTTCTGACGTAAAATCATATGTTTTATTGGATTTTTTACAATCTTTTAGATCAAAATACATCAATTTTTGTAAATACGAGTCCACAGTCTTATTCAAAATCAATAACAGCGGTGACTAATTTCTTGATACTTCATGCTATTTCTCTGTTTAATAACCCACGCAAGCACAGTGTGACGCAAGTTAACTACGTGATTAGTTAATCATCCGACAAACTACGTTTTGTGAAGTCGTGTAGTTAACTAATTATAGTTAGGAATTTAATTACAGTGATTAGCGCTAATCATAGTTAAAGTTAACTACGTTTTTATACAACCGGCCCCAGGTTTGTAATATGTTGATCTACATAGTTTTTTAAACTTATCGGTGATTGGATCGATTTGAGGAAAGCGGGAATCATAAATAAAAATGTTGAAATGACAGTTATAAAGAATCTAATTTACAGTCATGTCTTTCTATTTCATTTAGTTTTTATTGAAGTAGAAAGAAGAGCAAGAACAAAGTTCCAAAACACAGTTAAACATGCCTGAAAAATGCAATTACTGTGATAAGACTTTTCCCTGCAAAAGCAAATTGACTGAACATACAAGAACACATACTGGAGAGAAGCCTTATGAATGTGATCGTTGTCATAGAAGATTTTCACGGACAGACAACTTAAAGACACATATAAATAACGTACATTATGGGAAAAGCTTATTGACGAGAAATGCTTCTTCAAGACGAAAGTTTGAAGAGTCTTTCATAGGCAGACAAGTTAACACTACATGAAAGAACACATACTGGAGAGGAGCCTTATGAATGTGATGCTTGTGATAAAAGATTTTAAGTTCTTTAAGAAATCATAGAAAATCCCATGAATGTGATTACTTAGCAATAGGTAAAAGAGCAGGAAAAATAGCTAATGTCCATCTTAAGTTAAATACAAAAGAACCAGTTTGTATTGGTTATATTTGTGGAGTATGTGGTCATGAGTTTGATGTTCAAAGTGAACTTGAAGATCATATATATACCACCCATCATAATATGATGATGGCTCACTAACTTGATTAGATAAACTGTAAATATTTTGTGGGATATCTTAATATTTTGTTCATGTCATTTCAAATATACAGAACTTGTTGTTATTATTTTATAAGAATTAGGTTTTTTTCATCACTTGCATGTTAAATAATACGGTTGGGTTACATGGGTTGAAATTTATAAATTATGTGCTGAAAAAGTAAATTCTATTATTATAATATCAAACATTTATTGAACATTTGAACTAGTTTTGTACAAAGTGTCTTTATCGTCATGTCAGCATTTTTCAATTTTCACTTTGAAAGTTGAAACATTTCTCGTGAATCCGTGTGATGCAGTGATCACGAAGTACCGCGGATTGTGAGATCGCTGACGTAAATTTCCAGGTCACGCAGACTCGTGTTGTCAAATATGGTGGAATTATGAAGAGGAAGAGTTGTGAAAGTGTTGAAAAACAAAGCGAGAAACCGGCTAAAATGGCAAGAGCTACAGAAAAAGACAAGAAATATGATAGGCAGCTAAGGTGAGTTGCACAGCTTCCGAAATTCAAGGGTTTCCGCTGTAATCTGATGATGTCTGAAGTCATATTTCCATTCGACATGTTATTAAGTCAGACAAGTCTTAATTATACTATAAACAAACACGATACATTGGCCTCGTTTTGTAATACAAATTGAAGAAAGTACGAATTTATATGCATCCTTATGGTACGTGGGATATAAAATCTTGAGTCTATTAATGATATTATGCTATTCTATGCTATATCATTTTCAAAATACAAGAACCATCACTATTATCACTACTCTGGTGTGAATAATGAAAATAATTACATAGATTATATTAATGACTCAACCTTCGACACACTGATCCAGTGTCTTCATCAAGTGGTGACAATAGCGATCGATTATACATGCATGGTTGTAGCAATTAAACTTATTAACTTCAAAATACACAGCCCCTATAAACCTTATTTGACAAAGATTTAAGGAAGATCAGAAAAGATCAAATTCTTTCACATTTCATGTTTTATCAATGTATTAAATTGTAATCAAGATATTGCTAGGTGCTTGTTGCTTATGATGACTTGTTGTGGAGCGCACAGTCCTACAAGTTTGTTTCTCTGATCTGCACCAGAACCCCCTTAAATACCTCCCTAGATATGCACTACAGAGTTCTTCTATTACCTGAAGACATCTTCTCTAGGCTATGGGGTGATCATGGTCAGAAAAAGCTCGAAACTGCAAAAGTTTGTTTGATCAATGCAACAGCTCTTGGGACCGAAATTCTCAAAAATCTTGTCCTTCCAGGTATGCAACTATACCGCAGAATTCTAACACAATTCTCAGTAAAATTTCCTCTTTACCTTAAAGGCCCTGTTACACTGTGCAATTTTTCTTGCAACTTGCAATGCTATTCTACTTTTAAGAGATGTAAATTTGGGAACAATGAAACTTTTATGTTTATTACACTTCACACACTTTTCTTCTGATGTTGTTTTTAAGCAGCTGTTTAGAATTTTCCCAGACGAACATAAAAAATGTATCAAAGCCATCCATGTTCATCTCTAAACCAGTGTTTGCAATTATTTTACAGGGGTTGGCTCATTCTCCGTTGTCGATAAACACAAAATATGTGATAAGGACATAGGAAATAAGTAAGAAAATCTTCAGGCAAATTTACAGTTTTAATATTTCTGGCATTAATGAAATACTAATGTCATTCATGAACACTTGTTAACCAAATATTGTTCAATTAGCTTCTTTTTAAGTAACAAATATGTTGGAAAAAGCCGCGCTCAGTGCGCTGTTGAGCTTTTACAAGAATTAAACCCAGATGTGTCGGGAAATTTTATTGAAGAGGTGAGCACTTCTTAATAACTGCTTTATTCATGCTAGCTTATAATACCCTCAAAAATGAGCGAAATAATTGTGTTGTTTTGTCAAGGATCCGTCTGATTTAGCCACAAATAACCCGGATTTTTTCAAAGAATTTACCGTGGTCATTGCAACAGGCTTGGTTGAAAGGTAATGCAGATTTTGGAGAAAACATATATAAAATTAATAAAATTATTTCTGCCAGATGCAGCTCTAATAATAATGTTCCCTCTCTAATTTCAACCCTTCCTTCTAATATTAACCCCTCTGTCCAATTTTAATCCCTCTCTCTCTCTTCGATTTCAACCCCTCTCCAATTTAAACCCCACTCTCCAATTTCAACGCCTCTCCCCAATTTCAACCCCACTCTCCAATCTCAACCCTTCTCCCCAATTTCAACCCCTCTCTCCAATTCTAAACCCCACTCTTCGATTTATACCCCTCTGCCCAATTTCAACCCCTCTCTTGAATCTCAACCCTTCTCCCCAATTTCAACCCTCTCTCCAATCTTAACCCCTCTCTCCAATTTTAACCCCCGTATCTAAGCAAAAAAATCTGAGCAAAACTTATTCTGCTGTATGTCTAGAACACGTTTGAAAATTTCGTCATGCCTGTGGGAGGCAGGCATCCCCTTGCTGCTGTGCTCGGCATATGGGATGATTGGGATGATGAGACTGGTTGTTCAGGAGCACACAGGTACGCGAATGTACTCAAAGTTTATGTATCCATCGTGAGGAGGAGACTGACTGTCGTAAATCGACTATAATTCTTTCTAAACTACAGTTGTAGAATCTCATCCGGACAACGCTTTCGAAGACCTCCGCCTTGACAAGCCATTTCCTCGACTACAGGCATTCTCAGACTCGCTTGAATTAACTTCTATGTCAAAACTGGTACGGTATTAAGCTGTAGTGATAAAATTGATTAAAGATTTGTGAAAATAGATATCTTGACCTTCTCTGAACCTCTAGGAAGACCAATTCCAGAACTAAGCGGGTACTAATTTGTTACTTTTTTATAGGAGCATTCTCATACACCATACGTAGTCCTGCTTCTCAAGTATCTTCAAAAGTGGAAACAAACGGTAGGCTTTTTTATTTCGCCACTTTCCTACTCTTACTGGACGTGTACATGCAAGCAAAGCTTCCTCTCATTATCACCCATGCACTGTTTTAGCACGAAGGCAAAACCCCACAAAATTACAAAGAGAAATGTTCGTTTAAAGACACGCTTCGTCAAGGTAAAGACACGGCCTAATATTTGAAATCACTTAAACGACCATCTTTTAGCCGATGACCAGCAAATATAATGTCCATTTTAACACAAATTCTTGGAAGAATGGTTTAGAACTTAGAGAGCTAATGCAGCTGTCCAGTAGAAGTAAAGTTAGTTTAGATTTCTGGATGAATTTCAATCTTAAGTTTATATCTAAATTATTTCCTTGGCAAAAGGTATTTTGGTTAAAGAGAACGGGGCACCAGAAGAAGAAGACAACTTCGAAGAAGCCCTGAAGGCTGTTAATACTTCACTCAACACGACAAGGGTGAGAAACGACATTATATCTCTTTCTTTGCATCCCCAACATAAAACTATTCGAGATTCATATCTTTTAATCAATTTCTCCCCCTTATAGATACCCGGCACAATCCAAGAAATACTAAATGATAGTCATTGTGAAACTATCACTCCTTCTGTAAGTTTTCATGTAAGTATGAGTTAATGCCGAAGCATCGTGTAATAAAAATACAACTTTCTACATGCTTGTATAGAGTTCCGCGTTTTGGATTCTCTGCAGAGCGTTAAAAGAATTTGTAAATGAAACAGGTAAGGTGCATAGACTAACTAACTGGTTACTAAAAGTATTTGAGCAAAACAATGCTTTGTTTTTCTGATCATAATCACAGAGTATCTTTGCGTTTAAGTGCGGAATCTCATTCGAGTTTAAATCAAAACAACTCTTTTCAAAACGACTAATCCGAAACGACTTTTTTATCTTCAAGGCAATCTACCGTTACGAGGCTCGATTCCTGATATGACGGCTGACTCAAAACGGTTTATCCAACTACAAAATTGGTACAAAGCATCGCTGATATTCCTCGCTTTAAATCGTAAAATATTTTCACTCTAATTTGCACGTTATATTCTCATGCAGTTACCACGAAAAGGCTCTGGAAGATATACAAAATATATCAGAAAAACTACGAGCAATTCTCAGTTCAATAGGCAAGGTACGTGGAAGGATGTTTGAGTAATTCTTGTACATCCCAAAATTCGGGATTACGAAGTGTGTTTGCATCGTGAAAAACGTCTGTTTTTCCACGTATAGAAATCAAATTTTATCGAAGACGATGAGATCCGGTTGTTTTGTAAGTCGACTTCATAGCGTCAAGAATAGTCATGCAGCTGTTTTGCAAATAGATGATTTCAAAGACTGCATTTTTGCCATATAGGTAAAAACTCTGCGTTTCTACGAGTTATAAGATGTTCATCGCTTTGCGAAGAATACAAAACCTTTCCACAATGTCTAGGTTAGTATTTATCGTCATATTGAACGGATGAAACTGGTCAAAATCCTCTACATTTCACTGTTTTTATGCTGTGGAAACTAATTCCCCCTTTTATAGATGGTCTGATAGACGAACCAGATAATGATGTTATTTTCTATGTTCTTCTACGAGCGGTGGATAAATTTTACTCTAGTTTCGACAGATATCCAGGTACAACCAGCGAGTTTGTAAACAAACTTAGAGCAAACATTGAAAGAGCATAATTCTTATATATACGGATAGCATTGCAATCCGAAATCTGCATTTAGAATTATAACTTTGAGGGTGGATTTGTCACATAGCTAATTTTAAGAATTTTCATCACTGCACATATCATCACAATAGTATAGTGGAGAGGGGGGGGTATTATAAAAATAGTCCTAACTGGAAATTGGTGATTTGTAGATGGGGAAATTGCAGGGGGTCTGCAGGACCTCTTGCAGAAAATTTCCTGTTCTTTTGAGTCCCTGTGACTTGATTTCCAGCATTTTGGGGACAATTACTTGTGAACCCACCTCGGCAGAGTGAGGTCTGTTGGGGAATCACCATTTATCACTGCACATTTCTCATTTTATCACTGCACATTTTACTTCTATCACATCACAAATTGTTTATCACTGCACACTAAAATTAGGTATGATTTGTCAACAGTGCATGGTTCTTAACTGAAATTGACCTTTTCAAATTCAGGCGAGGTCGATGAAGATGTAGAGGGAGACTGTGAAAGATTGCAGGTTCGATTTTTAAGAAGCACAAGATTTTTAACCGGCATATTGAATATAGATATAGATATGATATTTTTTGCTCCAATATGATAGGCCTGTGTCACGGATTTGTTCAAAGAATGGGGTGTTCATTGTGGAATAAAGGACGACTATATTAAAGAAATGTAAGTGCTTTCTTACCTTTTTCAGCTGAAGTAACTTTCTCGTTGGTATGAGGCGTTTGAAAACCATATACCGGACTTTACTTGAGCTGTAGATGTAATGAAAACATTTTGTTAATAAATATAAGTTTCCCTTGAAAATATAATCGGTAACACTGGATCGGGAAGAGACCTCTATGAAGAACAGTTTAGAACTGATAGAGCTATCCAGTATAAATAAAGTTAGTTTAGGTTTCCTCCTTTAGTAACACTGGATCAATAAGAGATGATCCTTACTGGACCTCTAGGAAGAACGGTTTAGAACTGATAGAGCTATCCAGTATAAATAAAGTTAGTTTAGGTTTCCTCCTTTAGTAACACTGGATCAACAAGAGATGATCCTTACTGGACCTCTAGGAAGAACAGTTTAGAACTGATAGAACTATCCAGTATAAATAAAGTTAGTTTAGTTTAGGTTTCCTCCTGTAGTAACACTGGATCAATAAGAGATGATCCTTACTGGACCTCTAGGAAGAACAGTTTAGAACAGATAGAGCCATCCAGTATATAAACAGATCCCTTTCTCATATTGCAGGTGTCGTTATGGAGCCTGCGAACTACATCCAGTGGCTGCATTCATGGGGGGCGCCGCTGCTCACGAAGCCATTAAACTAATAACCCATCAATATGTGCCATTTAATGACTGCTATATTTATAATGCAATGACAGGCTCATCGGTAACCATGAAATTCTGAACACAGCCATAAAGTATTCACGGTATTAAATCATAGATAGCATTTAATGTGAAATTTCACGATAGTGGATAAAATTTCACATCCTTGTGAAGTTCGAATATTTCCTAATTATTGGCATGAGATAGTCATGCCCTCTAGAGAAATACTGTAATATAAAACGTGCTATTTGATAGACAGAAAATAAAATGCTGTTTTATACTCAAGTGAAGCTGTATTTGTACGATTGTATATATACAGTTGTGTGATTGTACAGTTGTTGTGTTTCATAGTACAGTTGTGTCATAGTGCAGTACAGGATAGTACAGTTGTGTCATAGTGCAGTACATGATAGTACAGTTGTGTCATAGTGCAGTACATGATAGTACAGTTGTGTCATAGTGCAGTACATGATAGTACAGTTGTGTCATAGTGCAGTACATGATAGTACAGTTGTGTCATAGTGCAGTACATGATAGTACAGTTGTGTCATAGTGCAGTACATGATAGTACAGTTGTGTCATAGTGCAGTACATGATAGTACAGTTGTGTCATAGTGCAGTACATGATAGTACAGTTGTGTCATAGTGCAGTACATGATAGTACAGTTGTGTCATAGTGCAGTACATGATAGTACAGTTGTGTCATAGTGCAGTACATGATAGTACAGTTGTGTCACAGTGCAGTACATGATAGTACAGTTGTGTCACAGTGCAGTACAGGATAGTGTAATGTGTTGATCCCGTCTGTAATGACTTTACGAGCATCGACATATGGTCCCATAGCATTGGCATCAAACGTTTCAGCACACCGTATGTTTATGTTTTGACATCAGAGAGTGACACGTTTTGTCATGTGGAACTCTAGGTGAGAATCTGTCTTAAATACAGAGATAAGTATTCTTCTTTGAATACCAATAGCGAGCCATTGTACGGCGGGCAAAAAATGGTACATTCATTCATGCTGTTTTAATCTGCTTACTTATCAGTACAATTTTCACAGGGACTTAATTCATTAATGTCCGTTTAACACGGTAGTATCATAGGTGATGTTAAGATGGTATCGCCACAGTTTTGTATGAAAATAATTTGAAAAAACACCACGTTAATTTGTATTTTTGCTTGACTGTACATGGCTTATACTGTCGAATTTCGTAGACCATTGAGTTATTTCAAATAGCACTTTACTTCGAATATCATCAGATTCTAACCAGACAATTTCACAAGAGAATTCCTTTAACAGGCTCGGTTGTTAATGTTTGACGGCGAGGAAGCTCAACGCACGGTCCAGATGCGCTTCACGGAAATTCGATTTCGCGCGGAAATGCGTATTTCCTGAAATAAAATTACAGGATTTCTCAGCCGGCGGTTCGCACGATGCTGCGCGTATTACAGAACACTCGCATGCGTATCTCTTACGTCATTTCCGTTCAATCGTGTTCCTGGGAAAGTCGAAGCAGCGTGATATACATACAACTCTGCAACACGTGTACCTATATACCCTTGCCTTCCTACGAATGAGAATTCTTCCCAATTCTTTGCTTTTTGAGAAATTATAACGAAAACGCCCGTCTCAGACGCGGGGAATCTTAATGTGCCGAATCTGGAATGGAAATGAACAGGTTCGTCACAAGAACTCAGTTTCGCGTCTGTAAAGGGTCTTCAAAACGTTGCTTAATGTTCTCAATTAGCCTGTCCGTTTCATCTGCATGCTATATTTTAACGTTTTTGTTAAAGGTCAACCTACACAAAGACCAATTATTGATTGTGGATGTACCGAAGGAGTCGATATCCCAAGATTTCATGCATGGAAGAGTCTTTCAGTTGTGCTGAATTTTGAATGGTCACATGCTAAAGCCTTTACTTTAAAAACACCAGAAATAACAGGAGAGAACCTACAACTTGTCATGAAAATCTTTTCGTATCCATAGCATGAAGTTTTAATTAACTCTAATGCGTCTAATCTCTACGCAGCGAGTTTGTTTCTAACCGAAAGCTACTCTCTTTCTTTCAGCCTTTATAACTTATACTGATTGTAAAGATTTGTCAAGTAAACTTGTAAAGATTGCTTTCGATTCACATTTAAGATCCATGCATTTAAACTGTAGTAGTACAGTTGAAACATTTCATATCTTGCTTTTTCTAAAGCCTACAACTACTACATTAGTCATTTGTTAATTCTTATAAACACCTGCTTGGAGAAAATAGATGTTTCTACTATTTAAAATTGGTAAAAAAGGATTTAAGACTTTTTATAGTCAATGGTATACGTGCACAAATCAAGTAAAAGACAAAAAGCCACACTACTGAATTACCGTAAAGTTGTTTTGACTTTTGAATGTCAAAATTAGAATCAATGATCTTTCCAAAAAGTTCATATATAAGAAAGACTGAAGTGCTCATATATGATCACCAGTTCAGATTTTACAACGTATATAATACTCTTACAAATGCATGGTAATAATATATTTTAACCTTTTGGCCTTGCATCAATTTCGTAGCTAAATAGACCTTCTTTATGGCAATCGACCTGACTTCCGTTAATGTTAACAAACTCATTATACAGTACTTGACATTGAAAAATGAAGCACATATACGCCCAGGCAGCGTGGGAAGTTAACTCATTGACGTGGGTATGAAGCTGGCTCTTTCAGCCAAGAATGCCCACGAGATATTATGGGAGCGTATGGGAGCTTGGCAACTGATTTGGTTTTGACAAACTCCATGCATATTACCTGGCAATGATTTATCTTCCTCAAATACTTTATTTTCCTCTCGTTGGAATACAAGTCACGTCTTGACAAACATCTTTGTTGCATGTGACTATTTTAACATAGAAAACCTTAAAAACCATTCGTGTTTTGTATATATATTGTGCCTCCATTAAAAGCGTATACAATGCCGGATTAAATTACCTGAATATGCGTTGTGTACAAGATCACTTTCACGACATACATGCTAGGGTGAATAGCCAAAACACTGTCTATTTTAGGCAGTTGTTATACCACATTTGATGCTAAGTTGTTTGAAGATGCTGCCACGCTGCTCCCTGGTTATATAGGGTGAAGAGTGTACATAAATGAGCCAATTTAACAGTACAAATTTTGAGTACAAAGTTAATGAAAAAGAGATAATGGGAAAGAAAAAGTTAATTATCTCAAAATCATTACATCATCGAGTGTTATTTTCGTCAATTGAGAAATTATAAAAGGCTTATTGTTTGATTCTAGTTTGGGAAACAAAATTATAATCAACAAAGAAACACAAAGGGTTGTTATAGTGTTAGAGTGTGCCTGCCCTCAATCCAGCTGTTCTACTTGACCTACGCGCTGATTTCAAACCTTTTAAGCCAAATTTTTACCTCTTAAAACGTGACCTGGGATAGTTGCCATACAACTTGATTAAATTTCATGGATGCATGCATATACATATCGATGATGCATCGGGAATGAACAGGCCTGAAACCAGGAGTTTGGTCGTTTATATTGCAACGTTCTTAGATATCGTGGCTACAAAATATTTATAAATAATATTGTGATGACGACACTCTTATAAAATCAGTTCTTAACTTTGAAAAAAACTTTGATATAATGTTTTAATTCTTTATCAATTATAGAAAGGCATTTATTGTTAGGGTATTCTTCTTGCATGCATGCATGCAGTTGATAAATGAATGGCTTTATCATGCCAGGCATTGCATGTCGCGTGATTTGAACGTATATATATATATATATATATATATATATATATATATATATATATATATATATATATATATATATATATATATATATATATATATATATATATATACACACACACACATATTGCACGCAACTAAATTTGAAGTGGGCATTTAAAATGGGTTGGAATAAAGCCACGTTTTCATAATTAACCTTGTTTGAATTAAACAAATTAAACTTGTTTAAAAACGCATTAAGTGTTGTTATATAACAACTGTCTAAGTAAAAATAGGTAAAATATATAGCGGGACAAAAATATTTCTCGACGTTTGGACCTGCAAGCCTTCCATCGGAGAGTTAGTATATGATATGAATCTAACAGAAAACTAATTCGATTTGTGTTTTACAGTAAACTAATTGTATACGAGAACAATAAACTCGTTAGTTTGAATAAGGCCTAGCTTATACGTCGATTAGCTATTTATATGCAATACAATAATTATGGTTAATTTTAATAACATTGAATAGACTTTTTCAGGCACACCCTTCGCTTTTCAAAATGGTTATGATGTAGCTATGAAGGCAGGATATAATTATTTACGTCTTAATGACATTAAAAATCTTCACTGTCGAACCGACCCTAAAATCGCTAAGATGGGCATGGCTGCTCAAGTACAATTTTTCACTTGTGACACATCCGGAGACTCTTAAGTCAGGTCCAACATTACCAACAACAAATCTATAATTACACAACGGAATACCTCTTAAACACAAAGATCTATTTTCAAAGCTACTGCGTCAGAACCGTTGAACACAGATGTGTCTACGCTGATGGTCTGCACGCTAACATGCATGACGTCAGCAGGGAAGACTACCGTTCAGGTAGGACAATCAACACACTTCCTTGCACTATTCAAATCTTCTCAAACGCGTGTATATAAAGCACGGTGCCTGTAACATCGAAGTCATAACGAAGCACACAGATCAGAAGATCATTCAGAAGACTAACTGTTATTGTTGAAAGCCTTTTACAACCGAAAAAAATGTCAAACAGCTCAGCATTCTCCACGGTAAGTGTATAAAATTCTCCACTTTTTCTTGGCAACTTTCATAAATAGGCGTAGCTTTGGTAATCGAGATTAAGAAAGAAACTAGAAAATTTCTGTATTTCATTTGTGTATACATTGTGTGACCAAAATACTACTTTGTTTGTCGTTGCTTGGAACGTCTTTCAGTCTTTAAAACAAAGGCAAACTTTTATGCTAGAACATTCATTTACTTTTACAATCACGAAATATATCTAAGGGTGTTTTTATTCTTTCTTGACGTTTAATCGTCTCATGCAATTATTCTTACTCAATTCATAATGAACTAAGTCTAAGACAAGCACTCTTAGAGTCTTTATTATAAATGTGTCACCATAATTACTCAAAGTCAGAGAGTAAAAGGGCTTTCTCTACAAGCAATGTTTTAAGATAGTTCGTCGTTTCAAACCTATATATCGATTGAAATTCAATCATTTGGGACATTCTTGACTTGTCATATTGCAATTATGGTTATATACTATATATTTAGTGATTATATAACATTTAAGACTCATTTATAGTTTTTCATTTCTTTTTATTTTTATAGTTACGCGGCACAGAACCCACCAATATTGAAGCAATAAATAGAAACTTTCTTTTTTTGAGAAACGGCGTCCTTAAAGCCGATGGAGCACAATTCGACTATTTAAATCAACTAGGTAACTATTTGTTGAAATCAGTATATTAACTAGATTTATACATCCTTATTTTATATGGTATAATTTAACGACCTTTTTGATCGGCCATTTTTGTATAGTACCATTCATATACCCAATGAAGAAATGAATTATTGAATCACTACTGAATTTCTATAAATATGGATTGGCGTATTTCTCACAAATATAGTTACATTCATTGAAATTAGGTTTAAGACTGTACACTATAGATTACGAGGTCGGATTCAGTACTGGTTTTTGAAAAATTCAGCCATACGGTTATATGAAAATTGAGGTTTCGTGATTAGGATGAATGATCTACGAACTGATTGTAAAAGTTAAAATACTCTGTTTTTTTGCGTTATAGCACAATTCTTTATCGATACTGGAATAGACAACAACAATGATACTCTGTATCGCATTCGACCTGTCAGTCAGCCTGGCAAATACCTCGCCCTGTCGGCAGATAGGAAGTCTATTATTTTGAAGGTAAATACCGCAGTAGAATTGACTTACAGAAAGACTTCTTACGGGTTTATGTTGTTTTTCAATCAGTGACAAGTTGAACAATCAAATAGAGTTTCATCTTAATATTTTTCATCCAACATTGTCCCAAACAAACGTCAGAAAGCTACAAATGTTTGTGTTCACACTATAGGACATTCCAGTGACACTTTCGATCAACGATAGTTCGCACGATTTTATTGGAAGAACGGTAAATGGTGACTACATCAAGTTTGAGGATAGATATTCCAACGGTCAGCAGTTCATGAGTACCGACCGAAACGATGACGTCATCTTGGCAGGGGATTCGTCTAATGCCTGGTTTCGACTGAGAGTGATCAAGAACATCAACAGCAACGTATCCACGGTCTCCTCGCTTACCCTGAACAGCGCGCCAGAATATTTCGAGGAATTCGAAGAATTTTCTGAGAAATTCATCGCTGGCCCAATGGAGATTCAGAAAGATTATGTTTCCGCGAAAATTATTGTCAACGAGCGTATGACAGCCTCAGAAGAATAATCATAACATTGGAGTTTTATTTATCTTAAATTATTACAAAAACTATTATAAATTATTATAAATTATCTAACCGCATAATATATGAAATATTTTGAATTTTAAGCTATTCAGTGTATCACGCACGATAAATTATGAAAATATTTATTTTTAAGTTATAAAATATTTAGCAAATAAAATTTGCTTTTGTTGTAAAAACGCATTGTAGTTTTTTATACCCGGCGTGTCGAGGACATATTTCGTAAAAGACACTTTTTAGAATGTTGGAAAACATCAGAAGTTTAGCCTTGCTAGTTACCTCGGGGTGTCTGTGGATGTTGGATGATTTATTGGAGTGTCTGTGAGTGTTAGATGATAAAGGGGCCTGGGAGTGTTGAATGATAGGAGTGTCTAGGGGTGTTGAATGATAGAAGTGTCTAGGGGTGTTGAATGATAGAAGTGTCTAGGGGTGTTGAATGAGAGAAGTGTCTAGGGGTGTTGAATGATAAGGGTGTCTAGAGATGTTGAATGATAGAAGCTGTCTAGGGGTGTTGAATGATAGGAGTATCAGGGAGTTTTGAATGATAGGAGTATCAGAGAGCTTTGAATGATATATAGGAGTATCTTGGAGCGTTGAATGACAGGAGTATCTTGGAGTGTTGAATAACAGGAGTATCTGGAAGTGTTGAATGATAGCAGTATCCTGGGAGTGTTGAATGATAAGAGTATCTGAAAGTGTTGAATGATAGGAGTATCTGAATTCTGAAGCTGTTGAATGATAGGAGTATCTGGGAGTGTTGAATGATAGGAGTATCTGAAGCTGTTGAATGATAGTAGTATTCTGGGAGTGTTGAATGATAGGAGTGTTGGATACGAGTGGCTAAGGTCATATCGAACAAGGAGAAAAACTAAGGGCCTTTTCATAGGTTCAGCCATTGATGTGATGCGCTTTTTACCTCGCCTAGCCGGGATAACTCGCTCCATGTAAACAAGCCCTAAAACACAACACAAGCAATCCCTAGTTCCCCAGCTACATCCGTCAAAAGAAGAAAATCTCAACGAAAATTGGTAGAATTTAGTACCTCGACAGTCAACACTCAACGGATAGACGATGATGATAACGCGACAAGAATTCTTCAACATGCAGTAGATCTGTGTCAACATCAAGTTAGGATGCTGGTTTTCCGGAATATATATTCGAAATTTTCTAGATTATACAGGGTGAGTAAAAAAAAAGTCCCCCCTATTGAAATGAAGCCTTTGTTGATTTGAATGCATGATCAACGCAGTAGTGTGTAAATAGCATAGTTATTAGGTTGAGGCATTCAAATAAAGCGTCTTGCTTTCAATTGGGTTTATCATAATATTAAGGCAATCAGATTCTAACAAAGGCTTGATTTCAATAGAGGGGACTTTTTTCTGACTCACCCTGTATAGCAAGAAAAATCGATTTAAGAAAAAACACACACGAAGTTTATATGAAAGCTGCATATAACTGCAGGTTTTGCATTTATTTCGCCATTAAATAAATAAATATTCCTCATTAACTTATATTATTTACATCATATTAACTTAATACAGCTATATATACAAACATGCGTATATAATTTAACGTTCTATCAAAAATATTAAATATTATATTCCTTAGTATATATGACCCCTGTTTATTGTTTCCAAATCTCGCGTGTTATTCTTCAGAGAAAGACATTTCCGTTATGATGATATCCATCAAATTGGGTTCAAACATGAGCTCTTCTTTCGTGACAGTGGTGATTTTTTTTTCCTCATATCCTAACATATGGATCCAGCCTTGTTCTTCTATCTCTGCTTCTGTGGCAAAAAGCTCACCTGTTTCTTCGAAACCCAGATAATGAGAAGCACCAGACATTTTCACGTAAAAACTCAAATGATCTCTATTGACATTGCCTTCGTTTACATAAAACAACCGCTCTTCCGGTTCACACTCGCTTTCAGACTAAAACGTTTCAGAACAAAGTGAAGTTAGTATTTTCGTTCATTTTCTCTACACTGAAAGCATATTATAATCTGTTCTTCTTAGAGGTCAAGTAAGGATCATCTCTTATTGATCCAGTGTTACTACAGGAGGAAACCTAAACTAAACTAACTTTATTTATACTGGATAGCTCTATCAGTTCTAAACTGTTCTTCCTAGAGGTCCAGTAAGGATCATCTCTTATTGATCCAGTGTTACTACAGGAGGAAACCTAAACTAAACTAACTTTATTTATACTGGATAGCTCTATCAGTTCTAAGCTGTTCTTCCTAGAGATCCAGTAAGGATCATCTCTTATTGATCCAATGTTTCTAAACTGTTCTTCCCGGACGCCAATGGCGACACGGAGAGAAAGAAAGTTAAGTAACTAAAACCAATGCTAACCTTTAAAACAACCTGTCCATTTACAACTGCAACATATTGATCAGGTCGTTTGTATGGCTTGAAGCAATACTGCAACAGCTCACCAGTATGGTCGAGTTGGCTCTCGATGTAGAAGTAAACTAGAAGCATTCAAAAAAGTATTATAATCAATCAACAAGTCATTTTCAAGCAAACGAGTGATAGCGCCATATCACACCAGCCGATGAGATGGATCTTTGAAAAGCAGAACCAAAACACGCCCTGGTATGACTCAGCGACTCATTCATACTGAACTTTTCGGTAAATTTTGCCGTGCATGCAACCTTGAATGCATGACGGAAATAATTCGAAATAATTGCCAGTAAATATTATCATTATGCATAAATGATCAATGTATATTCGACCGGCTTGCTTGTGTCGCGAAATGTTGGTACACTGACTGGTAAATATATGATATCAAATAACTATTGTAAAACCATTATAACTGTTTTGTTTGGAAAAAATATTTCTGTCTTGGACACGTACATGCACGAATAATTTTATGTTCGTAGCAGAAATATTAGCTACATTCATTTAACTTTAAATTAATCAATAAAAACGAAAACAACAATACATCAGGAAGATACGAATACTTTTACAACATGTTTTCGTATTTTAAAATTTAAATAACTTTCAGCACAAAACACACATGGATATTTAATATCTCGTTTTGCGTCTTTGTTATTTCAATTTTCTTCGTTTAATTCTGCCGCAACGTATCTCAGAATCGCAAGGAATGTTGCTCAAATTCATAGAATTCCGGTATCTATTGCATGCAGTTTTTTCATGCCTCATCATGGGCAAGCAGAAGATTGACTGATACTTACTGTTTGGATTTTCTGGTTCATAAAGTTTTCCACTCGCTGTAACTGAACCATCTTCTTTGGCTTGCAAATACAAGTTTGCAACATGACATTTGAATGTGTACACGAACTCCATCTACAATTTAACGCCGGAAAAGATTCGTTAGACTCGAGATAAACTTATTAGATAATTGACCATGGATTAGTTATTTATATAGAAGGCCAATTTGAAGGATTAAATCGCTTGAAATGGTAGTGAAAATTGTCGAAACCCTATCGCAAAGATTGGACTATATAGCATTACTGACATGATACTTTCTTTAAGAATCTATCTGACAAAAACCACGCTTTAGATAATCTGTTACTATGGCATATGTGGTAAAGATGACATTATCTTCTTGAGAGCTACCCGTGTGTGATTTATTATACTCTATCGCTGTATATAACATGCTTACCTTTGGATCAAATGCCATCTTGTATTCAATCAACGTTTCTTCTCGCTCTTTCTGTAGACGTTATGTTTTGTCGAATGTTAAACTGTTTATGAGTGGCAAATCGCACGGTGCCTCTTATATAAGCGAATTATTCGTGGGCGTTGCAATAAACAAATACTTTCATTAATTCCGCCTAGTTTAGATAACGCGGATCTACATAGACCCCAAAGTACGCCACGCCAAAATGATGACATCATCAAACAGGATGTTCAAACAAAAACCCTACACAAGCCTGCCAAGTGAATGTTTCCTCGTGGGAAGCCTTCTTCCGCTTGGCAAAAGAAGATATCGCATCCTTGTTGAGGTCTTTGGAAAATTGAACAAAAAACTTTGAGTCAAAATGATTCGACCTCTTGAGAACTAATCAAGCCTCTCGAAAGCTGTTTCAAAAAAGTTAAAAAGCTTCCACCGATATGACTTTAGTATCACCTGTGAATGTCATACTTCGAATGGGAGGAATACTACAGTTGAATTATTCCATGCAGATCTGTTATTTAAACTGTCAGTATATTTTAGAAGTAAAATGTCGCAGAATTTGACCACAAAACGAACGCGTGTGCATATATGCAGGATGTAAGCTTAGAACTTGACAATATGACATATTAAACATTGAACAGACCAGCATATAATCGCTGAATTTCGGAGTTGAAGGTTAAGAACACAGTAAACACAGACATGGACGCGTGGGGAGTAAGACCTTATTGACGAAAGCAAAGCTCTTCTGAAAATTTTATTGACGTGTTTTGGTAATGCGGTCTGGGCACCATATCAATAGAGTTAATCTTTCTAATCTATTTTTGTCTTTAATTCACTTTGATTGTATGTACTCTATATATGTGCATCTCTCAAAACTATATAGGGTGTATCAAAAACTGTAACTATAATAAATATATTCATAAATATTCGCTTCTTTTCAATAACAAACGATCGTAGGTACCTGCATGGGAACTATTATAAGGTAGCCGCTTTTTTGATGTATAAATGTGCATGGATGCTTTTAGATTTGATGGTGAAAATCCAGTTAAACTATATATAATGTCATTCAGAATAGTCTTAAGAGAATACGTTGTAACTTGTACGCCACTAAAGCAAAACCTTAGCAAATTTAAATATAAACTTGTCATCTGATTTATAAATAAACCAGGCTGCATGGTCTAGTCTAAATACGTAGGGAACTCCAGTTTTCCCAAGCATTCCCGTTCAGCGTGTCACCGGATATTGAGATATCTAGGGACCGTCCTCAAGGTTAACGCATGCAACCAGGCATACTTAACTTTCAATTATTGACACTACAAACTTGGCGGCCCGATGGTATAAACTATGAGTGAAATGAAAACGATAAATGCGAGAATTTGGATATGAATACTTTCTGCACGCCGTGCCCTCGTCGGCGAATATATACAAGACATATGTACATGCACATGCTTTCATATGGGTGGTACCGTCCGTGTTCTAAATAAAGCGTGCCTAAATACATGTCTAAAATTCCGTACAAAGGTTAGGTATTAGAAAGGCATCGTATCGTATTTCGTCATCCTTACATGCAACTCGTGTTTTACAAAAAAAGTTTTTCACAAAGTTGTGCAATGCTTGCCCCTAATGCACTTCCTTATGCACGTAGGAAAATTTGAACACGAAGATTTGACGGCAGAAACGCGTTCTGCATGTATGCTATGTCAGAATATCAAATTGCAAAACTTCACAAATATTTAAAATACTACCGCGAAACTAGAGTCTGCGATTGCTAAATATGCACACCTAGTAGAGTTTTATTCATTTGCCGAGTAGATTTCTGGATAATAGTTTTAATTCTTACATCACCTTTTCAAACAGTTCATACTGTTGTATGTACGTTGAGTTTACGACTCTTAATAAAACTCTCTATAATCTCCCCTTAGCCGGTCGAAACCAGCGCTTTTGTATATCTTGTTTTAGGCAGTTGTTATACCATATTTGATGCGAAGTTTTATGGAAGGCGCTACCACGGTGTTTCCTAGTTATATTGATTCGTATCTACAAGATTTTTAAATAAATCATGTCCGGCTTTCAACTGGCCGGAGTTGTGATGAGAAATGTAACCATTATAACATTCATTATAACCCTTTATCAATTATTATGACCACTACACACGGAACGTGAATATATATTTACAAAAACGAAGCTAGTATTGTGTCGCATTGACCGCAAGCAAACGGCCCTGTTGAGAGTAAAATCGCACATCATGACATCCAAACTAACAGTCTTCCTGTATTCCTGGTTTACGTCATACCGGGAACTTCCGATGTTTACTTTCGGACTTGCCCGTGTGAAACACTGATGCAGTGTGATGCGGATATATAGCATAAAGGTAACATTTTCAACTTGATAAGATTTTGATGTCAAAATGCGCTTAACTTTCTTCAGCAACAACATGCATGAAAATGTATACCATTGAGGCTTCAAAAACGTTCATATTTTCGCCAACGCTTTGTCCGTATGTGGGTGAAAGATATTCGTAAGTCAAGAGCTGACTCGAAGACTGCCCGAATACTCGAGTGGGTAACTGGGCCTTGCCAAGAAAATCTTTCCTTGGCCACAAGTGTTAACTCTAACCAAATTGGCAGCCTCGTTGTGATTTTGAGCGAGTCAAACCATAGTATTTCTCTCAAAACGGCATAACTTTGCGTTGCAGAGCGATCGCCCCTACACGATGGACACAACTATAGTTCGAAGCTGAACACAACTCAACTGCATGGTATACAGCCTAACCTGCATTGCACACCAAACAACGGATATCTTATTGTTTCATTAATTAAAAAACCGGTTTACAAACCATTCCTTGTTATGGGCGTATTCACGAAACGGAAGAGGAAAAATTTTTAAGAGTTTATAGAATGGAAATGAAAACAGAACCAAGCAAACTGCATGCATATCAACTCGTAAACTTTGGGATCGTCATTCTCAGAATGCAGGAATATCACCAAACCGGCGAACCTTCCCTTTCTGGCCATTTATAGCCAAATCCGTTTGATTTATTGGCTGAATAAAGACGCCATTACTGGCATAAGAAAACAATCTACATTTGAGCTATTCATTACGAAGTTTGCTTTATATATAAATTCAGCCAAACTACCATGCACTTTAACTCAAGTTAAACGTCGCAGCAAAGTTAGCAAAGCAGGAAATTAAAAAAGATATATAAACATATATAAACACTTCAAATGCAGGGGAGTAATTCGAACGGCAATTAAGAAATAAAGTCAAATGATCAACTAACTTTGAGAGTAAAAATCTTTGCTGTCTTTTGCGTCGTATAGCGTTGAATACTGTTTCAAAACTGACAATCTATATATAACGAAATATAACAGGTATTAGTTCACGGTTATAAAAATGGTAAATGGCTAAAAATAAGCTGGAAATAGCGAAAATCTTTCAGTTAAAAGTGCAGGAAACCAGCACCCAGGAGGGAGAAATTGATCTTTATATTCAAGCCAAGCGCGTGACTTGCCTTTACGCCGGATCAAAGAACCTTTCAGCACGTTTGGTAACGGTCCGGAACTGAGTTTGGCGCGATTTTAATGACAACATGAGTTAAATATATACCGGCACGCGATATATATATATATATTGGATTAGGTCCAGTGTTACTATAGTCTACAGAGCAACTAAATTAGACTAACTTGATTTAGATTCGATAGCTGTATCAGCTCTGTCCAGTAAGGATCATTTCGTATTGATCCAGCGTTACTACAGGAGGAAACCTAAACTAAACTAACTTTATTTATACTGGATAGCTCTATTAGTTCTAAACTGTTCTTCCTAGAGGTCCAGTAAGGATCATCTCTTATTGATCCAGTGTTACTACAGGAGGAAACCTAAACTAAACTAACTTTATTTATACTGGATAGCTCTATCAGTCCTGAACTGTTCTTCCTAGAGGTCCAGTAAGGATCATCTCTTATTGATCCAGTGTTACTACAGGAGGAAACCTAAACCAAACTAAGTTTATTTATGCTGGATAGCTCTATTAGTTCTAAACTGTTCTTCCTAGAGGTCCAGTAAGGATCATCTCTTATTGATCCAGTGTTACTACAGGAGGAAACCTAAACTAAACTAACTTTATTTATTTATGCTGAATAGCTCTATCAGTTCTAAACTGTTCTTCCTAGAGGTTCAGTAAGGATTCTTATATACTATTTATAGCTCGGTCAGTCCTGAATGTCGTTCTACTGGACTGTGCAAAAAGACTTGTAAACAAGCTTGCAAACAAAACACACGTGCTTTTCATCCGAAGCACAGCAGGACATCGCGCGCTGCACATCACGTTAACCCCCCTCAGTTGGTTACAGCATCAGTTCAAGTCGTATCGCAAAACATACTAAAAATAACAATGACTCATCCACTGAAAAAGCTATGCCTAGCCAGACTGTATGACTGAGTTCACTCCAAACACGTTTCCTAGCCTCCTAGGTATCAATCATTCTCTACGAAGTGCCAGTTCTGAAGGATGCTTTTAATGCATGATCCCGACTCGTTTTCTCAGACCTTAGATAATTTATGGCAACATTAAGTAATTCAACAATTAAACTGCCAACAATTTCCACAATTTCTGGCAAAGTAGTTGGGAGAACGCAGTTTTAGGATGAAATGTCGCCATTTTAGAAGTGCTTCGATATTTAACACGCTTCATTATTCTGAATATTGGCGGAATATCAGCTAGTACAACGAGAACTCAACTTGAATTGAAGTAACACGTTGATACAATCGAGTCTGAATAATCATGCATAGCCTTCTAAAAATACAAACGATTATTCCCTCTTATCTGAGAGGGAAACCCACGCTAAAAACATAGCAAATCTCGTAATCTTCAAGACGATAATACCACAAACTAAATAATCCATTCATTATCTCATAGAAATGTCTCTTTATTTTTATACTTTATCACGAGTATACAAAATTAGAATTATTTAACAAAAGTCTGAAATATATCATGCTATACTGACATACTGTATTATCATGCAATCTAAATTTGGCACAGTTTTTTAAAACTTAATTTTTTTTTCGGAGTGAAAACCTATTTGATTCGCTGGAATTACCAAACAGCTAGATTTAGTGTTTTTTTAGAAGAAGCGTGTGTTTACATCTTGTCAGCAAATCGTTATCTAAGGACGTATACACTTTAGAATTGACGTTTTCTTGTGTATATTTATTTGAGATAAAAAGAAAGATAAATACATACTGACGTAGGGTGTATGAATTCGTTGCAATTAGAAAGAAAAAAAATATAAAAAATCCGAGAATATTTTGTGGAGAAATGCATGCTTAGGATTAAACCCATGCAAAAATACATAGGTATATATATATATATATATGTATATACAGTATATGAACATCTAGAGACTCGTTTTAAAGCGATGATAAATGATATTGAAATGTTAGGTCTCATTCGGGCTATGTTTCTTCCCCTCCCCCCCCCTCCTTAGAAAATGCGCTGGGATTACGTTCAACATAAATCATACACTGCCACATTGAAGATAATTAGCCAAAAATATTATGCCGAGATATCCTAGATTTTGGCGCATGTTGTCATGTATTCAGCAGCCGAGCCGTCTCTAAATATGAATGATAATCAGATATAAGTCATTAGCAGAGCTAGTCTTTTGACGTGGGTGGCTATAAAAAATGTTTTGGTGATAAAATGCACTCTGTATTCATGGAGCAGATATTGCATTAACGCGTCCGGGAAACACACCGCAGTCGTGCTGGTCAGTTTTCTCTTCAAGGAGCTGCTAGAGGTGTCGTCTCGAACGCTTGTGTCCTGCTTTGATGCAGCTGTTATTTATGGCTGATGAACAAACAATACAATCATCCCTCACAATGCTTCTCGTGCGTTTCCATGACGACGACACGTGGATAAGATCATTTACACGGTTGATTTGCATAAAATGTTGATCGAATGCAAAAATCATCGAGGTCCAATACAGGTTCGCAATATTGCTCCCATTTCTTGAGTATTTTCACTAATTCTCTTGCAGATGGCCGCTGCACAGGGTCGGCCTGCCAGCATTTCCTCATGATGTCCGCGTAACACTTTTCCCTGCCTTCCAACTGTTTCTCGCTTGGTATCTTTGGCCTTAGCTGATAGGCGACCACAGCAAATATAACGACATGTTGATTGTCGTGACCATACGGTCGCTCTCTCGTAAGCATTTGCCACAAGCAGATCCCGAGAGAGTATATATCTGCCTTTGTGGTAGGGCAGTCCCCTTTCAACAGTTCTGGAGCAAGGTATGCAAATGTACCTGTAAGACTGGACTTGGTTGGACTTGCAGGTCGTTCGTTCTCATCGCCGACGTTCTGGCAGCAGCCGAAATCGGCGAGTTTGCAATTGTCGTATTTTGACACGATAACGTTGCTGGGCTTCAAATCCAAGTGCGCTATGCCTTGACGGTGAGCGAACGCGAGTCCGCGCGAGATATCCAACGCAAATTTCACCTGACGCGAGTTGTTTATGCTTTCCTCTGGACAATTTATAACTTCCTGCAAGTTTTTATCGCCCCCGTATTCCAAGATCAAACTGTGAAATCCGCCGAGTTCGAGCACGCACAATGCGCGCACAATGTTCGGATGGCGAAAATGCAACGTCGAAGCTTCGGCATCGAAACTCTCCTCGGTCGCTCGAAGATTCTTCGTAGATTTATGCCACTGTTTCAAGGCGTAGCGCTTGCCGCGATATCTCGCCTCGTAGACCATACCAAAGCCACCAGACCCCAATAATCTGCCAACCTGCAGATGTGAACTTTGAAAATTTCGAAGCGGACGAAAGTTCGTATTGATCGGAGTACATGGTTGCAAGCAGCCTTCGAACCTGTTTTCAACGCGTAAACTTTCCTTAATACCCATATCGGCAAGAGTTCTGCGTTGCAAGTTTCCTTCGAGCCTGTACTTGCAATCGCAAACCGGCAATTTTACGGGTTGTCAACGTTTAGTAAGATTGTCGAAAACGTTGCTTGCAACGGTCGTGTAGTTCACAGCTCCAAGCTCTCGCCAAACACAGCTGACCGAGATTCACACTTTCTCCTGATGTAAGCTCTCATTCATTCGCGAACAATTGTAAGCTACAAATGTTTCACTCGGCTACCCCAATCCATGACACACGCTGGAGATTATCTCCGCATGGACATTGGCCAATCAGCGAGCGAGCCGCACAATAGCACGATAAATTATGCACGGGAAGACCATTTCAGGCACGCTTTGAAGTCACGCTTCAACGCTTTCATAGTGTGGTCGCTGAGGCTACGAGGTCAACTCTGCGTTGCTGCCAAAATGAGGGGAGAAGAATGATCCGAGTGTGCACCCATATATACAATGAAAAATGCTTAGGAACACTGGCCGTAGCTACGAAACGAAGTGAGAAAGAGCGAAGTAATAAAGATTATTAGCTAAGCAAATTTGTCTGTCTGGCCGGAACATTTAAAGGTCCGCATTTCCAAAGCCTGTCAATTGTATATTTATATAACTTGGACAATGCTCATCCAATGAGCTACACAAAGAGTCTTGCAAACCTGCCTCCTTAAGCTTACTAGAAGTTACAGCTTTCTCTTATTGTCAAAAAGAAAATGAAAATACAAAATTTAAATTTAAATTAAGCAGAACTGCACATATGACTATTTTTGGCAGTCGAGTTAAACTCATCCGAACTAAACTACTTCAAAACTCCTTTCGAGGTAAAATTAAAAATAATACTTCATTATTTCCGTCAACAATGAACGCGTCAGCCCAAAATTTTTGTGCGCATTTGAATATTCCACAGTCACCTTTATCATGGAAATTTTCATGTCACTTCCAAATCGAGAATGATCCTGATCTCAAAAGATAAAAAATCCCATTGAGAAGAAAGATTATGCTTGCAAGATGTCTGTCAGTGAGTTTGCATTCGTGCGTCAGAATAGAATAAATAGCAGTTTGCATATTAAGTCAACAATGGCGAAGCAAAAGTTGAGCTTACATTCAAGTGATTTCTCGCCGAAAGCATCCTGTAACCTGTTACTCAAGTACTCGTTTCTAGGCTTGTTTAGAAGAGAGCTTAGTTTGCAAACTGCTCCGTGCATTGCCCTAAATTTTCACACCTAAAAACAACTTGTTGCATGCCAAGCCACTTGTTGCATGATCAAAAGTGGTTTTCGTGCCGGAGAACTCACCGGAGCATTAAAAAACGAAGTATTTAACACTGATAAAATCTCTAAACACTAAAACGCGCTATTTTTTCGATTGAAACTGCTGATAAAGGAACGCGACCTTTGTGATAATCATGTTTAAAAATACGAAGAAGCATTTTCGACCATTTTAAGATTTTCGTGAGAACGTTGAGCGTAATTAAAACTGAATACGCTTCTCTGTGTAAAAGGAAGAGCACGCATGTCCTCGCATACGAGTTCATCTCTGCTTTAAAAGAATTAAACTTGAAAAATAGTTGCAAAATAGTAGGTCCTATATTCGTTAGCAACACAAGTCAATTTCATTTTCCCCATACATAGTTAATTGTGTTACGGGTAGGATTATCAGATTTGGTGGACTAAAGCTTGTTACAAATGTCGCTATATTTGGACATTTCGTGCTAAAATTGGCACAAATCTATTTCTTGGCTTCGGGACAAAACGTCTATTGCATTACGAAGCCGCAGAGCTGCGTTTTGGCAAGCTAAGAGAGTAATATTGAGTTTGCAGCAGCTGGTAACACCGGGATTGGAAAGGATTGTCTTTGGAACAAAGGGACTAAAGAGGTCAGGGTCAGTCACGTGAACCAAAAGAGTCCGGATCGCCTCAGTGACGGTCGCTGATTGGTTGAAATGAATGACAGAACGCGTTAATTGATCGTCTATAGGTTTCGATTATATTCGTGAATAACGATCCTTAATTGCACGATTCATCGATTGCTCTAACCGCAAATTTTCAGGGCTTTTTCATCGCATTGAAGTCCACTTGTGGGATAAACAGCATCCCGAGTGCAATCTCGTTCTCCTTAACGCCAGACGATTCACGATTTTACATGCTGTTGGAAGAGTACTACCAGTTGATAGGGTTGCCACAATTATCCGCAAGAGTCTTTTGTCAACCTCTTATGCCCGTCTCGTTAATTTTCTTTGTCGTCCAAAAAATCAGACGATTTTTACCCGTCAAATTATAAATTACATGTAGTGATGCCGTCCGAATCTTTCACCAACACGAGAGATGCAGCAGAGAGGATGCATGGACTTCGATAGAAGAGTTTTATCGGGCTTGTTTACACAATCCTGCTTACGCCTGAGGTTACACGAAGCGTGAGACGACTTCGGGCTAGTGAAATGAAATATAAGCTAAGCAGTGATGCAGTTATCGCGACAATGGCAGTGTGTGTTAGTGTTTGTTTTGTTTCAAGAAGGCTCAAAAGCCGTCTCACGTATCGTTGAAACTCAGGTGGCCGGGTTCATGAAAACAGCTCAATGCCTGACCAAACACAGCTTCGAATTAGCGTAGCAACTCTTGCATTGGAAGCCGTATAGAGAAATTTTGAAGTAACGAAGTTGTATTGAGTATATATTTGAATAGTTGAACCACGTGTCAGTCCCGAGAACCTTTTTAAATTTTCAGAGTGTTTTCCAGCCTGTTTGCTCAGTTCCTCTGTAAATAAAGGCCATGCAGAAACAACCTACGCTATGCAAACAAAGTTTTCAAATTGGTTATTGACATGCTTTACTATATTGTGTAGTAAAACTCGTGGTTTTCAAAGCATACGGAGACAGGAATATTGAATTTTTCAAAGCTCAAAATGCACATATATCGCAAAGCTCAGAAACAGAGCTAATGCATTATGACGTCATACGCTTCAGCGCGACCAAAGTAACCAGAATTCCCTGCGAGAATTAGCAACACAAACCTCACAGAGAATGCCGGTCCTTTCCTGAGACTTTCGACGTCATTCAAAAATGTACTGATCAATTTCCTATTATAGAAGATTCTGAAGTCAGAGGATGGATACTTTGGACACAGAATACCTTACAGAAGTGGAACTCCTGTACTTTTTTCGTAAGTGTGATTCGTCATGATTCGTCACTTAGCAAGTGCATTTTTTTGAGGTAGTCACCCCCCTGCCAATGTCTAAAATCAAGCCATTTTTAGTATTGGCAGGGGGGTGACTACCTCAAAAAAATGCACTTGCTAAGTGACGAATCACACTTACGAAAAAATAGTATAGAGTTCCACTTCTGGTAGGTATTCTGTGCTTTGGATGACAAAAATCTGCAACAAAACGTTTACTTATCAACTGCCTACAGTATCTTCAATAAACTCCTATTGTCTCGTGGGAACTTGTATTCCCCCCCCGGTCTCCGATATACTTCATGTTGATAGGTAATTTGATTGGCCGAGTTTCAAATAGATGTTGGAGTACCTTATCAGAGGTACATTTCCACAGAGAATATATAAAAAAAATATGCGAGGCTACTTGAGCGAGTGGGCTAAGTACTAGTTTTCTTAACTATAATAATCAACCTCTCTATACCCAGCAAGACCCCTGGAGCCTTGTCCGGCGTCAAAGCTAGGATATAGGCCGGTAAAATTTCTTAGATGAATAGTAAAATCTAAAAATATATACGCTGCAATTGAACTGCACATACAATAGAACACTTTCGTGACATTTTTTAATTCGATGAAGCAAACTATAGCTTGCTTCGTATATATGGCAAATAGGATATATACCCGGTTATCTATTGTTTACTTTCTATTTGTAAACATTTTAGTAAACAAAGGCAACAGCTCAGCAACGTGCCACAAGAACGGCGTGGACAATTACTGGTGGAGATTTATTGACAAACACACTGACATTGTCTATCTTACTTCCTCGATCTTAAGTTGCACAGGTTTAATTTGCATCATTTCCTTTGTGACATCGTCATGGCCGCATCGTATTGGAATTTTAAAATAGCTTGCAAGCGTGCCTGTGTCTCGCGCAAAACAGGCGAATTGGTTAATTTTTCACTCTTGATCAACATCGCAGAAGACGAACAGAAAAAAAATATACCTAACCTAAACTAACTTTATTTATACTGGATAGCTCTATCAGTTCTAAACCGTTCTTCCTAGAGGATCATCTCTTATTGATCCAGTGTTACTACAGGCTCTATCAGTTCTAAACTATTCTTTTCAGCGGTCCATTAAGGACCATCTTTTACTAATCCAGTACAATATTACTGAAAAAGGAACCGTACACTAACTTATAGCGTGATGAAGGCCCTGTTACACGGTGCAATTTTCTTGCAACTTGCAATGCAATTCTACTTTTGAGAAATGGATATTAGTGAAGAGTCTTCAAAATGTCAGTGAAAGAAACTCCATGCATGGAGTGTAATAAAGACAAAAGTTTGGTAGTTGCCAAATTTACATCTCTCAAAAGAAGAATTGCATTGCAAGTTGCAGGAAAAATTGCACCATGTAACAGGGCCTTAAGGTAGAGATATAAGTCATTCTAAACATACCTTATCAGGACCATGCAGCATTGTTTCGTAGTTTTCAGTATCCGTGCGGTAATAAACGATAAACAAGAGTTTCCTAAACGGGAAAATCCGCATAAAAATCATACTTTGAACATTGCTATTTCACGAAGTACAACCCAAAACTTGCCTACGTTTCGATCAAAAAGGGTTTCATTAGGAGAACAAGTTAAGAATAAAATCAACTTAGGTGTAGTATCTAATTAGGCTCAGCCGGGAGAAGTTTGGGATTAGAAATATTTAGGATTAAATTTGGGATTACAGGTTCATCTTTTGATAAATGGAAGCTGAGCAAATTCACAGCCAGAGAGAAATGGAAAAATCCACCGAATTTGCCCTAATAATGTTTACCGACTTCATTTATCGATTGTATTCAACAAAACAAAAAAGGGAACGGCAAATCAGGCATATTTATGACCGTGGACTATGGGGAATGTGGACACATTAGCTTTGCTCGTTGCAGGTGGTATAAATCATTCAAATGCCGAAAGGCTGGCAGTATGCAAAATGATACATCGTCATAACCATATATATCTATACATTCCCTAAAGGTTTTTTGTGCTAAAGTTATCTGGATATGACATCCGACCCAATTATTGTCCCTACACAAATTTGTTATTCAAAATAGCGAGTTCTGTAAGGCAATAAGTGCATTAATTACAATTCGCTTAGCTTGTGTCAATATCTTCGACAGCAGATGGCCTGCCATTGGCCATTTCATTAATCACTTTGATTATTCTGACGATCTGAACAGACGGATTAGCATCTTAGAAATTAGATTTTTAACTTCGATTGAATAAGTAATATGCAACTATATTGCTTTTTCCCAGTTACTATGGGAGATTTTGAAGGACAGACTTTATTCCAATATAACTTGTATGTACACACGTCTGTTTGATAACTACTGGCTTGCGTTGAATCAACTGTCAGTGGATTCTTTCTGGCGGAAATGTCTAGTCCAACGCGACAAATGTCAACTCGAAAACTTCCTCCGTTACCTGGGAGCCGTTCGCCCTTCGGGGCCAAATCAAACTCGGCTCATTCAAGTCCTAACGCATCAAGCACCTCAATATATTCGAACGAGAAACGGGTCGGTGAGAAAATAAATAAGGATCTGTCGAAAAGTCTTAACGATGGACCTTTTCGACCCGCTCTTGTTAATGCAACGTTGCCTGACCAACCGAACACAAAGGAGACTACAAAACAATGTAAGTGTATCTACACATAAAATACTTGATATTTATGACATCCCACCGGTCCTCTGACGGCAAATGAAGACGATAAGTTTACTTTGCTAAGGAGTAACGGTCACGATGTGGCTGTGTTGTGGTGCGGTTGTAGATTCAAATATAGCCATTACATGGCTTAACGGATTATCAGTGGAGGGAGAATAGACTTTTACGACTTTTTAAAACACAATTCAAGTAAAATGTATGCGAGAATTTGTAGCACGAACTTCATACGGCAGTGATGAATTCGTCCTTGCAAAGTTGGCCACGCATCAGTGACTTGCAACCGTCAGCAAATGATTCAAGCGGAACCCGAATTACCCGATGTTAGTTTGTTCAAAGAGACAAGACGATGACTCTGTACGCGACAATACGTTACGACTGATATGTAAACAAACGACTTAACCGCAGACAGTTTCACACAAGGTTTATATATACATTCAGATCACCTCGCGATCATCAACAGCGCCGGGCCTAGTTTATTTTCGGTCATAGGAAACGAGGTCCTTTGTATTAACTACTTCACAGCTGCCAAGCAAGTATGGGCGGCCAATCGAATATCTAGTCAATTCGTGCGACAAACGATCAGAGATTATAATATTGGGGAGATGTTTCAATTTCATCAATTGCTAGGCGGTTTTTTTACTCTGAGTTGGGAGAATTGAAGCTTTATGAATATGGAACCGAGTATTTTATAGTTTCACTTGAAATGGGGACGTTATTGCGTTGACAAAACTAAACAATTCATGTTCTAATAAACACGCCATGGCAATTAGTCTATGTTAGGTTTTGCATTACACCGTAACTATTATGTAACGTACAGTGTATCTATTGATCAGCTATCCAAAGCTTCATTAACATATTTCATACTAGATTAAACGTGACTAGGACATGCAAATAGCCCTGTTGGGTCATTACAGTACTACAACAGGAGGAAACCTAAACTAAACTAACTTTATTTATACTGGATAGCTCTATCAGTTCTAACCTGTTCTTCCTAGAGGTCAAGTAAGGATCATCTCTTATTGATCCAGTGTTACTACCGGAGGAAACCTAAACTAAACTAACTTTATTTATACTGGATAGCTCTATCAGTTCTAACCTGTTCTTCCTAGAGGTCCAGTAAGGATCATCTCTTATTGATCCAGTGTTACTGCAGGAGGAAAACTGTTCTTCTTCAGGATATATTTTAACCAGTGCTTCCACAGCCACCTTGTCAAAAATCCTTTAACAATCTCTGAATTTCCTTTTTTCCCAAAACATTTCCTTGCCAAAATTGCAAAATTTCCTTTCAAATTTCCTTGCAGAATTTATCTATTTATTAAAAAAATTTACAATTGAACTCTTCAGTTAGTTTAAAAACCAAATTTCAACAGTGATGCTCGCTGTCTATCTACAGTAATTTTTAACTGTCATCGCCATTTAAAACCTAAGGCTAATTTTGAAATCTTATCCCGCTAGTCGAGGCAGACGACATCAGAACTTTTCTGCACTACAATCCGATGTTCCTAGAAAATTACGTCATGAAAAACGTGGATCAGCAACGATTAGAAAGATGGCTCGTGCGAAAGACCAACCAGGAAAAACGCAAGGCTATTCAACCAGTTAAAACCAGCACAAACACAGGTTATAATGAGAATATGTAAAGAAAATCAATTTACCAAGAAATAAAAGATAAACTGACAAGTCTGTACCCCAAATAATTTTTCCAAACAGAGTTTTTCTTTCTTAAACTTATCTTCATGCAGATTGATGTTAGTTTCATTAAGATAAAGCAATTCACTTATTGAAAAACCAGCAGTTAGATACAAAATAGGTGACCATGCATGCTGGAAACCACCTCTTAATAAAAACAATAGAGTGATATTAAAACAACTTTTTATTTACTTTCAGGGCAGGGTACAGCATCTCTCTCAAAATGGAAGGTACAACTTGGCCTTTGTGACAGTAAAATGAGTCGACATTCAGAAGTCAATATTGTTTGAAAACTGCTCAATTCAATTATACTAACAATCGATTCATTTTAGTTCTGTGTGCACAGTGACAAAAAGAAGCCGCTTCAGGAATTGACAAGAGATATACATGAGTCGCCTAACAAGGAGAAAGTTGTTTCTGAATTGGCCCAATGCATCACTTCAGGTAGACAAATAAATGAAGCGTATATACCCAACCGTGTCCTGAGGTTATTGGTCAGCCATACACAACAATGATCAGTATCAAGGGCCATTGAAGAATCATTGGTGTTGATTTTACTTTTAGTGACCATCTCAATACGAGTAGGGCTGCAGAGTTGGCAATCATTATAGATAGATAGATAGTGTATTAAGATTACCTCGCAGCCCTAAGGCTAAATTGCATGATATTTGCAAAATTTAAAATTACCTATGCATGGTAAGGTCTGGGTGTCCAGAAAATAGAATTTTACTTAAAATCTAGGTGCATGCATGGAGAAATATTGTTCTCAGGTATGCCCTTGGGGTAGTTATAAGAACAAAATTGAGAAACTGAACGATATAGAAAACTTTTGAGGCAGATTTATGTCACATATTTGTCTGCCACCTCAAAAATCTTGGGTGTGGCATTGACCAGGACAATTTTATTGCCAGATTATTAGGATTTTGCAAAGCAAACATATCGCATATCTGTTCGAAAATATACTTGGACTATTGAATTATCTCGTAGATTACAATTATTTTCTATGGATTTCAGATCATCGTGAAGTTTCAAATAGTACAAATATTACATGAAAATCAAATTATGATAAATATCCATTAGATCAATGCTTTTCAACATGTTTAACCCTCGTTATTTTCCCTAAATCCGATCACAACTCCAGACGAAATACACGACAAAAATTCAACTTGCTTCCAAACATACGCGTGCTCTGAGACACTCGTTAAACTTACCGTATTTTTCTGTTATTTCATAGCTTGTCACGCAGATTGCTACTCCCTTTATCTGGTAGAGGATAACAACAAGGTAATCCAATCATTTCCCTTTAGTTTTCGCGTTTTTAGAAGCATTTACACGCAGTTTTCCTGACAAATAATAGCGATACTCAAAGCGAACGCGATCGGCCATTTAAATCCACGTGTCGCAAATTTGCAACATTCAAAATTCGTGCGAAAACGTCTTTTCTGAACATGCGATTTCTGTTACCGAGAAATTGTTTAGATACTTCAAGAAACGACCGAGATTGTGTACATTACCACCCACCGACGCAGTTTCCCACATTTCACCCTCAAGTGGAAAGGGGTACCCCTAATTGAAATATGTCATGACCTAATTTCGAAATATTTTTGTTTTCAGGAAATGTTTTTATACAGTCCAAATGCACCAGGGTATGTCATGGATTTCTCAATATTTAAAAGAGAGAGTGTCTTCAGCCCCATTGCCAACGAGCCCTTGGGGCCTTGCCCATCTTCGAGAGAATGTCCACGCTGTTTTGAGAAATGAGAATGATTTGTGCTTGATTAGGAACGAGAAAGATATAGGAAAGAACTTTTACACTGGTTCAAAATCTCGTAAACCAAGATCTCGTAAATTCAATTTCGCGACAAATCTTCACATAGGTTTCTAACTTGAACTTTTTGCTTCGTGTTAAGATGCCGAACTTCTGAAAAAATTTTGATCGAGGAAGGGACGACCATTGCTGCATACGTTGCCTCGACATTGACATCAGTTAGAACGAATGAAATACTCGGGGTACGTGAATTACTGTCTACAGCTGATATACGTTTTACGCCACTGAGTTTAATCACGAATCCTCAGATTTGTAAGAGATGTTGTTAGAATCAATGCAAAGAGAATTCCTGCTTTTGTGGTGTGATTGATTTTTACCTTCATTGAGTTTAGGATCCACGGTTTCCTAAAGGAACAGGCTTGGAAGGTATTTGTTGATTTGCAATTTTTAGATTACCCCAGATTCATCATAATAGTAGTGATATGTGAGTTGGCTAAATTAGGGGGTTTTGTGTCTTTTCTAGAAAGTACTGCTCAGTCTGTGATATGTCAGCCAATTATTGATAGCGGTGGGAAACTTGTAGGTAAGGTGATGATGAAATGGTATAGAACGGATGAAATTGGGTAAGATAGGGAATGGAATGGGGTAAAATGAGAAGGGAAGGGATAAACGAGGTGGAATTGAACGGAAGGGGATAAAATGAAGTAGAGTAGGATGGAACAAGATGGAATCAGACGAGATATGATGGGGTGGGAAGGTTGGAATGATGGGGTGTGATAGGATGGAATGGGTGGATTTCATGAAATGGGGGATGCAATAGAATGGAATTTGATAGACTAGGATGGTATTAGATGGAATGAGAAGGGACAAAATGTAATATCTTCAACCTTTCTAGGGGTGATTGAACTTTCGAGAAGAGTTGGACACGACGCATTCTGTGAAGAAGATGACGAGGTAAGAAGCGAAGTTCTCCTTTCTCGTACGAAAGACTACTCAGAACAGATTCTCATTTTTACCACCGCAATGAAATACACGTTTAAATTATTTCTGACAGATCGTAAACAGTTACCTTGTCTGGGGAGGCATTTCGCTGTATTATGCCGAGGTAAAGTTTATCAATCGAAATGCATATCAAAAATTGATAGCCAACGAATTCTCCTTGGGTAAATGCCGGTATGATTGAATGGCACTGTGATAATATAAAGGTGTAGTTTTATAGATCACAATATTTTTAACCTTTTAGATGTTTTACTCTATGAGAAAACACAAACGATTGAGCGAGTTTCTTCTCAATGTAACAAAGTAAGAATTTTGTAATGCAAGTTTCTGAATTCGCAAACATTCTCAAAACACAGAAGTACAAAACCTAATTCACCTAATTCATTGTCCTAATACCATATATAGGTCAATATTTCAAGATATCGTTAGCATGGACACAGTGATAATGAAAATCATGGTGAGCCACAGATATTTTACAGGGACCGGTTGCATCAAGCCCGTTTAGCTTAAACGGTAGATAAGTCAAAATTAAATAACACTCTTACAACTCTCTTGAATGAGTCAACTTGAATATTATGCCCCGAATATGTAGTTGTAAACAGTATCTTTGTATTAAGGTTAAAAACATTTAGTTCGCTTGTTGAATAAAACGATAGACTTGCTTTCTATTTTGAACTTAACCACCGTTTAAGCTAAACAGGCTTGATACAACTGCCCCCTGATGTATCCTGGTCTGTCACGTGAAGTTCATTCAGGGAACTCGTGATATAAAAACGTACTCATAAAATGAAATACCGGGTGTTTTGTCCAGACAGAATCCTCGTTGCCATCATGTGAAATTTCTGTTTTCCATGTCGACTTATAATATAGAATTACGCGCAGAGTCTGGTGGACGCTGACCGCACGTCGCTATTTCTCGTGGACTCAAAGACGGAGGAACTTTATGCGCGAATATTTGATGTGGGAGGGTCCCCTGAGGAATCTATGTCGCAAAACTTGAAGAAGGAAATAAGGTAAATCGTCTAAGAATAGACAGATTATTTAGTTAACCACATTGAATGGTGAAAGTCAGTTAACTTTAATTTGCCAGTCAGATGCTGGGGCTGGCTAAGGGCTGATTATTAGTTAGTTAATTGATCGATATTAATCGGTTATTTAGCGACACTTTTTTAGCGCTTCATCTATCTCAGTTTCGAGGTCTTTCAATTTAGATTTCCAAAGTCAAAAGGTGTTGCTGGTTACGTTGCTACCTCAGGAGAAACACTCAACATCACAGAGGCGTATAACGATCAGCGTTTTAACCGGTACAAACGAACTTTCAACCGTTCAACCACTCTGTTGAATTAAAAACTTTTTAACACAACTACTCAATTGTCTGCTTTCTATTTAGGGAAATAGACATTCAAACTGGTTATACAACAAAAACACTTTTGTGTATGCCAATTTTTATCCGAGGGAAGTAAGTTCGTACTGCTCAAAGTTTTGACCCAGTATCAATATTATTTTATGTCCTCTCTTTCGTCCCTACCATATGCATTTCCTCGACGCTTGAGATACAGGCGAGGTCAAGGAATACAATTTTCCTTAATATCTTTCTTCCATCTTCTTTGTCAGTATCATCGGCGTCGTTCAGATGGTCAACAAAAAAACTGGCGTATTCACAGCTGCAGGTAAAACGTTCTCCCATCGACTTTTGAAGCTTTAAACTTTTGCATCTTCACTCAATAAGATAGTTTAACGGCCCCACCAACCTCGACAGTAAATATTCATCTAACCCACAAACATAAAAACCGATTTCAAGATTGTGTCATTAATGCAAGAAATAACAGTTTCGTTTTTATTTGCAGACGAGCAATCGTTTCAAACGTTCGCAACTTACTGTGGTCTTGCTCTCCATCATGCAAAGGTGAATGGATTGATTATTATTTATGTATATAATTTAAAAATCTCCACAACAATAAGAAATAGCTAACAACATGCCATATTCCTTTCTCCTCAACAGCTTTACGACAAAATAAGAAGATCAGAACAAAAATACAAGGTAATCGGTTGAAGGATTTTAAGGATGTGTTTGGTATAAAGACTGATTTAATTTCACCAGCATTTGGAAGTATTTAATCGTAACCTTTTCGCATTTCAGGTGGCTTTAGAGGTGCTTTCATACCACAGCATGTGCACAGATGAAGAAATGAGAGATCTGAATAAAGTTCGTTCTTCTAAGCTTCCCGCAATTGACAGGTAATTGATTGTAAACAACAAGATCGCCAATGCAGTTTACAACAGCTGCTTTGCTACAGCAAAAAATTACAGACGACATCTTGGGCCTTCTTCCAGTATCTTCTTTCAACCATACGGCTGTTTTTACTATTCAGCTTCTCGAGAAATCGCCAAACTTTTATCGGCAAGTTATCCGATGTATTTACTTCGTGTATTTTGTTGCTATTTCAGATTCTGCTTCGATGCGTTCAGCGTGGAACAAATTGAGATGGTGGAAATGGTTATAAAAATGTTCAAAGAATTATTTTCGCTCAAAATGTACGCCTTTGAATCTGTAATGTCATATAACATTTTAAAGGAACCGTTGCATGTAGAAGAGTTTACTCCAGACGTCTTCTTTTTAAGGTTTGATGTGGATGAGCTGACAAAATTCACGCTGACAGTGAGAAGAAACTATCGCAGAGTTCCTTACCACAATTGGACTCACGCGTTTTCGGTAGCCCATTGTATGTTTATGATTTTGAGAGAGGCATCTTCGAACTTCATGCTAACCGAGGTATTAGACGATATTCCTTTCATTTCTAGCGTTGTTTTTCGTTAAATCGTTTTCTCTTCCGAAGAATCATTCCACTATATCATCTTGTGATTCATTGATATATTTCTTGTTTCCAGTCGTTGGCGTTGTTCGTCGCCTGTCTCTGCCATGATCTGGATCATCGTGGTCGAACTAACTCGTGGATGAAAAAGGAGGGAACGGCCTTAGCTTCTGTATACACAACGTCCCCACTTGAACATCATCACTTCAATCAAACCATTACCATATTACAGGTTAGAAAAACACCTTCATCAAAAACAATCTTGCACGTTCATTTGCCAAATGTTTAGGCTAGCAAATGAAAAGACAATGAAGCATCTTGATCCCAAGATGATGACTGGATGACTTCAATTCATCGATTAATCGATTGATTGGTTGGTTAATTGGTTGATAAATTGACTGATTTGGTCATCTTGGGTCATATTTTTCTAGCATGAAGGTCATAACATATTCTCAAGATTTTCATCATCCGAATACAAGTCGATTCTTGGACATATAAAATACTGCATCTTGGCAACCGACCTTGCCGTCTTCTTTGGAAATAAGGGGAAACTTAAACAGCTCTTAGACAGTAAACAATTCTCTTGGAAAGAATTTGAACACACGTAAGCTGAATACATATGATAAACACGCCCTTGTATTGTTCAACAAGAACGGACGTTGACATTTGACAAGACGACGAGTACAAACTGATCTTTCGTTTGTTGTTCAGACACTGCTAATGACTGGTTTGTTTTCAACAGAAAGTTAGTCCAAGCTATTGCAATGACTGGTTGCGATCTTTCTGCCTGTACAAAGCCGTGGAAAGTTCAGTACGAAACGGTTAAAGTTATCTTTCAAGAATTCTATGCAGAGGTACAGTGACAGCAAGTTTGTACAAACAGTTTCACTCAATCCCAGCTCATTTCATACGGTAAGTGGCTAAAGTAAGAGCATAGGCAGCCAAAGAGATGCCAAACGAGATCTATATCGTTTTAGGGAGACGAGGTTAAGCGACAGGGAAGCCAGCCTATTCCAATGATGGACAGAGACACCGCAGACGATTTACCAGCTCATCAGGTATGAATGCTATCGTTGACTTTAGCCGCAAGTTGAACAAGTATTAAGAACTCAATTCTTTATCATGAAAGGTCGGTTTCTTGGTTGGGATTTGTCTGCCATGTTATGAAATGCTAAAGGAACTATTACCTCACACAGCAGCCCTGCTTGACGGAGCCAGGTATAGTTTATCTTTAAACGATAAAAGATATCTATTTATTGCGGCAAATCAATCTGTGCATGTGGACAACTACTCAGTTTGAACTCTACGCAAAAACATGGCCGACCATACCTGTGCCAGAACGCTGGTTGACAGGACGAAGAAAAGGAGAGTTATCATGTGGAAAAGCTATTCGTACTTTCTAATTCTTATCTTAGAGCAAACCTTAAACGTTGGTCAGAACTCGTGGCGAAGAAAAAGCAGGAAAGTCAGCAAGAAGAGAGAGGCGAAAATGCCCATGAAGTTAAAGATGAAAAGCAAGAAGATGACGAAGTTGAGAAAAAGGACGAAGAAGTTAAAAACGAGGAAAACAGCGCTGACGTACAAGAAACTTCACCTGTTCTTCCTGAGAGCGACGAACCCACTAAAAAGACGCTCGTTGAAAGAATAAAATCCGAAAGTGCAAATGATATGATATCCTTCTCAAGCGATGACGAATGAACAGTTCTTGAACTATTGGTTTATAATTGTAAATACAAAATGCTAAAATTTCGCCAGTAGTTCTGAATGCCACGAGAAATGGACAGAAATCACAGAGAATTATCGAATTATAAACTGTCCACTGATTTGGCCTTGTCTGGCCAAAGAATTGAGACTTGAATATACGTGAAACAGATTTGCGGATTAAATATGTGTATATGTACATGAAAATTATTCAATTTAATAAATCATTGATAACAAATATGGGAGTGACTTATAGCTACAAAGGCGAAGATATACACAACTTCAAATGACGTTCTTGACGAAAACCTATCCGTCATTTCCACTCCTCCGTGAATGAGTGGGAAGTGGATGATGCTGTGACCGGAACAACACGAGTTTCGGCATTCAAAATCATGCATGAACAATATTTTTTATTGATCCCATCTCAGAGCGTGTGAAAAATCATGCGTCGAGTTTTATTTTTTACTCACTGCATGCAAGCATTACTCCGGGTGGGAGGTTTCAGCAAATGATCACCAGGAGACTATATGCGGATGTGAAAAGCAAATATGCACTTTCCATTGCTTGTAAATTTGTTCGGATATTTGTGAATTTACACGGTGTAGATATCATAAGAGGTCAAAAATGTCGCTATGTACAGCATAGTTTAAATACATTGCCTTAAAAAATAACAAGAACTCTGTCGTTTTTGAGAAATGCATGCGAAATAAAAGCCTTTGTGGCTTCAAAAATGTTTATATTGAATGGTTGACTAGTCAGAAAGCGGAACTTATATCATATTTCCTCGACAAGTCCTGTGACATGTTAAGTCGCATGCATTTCAAATTGTGCAACCCATTGTCTTGTATGTAAACACATGGGTTATATGAGTTGATACAAACTTGCGCTGAAACAGCACTCTCTAAGGAGTGTCACATATTTTCAAATCGACCGTAAGTAATTTCAAACAACGTAAAGTGAACTCCAACAACATCTAAGTTCACGATGGGGAATCTACTTCCATTGGACGCGGCGAAAAAGGAGCAATGCGAAGGTATGAGCATTTGACATTATTGATATTCTGCTGTCAAAATTCTGTGGATGCCGAAAACACAATGGTATCTGATATATTTAATTCAACCGCGGTGTATATAAATGCAGAATTCAGTTTTAAAATCAATGGACAGAGTTATTTATACTTCTTGTATATAAAGACAGTTTCTTTGTAGCAATATTAGATGTATAAGCGTTTTAAAATCGGGAAGATAGTTGCGGTGTGTGTTGAATTTGGACACGTCTGTGCATGTCCAGGTTTGACAATACAATACAAGTCAGTCGTTGTTACGAAAATCTAAAAACGGTCTTAACTAAATATGACTGCGGTAAACAAGTTTTGGCGGCCAATATCCAATATTATTCTATAGAAGAGTGTTGCCTGCTATACCCATAGATAGTTTGCTTTGAAGCGGAAGTAAATCACCTCTGCTGGTAAAAAATTTAAACCGGGTATAGATTAATGTTCCAGGCATTAACATCATTCCAGCTCTAGAAAGTGCGTCGCTCAAAGTGTCGTTTCACAATATGAAAGTATAATCCATTTCGCGTAAGCTTATAAAAAAGCTATTGCGGAAATAGCTTCTGAAATACGAGGCTAGAAAAATAGAGGTAAATGTGGTTTGCCTATGCCCACTAAAATATAGCTGTCGAAATTTTTAAAACATTATCGTGGCTCCCTATTCTCTGCATGGGATTAGTGCATAAAGTGTGTCAACGCCTTTGTTTTTAAAAAGCAACAAAAGTCACAGCGTATCAATTCCCAAGCACTTTACATGTTTCAAATATCACACAAGAAGCGACGTCATTATAAATTATGGCTACCTTGACCCCAGGAAACCCCGTGACTACACCGCCAAAGATCCCCGGAAGACATTTAAACATGAAACATTTTTCCAAAAACGAAAGTTTCAAAAGAACGTCGAATTGACGCTAAATTATTACCATTGTAGACAAGTATATTTGTTTGTGTTTCGAAAAACTTCAAAATAGGAAAATGGGAGACGGAAGTTGATATTGGTCATCATGAGCCAGTGAACTATAATAGAGAATGCTCACTCTCTGACTTTCCCTCATTAATGAGTGAAGCCAAGATGGCGGATCATGAGGCCTTTCTTGTAGATATGATCCAGGTCTCCGCCAGCGCCGAAATTTCAAAAGGAAAATCATAATTGCCGCCATTTTACCTACGAAATTTCCACATGGAGGCCTGGATCATATACCTACAAGACAGGCTTCATATTCCGCCATCTTGGCTTCATTTTTTTCGCAGAGCTAGCAGGGTTCCAGTCTTATTTCAGTTAATTGTCAGGAGCATGGCCTGATTTTAGGGTCTGTTTCGATACGCGAATTTCGCGTGTGCAGGCGAAGCAGCCTTTAAAAACCCGAGTAATTAAATCCATTTCAGAAATCGCCAAGGAATATTTAGCGACATTCAACGTGGAGTATGTGTTGGCATACGGAGTTGAATTTACGAAGATGAAAATAAAACAAATCGAGAATGAGGTTTTTGGAGATGTTGAAACGAAGAAGAAGCTGATCTACAGAAAGGTAAAACATACGTCGCCATACCAATCTTTCTCGACTGCCATCTTTCTGAAGGGTAACAAACTAAGAAATATTGTTTCCGAGCAATGTTTTCTAAAGTTTGACAATTCCAAGAAATATTGTTTCCGAGCAATGTTTTCTAAAGCTTGGCAGTTGGCACTTCCAAGAAATATTGTTTCTAAGCCATGTTTTCTGAAGCTTGCCGCTTCCAAGAAACATCGTTTCCAAGCCGTGATTTCTGAAGCTTGACAATTCTAGGAAACATTGTTTCCAAGCCATGTTTTCTAAAGTTTGACAATTCTAGGAAACGAGGAGGATGAACCAGGAAACATTGCTTTTAATACCTGGAGATATTTCCCAAAATCAAAACGTTGTGTAAACATTCATAATATTGCTCCCTTTTTTCCCTTACAGGATTTTAAACGCACGGAGCCTCACAAGGTGGGGCCACTCACAAAACAAGGAGCGATTATCAAAAACTGGAAGCACAGACACTTTGTCGTAAATCCAGATTATTCAGTTTCTTACTACGAAACTGAAGAGGTTAGTTAAACATTTTTCACCAAACAAAATGGCCGAACACAAAGACAAAACAAAAACACAACAAGTATTTGTTTGAAAAATCGTAGGACTGAGAGAGTTTTGATTAAAAAATAAATGATAATTCATGGATATTTTTTTCATATTTTCGATAGGCATACGAGAAATCTCTAAAGCCAAAAGGAGTGATATATTTAGCTGGTTACAAAGTGAAGGAAAGCGCCGATAATGCCGTGATTGAGCAGCTCAAGGCTTTGGCAAAGAAACTAGGAATAGACGAAGAAAGTTTGCCGCTACCGGAGAAGTTTCCCCCCCATACTCTGGCGCTGTCGCACGAGAGAAGACGTGAGTACTACATCACCGCTGCTGATGAAGACGAGAAAAAGGAATGGATCGAAATGTTCAAGACTTGCTGTCGAAAAGCGAAAGGTAAGGATAAGTTTGGGAAATGGACCATTGAAAACAAATCCCTTTAGAAGTTGTTTTATATATCGTTCATTCTGCAAAACATGTCTGTTGTTCAACGTTGTAGTTCGCATGCCGTTGGCTACAACAAATTAGGGAATATTTGAATTCGTGACAAACAGTTTTTCTTCAGGTTTAAAGAGTGAAGACCCCGTTGCTCGCGAGGCATTTAAGACTGCATATCGCAGAGCTTGTTATGAATCAGGATGGTTGAACAGGAAAGATCCTTCTGGTGGGACTGAAGAACAGGTGAATTGATCGGATACTTTGTCAGCAACGCAGGGCAACGCATGCATGCAACACTCGCAACAATTCATAATACAGTAGAAACACTATCACATGTAGTCACAACGCTGACAACAACAGCGTTTAGAGGGGCTGTTTACATGAGCCCGGTTACCCGAGATTCAACGAAGCGTGAGAGGACTTTGAGGTATTGAAATAAGTCTTTATGACACCAAACAAGCACATGTTATTGTTGTAATGATTATAAGACTGCCAGGATCATGTTCTCTGCTTATTTCAATACCTCGAAATCATCTCAAGCTTCGTTGAATCTCGGGTAACTGGGCTCATGTTGGGCTCATGTAAACAGCCCCTTAGAACAGCACAACACAATACGATATAATTTGTTTAGCGTGGAGCTAAAATGTTTACAACGTTGATGACAGAGTTTTCTAAGACGAAGGCAACTATACAATAAACACAGCCGAGCACAAACTTCCTCCGATATAGTCGTTTCAATATTTTTATTCCACTTATTTCAGATTTTAACCGAGACGCTCGTTGAAATTATAAATTCCCGTGTTTTATCAAGTGTTTACAGCGACCTCACCGGAAACTTTACCATTAAAAAGAAAATTCAAAAACAGGTAGAACGAGTTAATATCGCGTATTTAAGCTTATAGTGTTTAACAACAGTGCTTTGTCGAAGTAATACGCTTTAAACCCGACGTCTTTGAAAAAAATAGGTCGAAAAAACATTGGATTCAATGGTGCTGGCGTTGGTCAAGCCAGCTTACAAAGCTTTGGTTGAAACTACGGAGAAAATGAAGGCGCCTGTGGAGAAAACCTTTAATGAAAAGAAAGATGAAATTTTGTGAAAGTTCAGAAGAAGATTACAGCGCAGATATCAGGTATTTTCGACATTACTCGCGCGTACAAAGATGCTATTAAAGTTTGCATCAAAGTTTCGTCAAATATCACCTCTGGAAGACTGATAATGATCGTTTTATTATTGTTTTGTATTCAGACAAAGCTGAGTTAATCGTTGACAAGATTTTTCAGGATTTAAAAGAAGATATCGCGAAACTGTATGAAGATCTCAGGGAACTGGTTTGTTAAAATTCTGCCGTAAAAAATTAAAAACAACTTTTTAACTGCAAGATTTACTCGCTTGTCAAGTGAGAGTTCCTGCAAATTTGTAAACAGCATGGATGAAATACAAGCTCTTTTTACGCGTTTTAACATTTTCTTAACTGACTTCTTGCTAAAATGATATTTTAGTTAGTTTCTTCTTGTTAACCTCGTGAAAACAAATTTGAAAATTTCAGACGGTCAGAACTTCGAAGGAAATGCGAGATGAATGCGTAGTTCGACTTATGGAACGATTAGTGAAAGACACGAAAGAGAGCGAAGATGTCGAGTATGTTATGAAAAAGGTAATTCTATAAATGTTTTCAACTTTCAAAAGATATTGACCGACAGATAAACTTGGAAAATTCTTACACAAATTAGCACAGTAACCTGACTTAAACTCGTATAGAATTTCACCACAGAAATGTATTTTTTCTTATAGTTTAAAATCAGCAAAGCATGCATGGATTCAATTGTACTTTCTCTAATCTTTAGTACTACCGAACATTCGACAACATTATTTACGGCACATGCGCATGGGATCATTGGTATAAAGTATATAATATGGAGAAGGAAGCAATTGGTATCGTGGATAAGTATGAAGGAACTTTTGATCGCGGAGGAAGCTATAGATTCGTGTACGATGCACATGACATGCTTGCTTTGGTAGGGAATATGTTCTTAATCAAACAATCAGGAAACAGCAAACTCACAAACGAAATGATGTTTTATAGGTCGCTGACGCGGCGTTTTTCACATTTCAACAAACGATGAAGGAACGAACCAAGGACAACGATACTCTAAAGGATAACAAAAAGACTGCAGAGATGATGGAGAAAATTAAAGATGAAGTCATACCGGTAGGAGAGAACTGTTCTTCCTAGAGGTCCAGTAAGGATCATCTCTTATTGATCCAGTGTTACTACAGGAGGAAACCTAAACTAAACTAACTTTATTTATACTGAATAGCTCTATCAGTTCTAAACTGCTCTTCCTAGAGATCCAGTAAGGATCATCTCTTATTGATCCAGCGTTAGTCATAGTGCTTCTGTTACCACAGAAAAAATGTGTCAAACATTGATGGAAGTATAACAAGTCTTGCAGATCTATAAACTACAGTTTTCATCTTCTTTCTAGAAATACGATCACGACTCGAAAAGTACTCCAGAAGACGTTAGCTTTGCGCTTACGACAGCACATGTCCTAGAATTCGTGTCGAGCAAAATCGATCCGCTTACCAAAGAGGTAAGTAGCTACTCGACTGTGGAACAACAGAAACAACACAATCTACCATAAACTGTAACAGAAAGCAAGGATTCCTTTCCTTTATAGATCCGTAAAGTGGTCGCAAACGCCATCCCAGAACCTCTGAAACAAATTATCAGCATTGAAGATCAATACGACCTTTATGTTGAAGAACTTGTCAAGGAATTGATCAGACGAGGTTTGTTGATTCAGAGATATTTTGTAGCGATTAAGAAACGAGTTTTTTTCCCATGGTATATTTACCCTATCAAAGATAAGCTTCATTGTTAAGGTGACCTGAATCAGTTTCTCTCAATATGACCGGTTGTACAAAGCTGGATAGCGTTTTCTCAAACAACCGTTAACTCGTTTGTGTATTAAAAGTTCTGTATGAAAGCAAATATTGTCCGGCATTTTACTGGATAAAAGGACACAGAATAGATGCATTTTTGAGAATTTTGTATTTATTTTTCACCGCTTAGCAATTGGAATCCCAAAACCAGAGATGAACGGAAAAAATGAAGCGAAAACCGAAGAGACGAAGATTGAAATGAATGGCAAGAAGGATGACGAACAAATGAAAGATTCCGAGGAAGCAAAAGAAAACGAAACTGAGGATAAGAAAGTGGAAGAGAATGACCAAAAAGGAGGGGAAACAGGGAAGAATGAAGTACGCGAAAATGGAAACACAGATGGAGAGATTAGCGAGGAAAAGAAGGAAGTTGAGGCAGAGGGAAAAGAAAATGGAAAGAACGAAGAGGAAAAGCAAGAGGAGAAAAAGGAAGATGGGCAAAAGGAAAGTGGAAGTGGGGAAAATAAAGAAAACGGTGACACAGTAAAGGAAAGTGGAAGTGAAGAGAGTAAAGAAAACGATGACACAGCAAAGGAAATTGGAAATGAGGAAAATAAAGAAAACGGTGACACAGCAAAGGAAATTGGAAGTGAGGAAAATAAAGAAAACGGTGACATAGTAGCGGAAATTGAAAGTAAAGAACAAAAGGAACTTTGTAATGGAGACACGAATGACGTGAACGAGCTGGAAGGAAACACATCTGATGATACCGCGATGTAGTTTGTTGCTATATAAAACATTTTATATATTGTTCTATTCTTAAAAACACTCACATAGGAACATAACTGATGTAATTCCAAGATTGATATCTTGTTCGATGCCCATTATCAGATATAATATACGCTTTATTTCCTCATAACTAATCCAATCTGTGGGCAGATGATCCACTAATCCGTGGTGATCATGTGCCAGGTATAATTACTTACGTGTGCCATTATCGTTATCATCAGCGAGAACAATGACATTAAAAGAACATCGACGACACAGAAAGACCAAGTCGTTAAACAAACAACAGATAATATCGGGTTATTTTCTAGGAATTCATGCGATTATATACAACATTAGTTCATTATATTTAGAAAGTTTTGTCACAACAGAGCAGACAAATCATACATTAAAAAATAATTTAAGGCAAACTATATTTTGTCGTTGAAAACGAGTAGTTTCGAAATCTTAAGTTCTTAATGCCACAAGCCGATTAAACGCAAGCTAACATGCTGTATTTATATTGCTTAAAAGCATGACAAAGGTCAAAGTCTCGTGTGCCAAGCGCGTTCCTGAAACAATGGTTTACCAGTGCAAATCACTCACCAGTCTAAACACCGGCTGTCGAAAGTGAAATGTAATTCGTTAGAAAGAAACACATCAATAGTTATTCCTTTAGAAATATTCTCACAAGAGGAACATTTTTGTGAATGCGATACACTATCGTTGTTTGGGCGCAAAAGATCAGGAAATGGCTTAAAAAATTGTCTCTTCTTTATGCCCACAATTTATCCAAGATAAAGAAAACGTACATGGAGATAACTATAGATATAATTATTGGAAGGATGAATCTCGGAATCACGGCCAAAGCAGCAATCACAACGTAAAATTCAAAACATTTATTTATAAAAATTAGCATATACAACCACGGAGCGAAAAATCCATAGCATGGTTCCCTTATATACTGCAAAATTTTAATAAACTTTTTTTTCTATGGCCACGACGTTACGAAATAGTACACGCATACTTGGTCTTTGAGAAATGTTATAAATACGCCACTTTGCGCTGTCGATGGGCCCCGATGATGCTTGTTGAAGATAATGGCCTGTCTGTGTTCCCGGTCGATATGAATGTGTCGAAACTTTGCTGGATCTTGCTGTCCACGAAGTGCCCACTTCGAGCGAGCGATATGCCGATGCAATATACTAGTTAACAGATTTTTGATTTAAAACTTACACGGATAAATATTCTTCTATCATGTGAAAAGTGTAGAAACGGCGTGAAATCCAAAAATCATAACGTCACAACTTTACACTAGCATAATATTCATATATGTACACACTTTACTACGGCATGAGCTAAAATATCGCATCATTGTAGGTCTCTATAGCTGGGTTCTGTCGACACGAAAAAGTCGGAGAGGACAGAGTGTAGGTATTCAAATGTCGGCCTTTCTTGTGCGTTAGCTTTCCAGCAGTCGAGCATGATTTGGTACAGCGAATCTGGACAGTTGGGCGGGCAGGGCATGCGGTAACCACGTTCCACTTTTGCCAGGGTCTGGGCATTCGTCATACCCGGGTAGGGTATTCTACCATGAGAAACAAGCTCTGTGAGCAGGACACCAAAGGACCAGACGTCCGATTTGATGGTGAAACGGTTGTACAGGGCGGCCTCTGGTGCCGTCCATTTGATTGGGAATTTAGCGCCCTCGTGAGGGTTGTACTCATCGTTGATGACCAGTCTCGCAAGACCAAAATCAGCGACCTGAATAAATAGACAAAATTATTTTGTACTTTCGTTTAAAATTAAAACATTTCGTTTAAATGGCTTCCTATCAAAATCATCTCTAATATCAGTAGTTTACCATTGCAAAATTACTGCCAAGCTGCAGTTAAATGGAACCTCTCCTACCTCCTCTACATCCCTCCTATTCAAAGACCCTCCCCTAAAGTCTCTGTCTACTTGAATCCCCCCTCCCCACAACCCCCCCATCTCCCCACAACTCCCATCTCCCCACAACTCTCTCTCTCCACAACTCCCCCATCTCCCCCACAACTCTCTCTCTCCCCCACAACTCCCCTCCCAATACCCCCCCTCCCCACAACTCCCCATCTCCCACAACTCCCCTCTCCCAATACCCCCTCTCCCCACAACTCCCTCTCCACAACTCCCCTCTCCCAACAACTCTCCCCACAACTAGCCCCCTCCCCACAACTCCCCTCTCCCCACATCTCTCCTAACCCAGGGATGAGGTGATTTCATTATGTTAAAGCCAAGTGTTCTCTGGTTAGGACAATACACTCCCCACCTACCTTGCAGGTGTTGGCTTCGCCAACCAAGATATTTCGGGCGGCCAGATCACGGTGAATATAGTTTTGTTTTTCAAGATATTTCATTCCATCCGCAATCTGAGCAGCCATGTCTAACAGGACTGGCAGGCGGAGATTTCTGCCTTCGCCCTTCACCAGGTAATCCAACAGACTCCCGTGTTTCATCAACTCTGTGATAATGTAAATTGGTTCCGTCTCGGTACACACAGCATAGAGCTAGAAGATTATGTCAAATGAAAAATAAATTAGCAGTGCCTTCTCTAATGATGAAGGAATCCAGGGGCAAGGGCTGATGGCTGGCATTTGAGCTGATGTGTTGGAAAGGTACACTGGCAGAATATTTAAATCCTAGCAATTATTGTACCCGTTATTGACTGGCTTTTCCAGGCAAAATGTGTGTGATAACTGTATGAATAAATTTAGCAATGCTGGCTGTTCATGTGATTGATTGTGGATGAAAAGTAAATGCAAGGCCCTCACTGAGAAATATATTTATCAGCCACACACTGAAATCAAAACTAGACAAAGAATTACAAGATTTAAACCAGTAGCAGTTGGACATTACCTGAATAAGATGAGCATGTCTCAACTTTTTCATGATCTGGGCTTCAGCAAGGAATGCCTTCGGCTCCATGGAGCCTGGTTTTAAAGTTTTTATAGCTACCGGTGTCGTGCCATTCCAGGTTCCGGCCCACACCTCTCCGAACATTCCTTGGCCCAGTTTTTGCCGGAGGTGAAGGGATCCCCTTGGAATCTCCCAAGAGTCCTTCGTACTATACGCTAGTCCTCCTGTATCTGGCTTCTCTGTCGCAGGACAAGGTCTGATCAACATACAGCAGAGACCATCTGGTTCCTTCGAATAGTGCTGAACCAACTCATGAAGATTTGCATAGGGGGAACGACTGGTTATGTAAAAGCCCCCACCATCTAGACGCCGTATCCTGTAATGCTTCACCACATCACCTTCGCGTACAGATAGGGAATAGTTGCCGTGCGACGTCTCTGAATCTCGGACCAGGAACGTCCCTGTCGTGTTGCATTCTGCAAGCAGTTTCTTCTCAGCGTCCGCTCTTCGAATTTTGCCAAAGTACCACCTGTTAAATTGTTAGTAAATGCATCAAAATAATGCAGTTTGTAAGTTACATGAAACATTTTCTAACTGAAACAATGCAATACAACCTTGATTCTTGTTCCAACATCAGCAATAACATGTATGAAATCCAAAAAGCATTGAGTTTATGAGGTCAAATTGGTTAAGTTCCTGTATTAGTTTTGGTTTCAATTGTTCAAAAACAACTAAAAGTTTGGTCATAAATTGTGTCGAACCTTTTCTGCTGGTAACAAATCCGCTAATGCCTTGTAATGATCTGTTCGACAGCTTGTGACCGACCTGGCAGCTTCTCTAAGCACTTGTAATTGTATTAATGTATAATTTATATTGTATATTCTGTGAACACAAACACTCTCCATAGTGCTTGTGTTTTATATGTATCACACATTTTGTACAATCTCGCGAAATACAAACAGAGGAAGTTCTCAAAACACGTTTGGACAGCTAGCATTCTTATTTGTTCAACGATTTCAACGGTTAATACACGAAACTTTATAATTGACTTCTCGTTAACGACGTCAACGTGTGTGTTTCGAAGTAAGATTAATGTCAAAAAGATTTAAAACATGCATATTATTAAAATGGATGAAAAGTTGACGGATTTCTAATTCCGAAAGTCCGATCCGCGAGATTTTGGCAGACATGTGGACATATTATTTAAACCAGAGCAAACAACTCAATAATAATGCTCATTTTAAAGACAACAAGTCGCACACAAGTGCCTTTGCACTTCGTCAAACGTCGGTAAAAATCGGCCACAAATATTCAAAAAATTGACAATAATCAATCCTTTTTATATTGAAGCGACCAGGTTTCACAATAGATTCGAGCACAATTTTTCATCTCATCGCTGAAGCAGATATAAAAAGTAAGGCTTCAACAAACGACCAAACAAAATGCATTTGTAAAACAAAACGAAGACATAAACTTCCGGCACCAAGAATTGTTATAGGCCTACAAAACAAACGCTTTTCCCACTGATCTAAGCAGTATTTGAAAAGCTTTAAAAGCGAAATTGTGTCTTATTAAAGTACTTACTCTTCAGCGTCCAAACTTCTCTCGGCAGCAACATAATTACAAGGGATATATCCCTTGCGACCCGTCTTTAGCGAGCGAGCAAACCACCAGTCGCCATCGCTGTTATCAATAACTTGAAGTCTCTCGCCTTTCGAAAAGTTCAAATCTTCCGTGGTTCTCGCCGCGTAATCATAAAGGGCTATAAATACAGTCACCGTGTTTGTATTTCCTGGTCCTATACCCGTTGTAGAACTCTGTGAAGCAACGTTCACGTCTGAACCTAGTTGTGTCGGCTGTCCATTCGTCGTTGTAATCATCGCCGAAGGCTGAGGATTTTGAGGCATGTTGTCCTTGTCTTTTCGGCTCGATTTCGAGCGACAGCAGTTCCCCATGACTGCCTTGAAAGGTCGCGAACACCAGGAGAGAAATATGGATGTACTCAAGCAGGAAACCTTGTTTATTTAGCCATAACAAAACGGCAAAAATTCGCTGTAAAAATTTCTTGCCTTGACACAGACAAACGAAGAGGGTGGGTGATTGTCGTTGAGGTTATTTACTAGATCCAGATCCCCACGGTCAGACGCATGAAAATCTCTGAATAAAGCAAATAAAGCAAATGGTATCCTAAATTTCCAAAAGAATTCTCTTCCCCATTCAGATCCCTTCTCAAAGTGGATATTCCGACAGTAGAAAGAAAACTTGTATTTCTCGTGCATTTTTTCCATGTTTTTTTTTTCAACCGTAACCTAATCACAATCAATCGGCCATGTGCGAGTAAGTCATTTCCGCATAATTGTCCTCCACTAGTTATCGTTTAATAAACACCCTGGAATTACATGGTTGAAGTGATTCAAGTGTGACAAAACAAAACAAATCTTTTAATTAACTGTGCGTGTACTGACCGGTAGTATTCAGGAGCGTGAATACTATTTTCTTCAGTTTGGATGAACGCTTCATCGAAAATTTGGCAGGTTTGCGTTGTTTTAATATCAATGTTATCCACGTGATAACATTCAACATTTGAGGCTGACTATTAGGCCTACCTGGACTGAAATATCGATTATAAGGGGGTCCCTTTCCCTTCTCCCCCTCCCCCACAGAGAATTTGCGTTGGACATTCATTCCATTTGTCACCCGCAAAGCATTCTACAGAAAAATGGCTTCATGAGTTCATTTAATACTGTATTTGCAAACATGATTTGAATTAATTCAAGTCATTACAAACTCAGTCTCTATTAAGTGCCTCGTGTCTCTTGTGCTTATTACATAATTGCAATTAAATATTTTCCTTTGCTAAGTGCTAAAGTTCACAGACTACTATTTACAGTATCATTTATGATTCAAGAAAGCATTTTGCGGTAAACCATGAATTGGCCGAGTTTCATTCGATTCTCTGAAATTGCCTGAAGTATTTTCACTAAATTAAAGATATGACACATATATTTAAAAACACTTTTGCTAAGCCTACATGATCGTTTCATGTCGTAATTTTAATTGATTATCTAACATCACGATCGACAAAAAAGCATCGCTAAATTACGACATGAAAACCACGGTCACTCCAGGTTTGATATACGATGCAGTAAATACAATTTAGTTGTGAATAAAGACAATTCGAACCAAGCCATGTTCCCCGGGGCCGCCATATCCTGACTTTGTGTCAAAGCCGAGATTGACAGAGCCCCCACCGCCTGCCACTCCATAAGTCGAGTTACCCCACACACCAGCCCCGGTGTACCCCCCTCCCCCTCCTGGGTATTCCCAACCATAACCACCACCACCAAACCCCCCATGTGAACCAATATGAATCGTACCACCCCTTCCTCCGTTTACAAAAGACTTTGAATCAGTCCCTGGAGGGTTGGCGCCATTTCCGTCGCCTAGCAACCCCGCTCCACTTCCGGCATTAAGTACTGCTGTAGGGTCCTGTGTATCCAAACACAGCATTCCCCCATTTTCCACCGTACTGCTACATCTACTACCAAACAACCCTAACTGTCCTGGATCACCATCAGGTTTCCCTTCAATCACCTTGCATCCCCCTCCACCACCTCCGCCACCGGCAATCACAAGCGGGGTGTTATTACCGTACGTTACAAAAGATCCCCCTCCACCACCCCCTGGCCGATCACCGTATGTTATACCCATAATTCCTCGCTGTCCTACAAGAATTTTCAATAAGTCTCCCTGAGAAAGTAGAAATCTTCCGCTCAGCCTTGCTCCCAAGCCTCCAAGCTGCTTTGTGTTAGAAAAGCCTTTTTCACAAGAGCCGTTCGCGCCAGATGCACCACGTGACTCGATCTCATAGGTACCCGTATGTGGCACGAACCATTCCTGGATTCTATTCTGGATTGTTACCAGGCCTTCCAGAGCAGTGCCTTGGTAACCACTCGTGTCTGTAGGTCCATCAGCTCCCTCTGTTCCAAGATTTGTAAAAACGTAAGCTGAAAATATAATAATAGTTTTCCAGCTAGAATGAATGAGAGACTGCGGTCAAAATATTATTCTGGGTGTACTAGGCTGTCCTAGGATGTCTCAGACTGACCCAGATTGTCCCTACGTTTGAAACTGAAAGGCAGGGTAGAGCACGGTTTGTAAATGAGGCAGTCAAAGCGATTGCCGAGTTTTGATGGCCACAGAAGATCATCTGAATTTTGTAACTTTTGTCTACTTTTAACAATACTATGCAAAACGGAAGAACATACTAACTGACTTATCCAAAATGCACAATACTTACAAATCTCCTGAGGTTTCGGTACATTGGCTGCCTAAAACAATAATGAAACAGTCATAAGAAACTTGTCTTGAACAGAAGAAGAGAAAATGCAGCGTGGATATCACTGAAGATAACCACACGTAGCATATGCATGCAGCCCATAGAAATAATAGATATAGAATGCGTACTTATCAGTTATCACGAATACGTGTCCCACATTTTGTTCATGCTATGCCCTTATAAATGCGCCATCTTGAATCTCGCGAGGAGCGAGAAATCTTTCAAAAAAACTTTTAATTCAAAACTTAAATTTTGGGTAAAGGCATATTTTACAGTCAATTATTAGCACACAGAATCAAAAATGCCAAACCCAGTTCGGCATTAAGTTGCAAAACAGAAAAAAAACCAGAAAAACAGAAAAAGCGATAATCGACAATCGAGAAAGAGTCGATATTCACCGTTGAGCACACAAAAACAAACCACCGGCCTATGATGCCTATCGCCATATATATTCATTGTTATGTAGGAAATATAGTTAGTAGAGAATAATGTTTATTGTAATAGGTTGTCAATTACTATTGTCTAGCGAATTTTTCAACTGTGCTTTGTTTTTTAACGCTTTTCGCGTTTTTTACATGCAACCGTTTGTTTACATAAATTGTTATTTGGCTTGAACTTGATTATTTGTCCCATGACCTTGCTTTGATGCAACGATAAATGGTTAAAAACCTTTTTGCCTAGCTACGAAAAACATATCACTCTGTATAGATTTTTAACAGGTTTCCACGTAAAAACGAGCGATTTCTGCATAAATAGTTGAAGCCGTGCGAAGAGAAATGACTATGACTATATTTTATTTCGCTTCTCGTGCATTTTGTGAATAAAAAAGAACACATAAACGAGTTTAATACAATCAAAAACATAATTTAGCGTACCTCAGTACCGAAGGAGATCAAGTGTTAATTATGTACTCCATACTTTAAAAGTTATGCCATGTCTTTGTGTAGGTAATTTTCATTTTTCACACAATAAATACTGCGTTATAATGTGATTAATGTCGACAGCGAAGCAGGATTCCATTTTTTCCGTATTATGATTTATGTACGCTTGACACAAGATTGATCGAAAGCTGAGAACAGCTATCATACTCTATCAGACAATTCATGAAACAATGTAGTCAAAACCAAAACCAATGGACGACTTGCGCTTTAGACTAATTTTTGATCGAAGTAACTAGAAGAAAATAAATCATCACAGCTAGAAAGATCTTACTTAAATTAGTGCGAATGCAAAGTTTGGCTGCGAAATTTTGTAAAATACGGAAAATATAGCCATGCGAAGTTGGCAAATTTTGTATACTTTTGTATTACGTGCCGAAATGTGTAACTAAATTAGTTACACACTTCTGGCCGTAATACAAAAGTATACAAAAATCGACAACTTCGCATGGCTATATTTTCCGTAATTTACAACAACTCGCAGCCAAACTTGGCAGTTTCACTAATTTTAGTAAGCTCTTTCAGAAAATGTCCTTTTTATCGCCGAGGTAAGAAATTAGTTTAAAGCGCAAGTCGTCCATTAATGCTCCAGTGCGTGACAAAAACAAAAACAAAAACAAGCTTTTCTCTCAAACCATAGCTCAAACTCACTCATATCTCGCTCGTCGCGACCGCGCACAAAAAACTCCTCGCAGGAGTCTGAAACGAGGAAAAATGCCCTTATAAATCCGCCATTTTTGGAGACAAATTTTTATAAGGGAAGAGGTATCAGTACGCATTCTATATCTATTATTTCTATGATGCAGCCTCTTTCTCCAGGGTTAATACAGAAGTTTAAGTTCAAATATAATCATAAAAGCCCCGTTTGCACTACACCCAATTTACTGGCTACCCGTGCCCATTTCATTCGTGCTCGGCCTTTGTTTTGGTATCCGTAGCCTGAACTCTAATAGAATTGGGTACGGGTTCCCATTTCAGCCGTGCCGTGTCAATAAATTGAGTGAAGTGTAAACGGGGCTAAAATCATTAAGAATTACTCTATCAATTTTAGACTAATCTTCCTATAAGATTCACTGAGAGGTTAGTATCTATGTTATTCCAGTTTCATACTTTTCTTCTCTGAGCCATTGCCTGGCATTTTATTTCACTGAGAATAAAAATAAACTGGTCGAGTTTACCTTTTTTGCGACATTATCAAGTCGACTACCAAATATCGCTGCATGTTTTGCCACTAGATTAGTTTCAATCCCGTTTTTTATTGTTGCATTGTTGAGTTCACATTCCAAACCAAACAACGTCTCAATCAGATTCCAAGATTCGCAATCATCGTGTCTCGAGCACAGCATAGAACAGTCTACCTGTGACGTCACTGGCATAGATTTGATCACGTGATTAGGAAGAAAACGGCCATGGTATAATTTGAAAATGGAAGACTTGCACGTGGATTGTTTCATTTGGGAGATCTGCGTCAGGAATATGATGAAACTGGCTCCATATCTCCATAGAGATGTACTTGGAAGTGGTAAGAGTAAACAAATGATTCTCGCTAGCTAGAAATATATTTTATTTATTAGTTTCAAGAGAAATTTCATTGAAGTTTACTTTATGGATAAATAACCTTTTGCAATAAAAGGGTGATAGTATATATATTACATATATATATTACAGTAAATATGTTCCTACGGAGGTTCGGTTCATCTCTAAGCTTTTCGGCTATGTCCACATGCAGAAGGAAACATGAACTAAACTTTATTTTTACTTGATGGCTTCATCAGTTCTAACAAACTACTCTTCTCCTAAGGGTGCAGCAAAGATATTTTTTTATCCTGTCTTAATTGGTCCCATTGTGGACGGCAAACTATTACTTTGAGGATGACTAGAACCGTTATTGTAATGTAATCACACGTCATGCATGCATATGCAAGCACTTACAAGCAATAAGGTGTAATGAGTCATGAGAAAACAGGTTATTAACGACCAACATTGTGAATATATTACAAGCAAATATGGCATATTGTTTAGCAATACAAAAGCAGCTGCATGGTATTTGCCAATTTTTCATTTATCTACACCTACGTCGGTCAACGCGATCGAAGTTAAAGCTTCAGTTTATATATCCAATTTTGAAACAAAAATCTTTTCAAATTTTACAACCTAATTTAACGTTTATTCAGAACAAATTACACCAATTTACACGTAGAAAAAACCCTTGCCTGCATGGGGAGGAGAGACTGACTAACCAATCTTAATTTGCATGAGTTCATATACGGGCAGGTGGGATATTTCACTCAATTTCGACTCAATTTTTATGAATTTTGAATGGTACTTTCGTGCAATTCAGTCCATGCATATTGTATATTTTACATCACATAAGATTAGTGGCAATGCGAGGGAAATTATTGGAAAAATATCTATGTTCGTCTCATTGAACATTCTTAACACATAAATTAATATAATTGTTCATGAAACAGAACGCTCCTATTTCACATGCCATGAAAAATAAAATATAAAACTGTGACATGCCTTTTGCGATTTATGTCTGCACAAAGTATTGTTAATTCCCTTTTGCCTGTTTAGTGACAATTTCTACGCATGCGGTTATGAGTTCTTTTAAACGATCAGCTAGAATGAAGCATAAAATAGGGCATGAAATCTTGTGCTAGCAACAATGGGTTAGTTGCCATAAAGATCTCTTTTTTTCAGCAAAAATAGCAGTAACCTTTTGTCCGAATTGAAATGCACCATCTCCCTCGACCTAAAATAAGCATGCAAGGGCCCATGGGTGCATGCGTCAGTTGATAGGAGTGGAATTTGAGAAAAATTATGACCAGATTCATCTTCGCTATTCTACACCGATACCAGTTGCTTTTGCGCAGTGTTTAGGTCACTGAACGCTCTTACGCTCTCTTGTGCCGACTCAAGTTTATATCACATGAAACTTATTCCTCATGAACGACACATTTAATGGGGTGTCACACAGTGCCGTTTAAATTCATTGCATGCAAAAGACTGAACAAAGAAACCAGCAACCATCAGCATAAAGTTCGTACCTGCATTTTTTAACCCTCCAGAAAGACTGCCCGGCCCGACACTTTAAAAACAGCTATAGTCTTGTTTCTGTTAAATAAGGAAAATTTGCCTCTTTCAAGCTTTCGCCTCGATCGGAATTGAAGCAATGAGCATCAACAGCTGGCAACAAAGCCTTTTAAGGCTTGGTATACGGAACAGGCCGAACAGCAAAGTACTTTGTTTGATTAGCAAATTAAACAATATGGCTCGAATCGATGAGTTTTTAATGAAATGTTTCGACGTTTCTCGATGTCTTGAAGTATTCCATTAAATGTGGTTTGAATATATATTTCACGGTTTTACGTTAATATATAGTTGTCATTTTCTCTACGTGATCAATTAAAGAGGGATATTTGCTCACATTTTATTGTTGTCTCAGTTTCAGTAGTCAGTATTTGAAATGAGACGCGCCGTGTCCGCACGCTAATGGCCCCTCCCAAAAGCCTTTAGCGGGTTCAACATGATATATTTGATATATATATATATAGTGATATGTATATAGTGAACGATATTTCGTTCCTAATGAAACCTTGCACACCATCTATAAAGCGTTAATTCTGCCATACTTCGATTATTTCTCCCCTTTGTGGGATAATTGTGGAATTGTTTTAAAAGAACTACAGAGATACCAAAATAAAGCTGCGCGGGTGTCTCTAACCTTGTGCTTTATTGCATAATTGCAATTAAATATCTTCGTTTGCTAAGTGCTAAAGTTCACAGACTACTATTTACAGTATCATTTATGATTCAAGAAACTAAGAAAGCATTTTGCGGTAAATTATGAACTGGCCGAGTTTCATTCGATTCTCTGAAATTGCCTGAAGTATTTTCACTAAGTTAAAGATAAGACACATATATTTAAAAACACCAGTTTTTTGCTAAGCCTACATGGTCGTTTCATGTCGTAAATTGTTATTTAATTATCTAACATCACGATCGACAAAAAACATCGCTAAATTACGACATGAAAACCACGGGCACTCCAGGTTGGATATACGATGCAGTAAAAACAATTTAGTTGTGAATAAAGACAATTCGAACCAAGCCATGTTCCCCGGGGCCGCCATATCCTGACTTTGGGTCGAAGCCGAGATTGACAGAGCCCCCACCGCCTGCCACTCCAAAAGTCGAGTTACCCCACACACCAGCCCCGGTGTATCCCCCTCCCCCTCCTGGGTTTTCCCAACCATAACCACCACCACCAAACCCCCCATTTGAACCAATATGAATCGTACCACCCCTTCCTCCGTTTACAAAAGACTTTGAATCAGTCCCTGGAGGGTTGGCGCCATTTCCGTCGCCTAGCAACCCCGCTCCACTTCCGGCACTACGCACTGCTGTAGGATCCTGTGTATCCAAACACAGCATTCCCCCATTTTCCACCGTACTGTTACATCTACTACCAAACAACCCTAACTGTCCTGGATCACCATCAGGTTTCCCTTCAATCACCTTGCATCCCCCACCACCACCTCCGCCACCGGCAATCACAAGCGGGGTGTTATTACCGTACGTTACAAAAGACCCCCCTCCACCACCCCCTGGTCGATCACCGAATGTTGTACCCATAATTCCTCGCTGTCCTACAAGAATTTTCAACAAGTCTCCCTGAAAAAGTAGAAATTTCCCGCGTAGCCTTGCTCCCAAGCCTCCAAGCTGCGTTGTGTTAGAAGAGCCTTTTGCACAAGAGCCGTTCGCGCCAGATGCACCACGTGACTCGATCTCATAGGTACCCGTATGCGGCACGAACCATTCCTGGATTCCATTCCGGATTGTTACCAGGCCTTCCAAAGCAGTACCTTGGTAACCACTCGTGTCTGTAGGTCCATCAGCTCCCTCTGTTCCAAGATTTGTAAAAACGTAAGCTGAAAATATAATAATAGTTTTCCAGCTATAGAATGAATGGGATCATGCGAGACTGCGGTCATAATATTATTCTGGGTGTCCTAGGCTGTCCTAGGATGTCTCATACTGTCCCAGATTGTCCTTACTATTGAAATTGAAAAACAGGGTAGAGCACGGTTTGTAAACGAGCCAGGCAAAGCGATTGTCTTGATGGACACAGAAGATTATCTGAATTCCGAAACTTCTGTCTACTTTTAAATATACTGTGAAAACGAAATAACATATTAACTGACTTATCCAAAATGAACAATACTTACAAATCTCCTGAGGTTTCGGTACATTGGCTGCCTAAAACCATAACAAACAGTCGTAAGAAACTTGTCTTGAACAGAAAATGCAGCGTGGATATCACTGAAGATAACCACACACGTAGCATATCCTTGCAGCCAGGTATAGCCCCTCTGTCTCCAAGGTTAATACAGAAGAGACGAGGCTAAGTTAAATTTAGACCAATATGACCATAAAATCATAAAGAATTACTCTATCAATTCGAGATTTTAGTCTTCCTATTAAACGGTTCATTGAGAATCATAACCTAAGTAATTCCAGTTTTATACTTTATTAAACAAGCAAAGATTCGTCTTCTCTGAGCCATTGGCCCGTTGCCTGGCATTTTAATTCACTGAGAATAAAAATAAACTGCTCGAGTTTACCTTTTTTGCGACATTATCAAGTCGACTACCAAATATCGCTCCATGTTTTACCACTAGATTAGTCTCAATCCCGTTTTTTATTGTTGCATTGTTGAGTTCACATTCCAAAGCAAATTCCGTCTCAATCAGATTCCAAGATTCGCAATCATCGTGTCTCGAGCACAGCAAAGAACATTCTACCTGTGACGTCACTGGCATGAATTTGATCACGTGATTAGGAAGATAACGGTCATGGTATGATTTGAAAATGGAAGACTTGCACGTGGACAGTCTGGATGGGGTGATCAGCATTAGGAATATGAGTAGACTGGCTCCGAACTTGGATGGTATACTCAGAAACTGTAGCCGTGAACAAGCAATTCCAACGGGCTGAAATATAACACAAGGAGGCGATAGTTACTATAAAGGTCCAGTAAGGATCATCTCTTATTGAACCAGTGTTACTACAGGAGGAAACCTAAACTAAACTAACTTTATTTATACTGGATAGCTCTATCAGTTCTAAATTGTTCCTCCTGGAGGTCCAGTAAGGATCATCTCTTATTGATCCAGTGTTACTACAGGAGGAAACCTAAACTAAACTAACTTTATTTATACTGGATAGCTCTATCAGTTCTAAACTGTTCTTCCTAGAGGTCCAGTAAGGATCATCTCTTATTGATCCAGTGTTACTACAGGAGGAAACCTAAACTAAACTAACTTTATTTATACTGGATAGCTCTATCAGTTCTAAACTGTTCTTCCTAGAGGTCCAGTAAGGATCATCTCTTATTGATGCACAGGTCTCTGTATAAATCAGCCACTCAACATATACGGCAATCTAATTTATGAAACCTGCCGGAAAATATTTGAATTTCCATGTCGAGTGCACGCAAGCAATATGTAATTACACAGCAGTTATGCTATACCAATAGCGTCAATATCTGTCATGTAAGAATGCCATATTGCTTAGCAATATCACAGCAGCTGTTTTTAGTAATCTTTTTTTTTGTGAAAATTTATTTATTTTAAGTAGCCAAGCTTCGAATAAGAATAATGAAAGGTTTTCACAAGCCAATTTCTGTTTTTATTTAGCAAAGAAAATTAGTTATCAGGGGAAAATCTCAGGTTCAAGGAATCATGTCTATACATTAGCGAAGTTATAGAAATCTCAATCGCTTTATCAGGTATTATCAGCAATTTCACTTAATTCTGACACTTTTATTCTTGAAATCATTTAAGCTGTGAGGCACTCGCTTATATCTACGAAAAAATCTATATATTAAGTTTTAAAAACATATGCGTTGCAGGCTCTGTTGTATATCAATTGAGATATTTGCCATGTTTTTAATTACCCGTAGATGCAGCTAACTTATCAATAATTTGTCCTTCAAAATGTTTGCGAGCAAGCAAGTTTACGGCTACATAGAAATCCAGTATGTGGCTATATATAATCAGTTAAACTAGCGAGAGCTGGAGTTTCACAATCACGAAGATCCGGTGAAATATATAGCACTATGCCGGAACATTGAAACTCACAACTCTGGCAGCCCACGGCTGTGCGCAAGCATGCTGAACTTTTTATAGCATTTTAACGTCGTATCGAGCATTTTTATGTAAAATGAAATATTTGGCATCGTCCATGTCTTTCGACGTGCCGGTCCTATTTCTCGTGTGAACACAGTAGTTTAAACTTTGATAAGTACTTATGCACGGGAGTCTTATTTCAAACTCTCAAAGGACGTATATAATCTTGTTCTTAACAACAGCGGATTATATAATTATTCTCAAAAGATCAATCTCGTTTTTCAGAAAAGCTGTTCAACATACAATTAACCCATTGTTATCACTCGTCCACGCAACAACCACAGGCCAATCCAAAAGCTTGCAGATCGACCACGAATGAGATATTGGGGCGAAACAGCAGAGAATTTTTTGCAAATCGTGTAGTTTACAGTTTACTGTTCTACGCGTAATCATTTGCGCTCAGCTAAGTCTTAGACTTAGGGCATCGACTTTTTAATACAAAGCGAGTGAAATAGTAAACGGGACCTTCTATATATAGGCTTTTTATGACATACAACTCTCGTTCGAAGTATCTTTCTTACTAAATTATAGATACTTTTAATTAGGTATCAAACTGAGCCGTTTAAAATCTGAGTGCACAAAAATAAAGAAATATATAAGCTGCAATTAATAAAACCTCTTTCTTAATACATAAAAATGCTATATTATATATATGATTAAACAGTACCTGCATGTTTGACCCTTCAGGAAAAAATGCCCGTCAATCTCTTCAAAGAAATTGATTCTAGTTGAGATAGAAAATCTTGTCTCTATTTGAAAGAAAAAACGTTTCGACTGTGTCAAATTACGGCAATGAACAGCGACAGTCACAGAGACTCACATAGGTCATAGCATGAAATATAGAATTGTGAATGCATTGTTTGGATAGCAAATTAAACAAAACGGTTAAAACAATGAGTTTCTTAATGAGACGTCCTGTCGCTAGACGATATAAAAAATTTGTGAAATATTTGATTTCTACTCGGGTAATAAGCACTCGGCAGGTAAACCTGACGGAGAATCTTCAAGAATAAACAAAAAAATTATCGATGCTCTGTTTTCGTTGGGAAAATCTTAAAGTTTTTACATTTCTTGGTGGCAAATTTTCTACGTGACTTGCAGATGGCGCCATTTATTTGTCGGCAATGATTATTGATGTCAATTTGCAGAAAATAATTTAAGATGGACTGCGCCCGTTTCTTATCTTTTATGGCGGGAAAGAGTGCATTTCAGAGTTCACAGAAAGCCTAAGGTTGGAGCCTTGGGGCTTTAGCGTGGCCAGCCTGGGGCCGGTTGTTCGAAAGGCGTTTAGCTTAAACGGTGGATAAGTTCAAAATGGAAAACAAGATTATCGAACAACTGAACTGAAATATTTCGATGTAAACAGTTTAATTTTCAATGGAAGTACATATTTAATACAAAAGATGTATAGGTTCAGTCATTCACAAGATGTATGCCAGTATATTTTTAAATTTTGAACCGTTATCCACCGTTTAAGCTAAACGCCTTTCGAACAACCGGCCCCAGGCGACATGCTTCCACTATGCTAATATTTTGGCCGTGACCAGTTTTCAGTGAAAACAAACCATTTTTGTCAAAATAAAAAATGGCAGCAACGTAAAATTTTTCATCAAATGCAAGTGTGCATCACTGTACTGCATCGTATAGCATTTTCCCTCATTTGGCCAGCATTGTACATCGATATCAACTGCATTCGGGCTATCACTTAAGAATATTGTACTGCATGGTCCTGTTCTATAATGTACTGTATTGTACTCAAATGTACCGCATCTTACATCAGCACTGTGAAAGCAAATGTTTCTATCATGATGTATTTGAACTTTATTAACAATTTTATTTTACATTCTATTGTTTAAAATTAAAATTTAATTTCTATATCATCGCTTGAAGTAGCTGATATGATAATAACATATTTATTTTCAACTGTGTTTCATAAAAGTTTTTCGAAGCGTTCGAGAAGTCATAATCTTAAATCGTAAAGCTTAGCAATAAAGTGACTGTTGCAAGCGATTTTCTGAGAGATATAATGAAGAAACAGTTAAAAAAGGCCAGGAAGATAAAAGCTAGTTCACTTTGTCAAACCGATGATTTGTTTACGAATTACAACATTCAGGTACAAGCTAGGTTCACACCGTTTACCAAGATAAAACAATTCCTGTATGGCATGTGGCAAAACTCATGTCAATATATATCAGCTCTTTTAGCCATGGTTTTTTAGCCTTACAGAAATGCAATCATGCTATAGCCGATTAAAATCATTGAGTGTGCATCTAGCTTCAGATTGACTTGTCCCTGAACTGTCCATTTATTTAGCTTTTTTTAAAATGATTTTTTTTAAAATGCAAAATTAAAACACATTTTACAGAATATTCAGCGTAGCCAGTCATTAGTTCGTTCAGGCACTGGCGATTTAATCTCATTAATCCTTGGACTCATAACTCTTTCTCTGCATGTCCTCCCCCCGACCTTCCCTCTGCCCTCCCCCCTTCCTCCGAGATCTCCACAGTTCCCACCAGACCTGCTCCTTGGCCTGTAAACTTCTGAAGGTCGGTTTCAGTTCTCTCCCGGTCTCACTTCATCGTGATATAACGTAGTAAGGGACAACAGAACGCGATCACAGAAAACACAGCCCACCCAAGACCACCGATTAGAAACAAACTCTCAGTCACGCCGGCGAAGATGCTGCCCGTGTTTGTTGACAACGAGAAAAACTTGAACTTGAGTAGGCCGAGCGCAGGTGTCATCATAATGATCGCGTAGTTACTCCCGGCGAAAAGTGCCGCACAGGCGCGAATCTCCGAGCATCTCAAGTTTGGCATATTATCAACCTTAGACCATCGATAGAACGTCGTTACGCCTTTGTATAAACTCACGATAACGAACGAGACCATGTTGAAAACGACAAGCAAAAGCAGCTTCTCTTTTCGATCCTGTAGAATCTCTTTATCGTTACAGGAATCATCCTGCGAACATTCAAAACACATCAGACCGGCTGCCCCACTCCGTTCGGAATACAATTCGACCCCAAGCACCGACGCGGGTATATTGTAAATCATGCTGCACAGGAAACCGAACCAGAATTTGATATCGACGTAAAGTTCGCGTTTCTCGATGATAAACTCCGGGGAAATTGTGGTTTGATACAGCATCCAGACATAGGCGAAAAGAAAGCCCGTTATCAGAAGCCCGCCAACGCAAATGAAAAACGCGTAAGTGTACATGATGCCTTCGAAATGATCCAACTTCTTCTCATAATCCCGACGAATCCACGGACCGGTAGAGCAATCTAAGATGCTTCGTGTATGGTTCAGTTTGTACCCGTCGGCGTTGAAGAATTTCTCGTAGCGAGCGTGTGACTGAATCGCATCGAAGAAAACGCCTGTATCCATTCCCAAGTCAAAACCATAGATTATCAGAAAAAACACGAACTCTCGCGTCAAACCTTTGTTAAATTTCATTTCTTAAACCTCGCTCGTTCGTAGCCACAAACAGCTAGCTTCCAACGATTAAGTATTTCGACTAAAAAGCGAATTTAAGAGCGGAAATTCTAAGCGCAGCGAGAAAGACAACGGTTTGACATTCAAAATCAATTCGGAATCTGATGATCCTTAGCCCCGTTCTGAATAATTTATCAACCCAGTCGCGATCAACATTTTAGGTGGAAATCTATTGGCTGCTCGACAAGCTCTCCCATCCCCGAAACAATTATGTCTTGATTTCAAATGCAGATATTTCAATATTTTAACAAGGTTTAGACTGAAACACCTGCTTGCTGTCGCACGCTTACTTTGTCGTGATTGGTCGGTTGTTAAACGAGAAAGATCTGATTGGCGGTGGGGAAATGTCGCAAAATAACTGCAGAAGTGATTTTTTGTCATTTGGGGAATATATTCTCAAGCGTATATAGAGAAACTATTTCATTATTTTACTCGGCCTGTCTTCCGCTTGTTTCTTAACAAAGCTAAGTTATAAGTTAAAGATAAGTTCAAGATTATTATGATTACGGAAAATTGATCAGAGCCGAGTTTTCGAGCGATTGTCAGCCCAATATTGACATCTGACGGATCTATCTACAGATATGTATGATATGATATAAATTTAAATAATTAAGGCATATTTCACACGCGGATATTTACTTTTATCTTATTATTTACTTGTTTTCCGACAGTTCATTTGCTTTCAGATTCAAGATTTGGCACCGGCATTCGGTGTCGACTGTGAAACTTAACGATACACGAAGTATCTCACACTGTTCTACCGGTCCGTGGATTCGTCGAGATTTTGGGAAAAAGATGCCGGGGTCATTTCGAAGGCATAATGCACACTTGTGCGTTTTTCATTTGCGTTGGCGAACTTCGGATTCAAGATTTGGCACCGGCGTTCGATGTCAACTGAAAGCAAAGGAAATTTCAGGGCTACTGATAGCTCGAACTCCTACGAAAACACCAGTATAATTTTACCAGAAAGCTTGCTGCTAAAATGCTATTCGATTTGACAGTTTATACTATAGTTAAACTACTATAGTTTTTGTGGTAACAATACACTTGATATTTCTTCCGGGGGGGGGGGGCTTCGGCTTTACTTCACACAGCACCACCATTAAAAAGATTTAAAGTAGAATGGCCGGAAGTTATGTAAATTCTCGTTGCATCTGCTGTTTTGCCTTTCTTGCGCTAAATTTTCGCTTGGTGTAAAGATTCACCCACAGATTCCGAGAAAACTGTCTCCGTTTCATGCGAAATGACTCGGCTACTCTCATATTCAGTGATTATTGGAACGATATTGCACGTGATCGATGATGATGTAATCTCAATGTTCTGAGGGGTAGGACAATCTTGACATGTGTTGGCCAAGTGCTTTTCCATGTAACCTTTTCAATGCATCTTACGTTAGTTACGTAACCACTGCATGTGAGCGAGTGACTCAAAAACCGGTTTTAACCTGTTAAAACATTCACAAGCCAGTTATAATGTAGCAATAGCCAATACTGCATGACAAAAAGCAACCGTTGAAATTTCAACGACACTAGCTGCATGGATTTTGGAGTCAAGGGTTTTTAGCGAAGTAGTTTTTGAGCAATAATAAAGGTAAATTAGTATATATACCTGAGTTCCTCCTGTAGTAACACTGGATCAATAAGAGATGATTCTTACTGGACCTCTAGGAAGAACAATTTAGAACTGATAGAGCTATCCAGTATAAATAAAATTAGTTTCGTTTAGGTTTCCTCCTGTAGTAACACTGGATCACTCCATGGAGTAACACTGTAGTAACACTGGATCTTACAGGATCTCTAGAAAGAACAGTTTAGAACTAATAGAGCTATCCAGTATAAATAAAGTTAGTTTAGTTTTCTCCTGTAGTAACACTGGATCAATAAGAGATGATCCTTATTGGACCTCTAGGAAGAACAGTTTAGAACTAATAGAGCTATCCAGTATAAATAAAGTTAATTAAGTTTAGGTTTCCTCCTGTAGTAACACTGGATCAATAAGAGATGATCCTTACTGGACCTCTAGGAAGAACAGTTTAGAACTGATAGAGCTCTCCAGTACAAATAAAAAGTTAGTTTAGTTTAGGTTTTCTCCTTTAGTAACACTGCATCAATAAGAGATGACCCTACTGGACTTCTAGGAAGAACAGCTTAGAACTGATAGAGCTCTCCAGGATAAAAAGTTTGATTAATTTAGGATTATTTGCTGTCGTAAAATGGAAGAATAAGAGACGATATTTATCATTTTCAAATGAAACGTTGACAGACAATACAGCCCACTAACCTTCAGTGATTTTCATTGCAGACAGCTGACTATACACTCTCATTTGAGTCATTTCGTGCGTTGTTTTCAAGCGAAGGACAAAATATTCACCGCTGTAAGAAAACATAGAATGACTAACGAAACTATACTTTAAGTTTCATGAAAAAGCAGCCATTATAGACAGCACTTTAGTGCGTATTTCGTTCATTTTAAGTTGCATTCAAAGGAAATTCGATACGCTTATATGCTTGTTATTATTAATATTCTGACAACATCAATCGCAATAAATTTACATTGTCCGAGTTTGATTTGAATTTCGCTGGATTTAAACAGCGAATTTTGTCGCCGCTCACTTGCTGATCTGTAATATAAGCTACACTCATTTTACAAATTTGTCTGTACTGAAACTCTCAAAGGTAACTCTTACTCACTCTAAAATCGTTTTTGCAAAAGATTAGGTTGTTAAACTAACCATAAAGCATACCATCAACTTTCCTCTCCTCTGATATAGACTCATAATAGTTATGTAGTAATGGTGTGTGTTTTAAAGAAAATATTAGCTACTTTTTTAAAGATGCATATAGGAAAATATACAGGATAATGACGTGGATATACGGCACGTTACACAATGCTTATAGGTCTTGAAGTTTTAGTGTGTAAGGTCTTAGAAATCGGAAACTGAATGACACACCGAATACCTATATAACACGTCAAACATATAACACATACAATCACTGACCATGCAGTGTAAATTTTCACCAAAACATCTTCGTCCTGTTATTCATCTGAACGGTAAATAACTCTATCAAAACATGCAGCCAATAGATTTCTAAAACTCTAAATACTTAACATTTTTAGTATTGAGTTCTACGATGCATTCTAATCTAATATGGACGGCTATGGAAAAACCTCCCGGTAAGGCCGATATTCCTAGAAATTTTTCATTTCAGCACAAAATTTCTGTCGTCCGTCGCAAAGCTTCCTTTCTCCGCAAAGATTCCGCATTGACCAAAGATATTTCTCAAGAGTTATGATTATGTATTTATGCAAATATTTACAGCATCCCCCAGTGTCCTTTTGTCTCTGACGGGGTATTAAGTTAACGATGCGTCAGAAACATGTGTCGAGCTCACGTGTAGGATATTTTGCTGCGTTTGCACTCGTGCAGTAGCTCGTGACAGCGGTGCGAGGAAATCGCGTCACCCAAGTTAAATACTTGTCACGTTAGCTTCACACAGGCATTTGTGAACTGAGTGAAATCGTCCTCACGAAGGACGAGACGGCATTTCAGTAGGAAGTCTTTCTTACGACATAGGTGAATATGTTTTCTTGTCACTATATACATGAAACGGCATATGCAATGAAACGCTGCAATTCACTTGGAAGTACTCAGTCGCCTTCGACCCAACAAAGGCGAATTGACGAGGCGTTTAAACGGTACCGTAAAGCTTTTATAAACGGTGAATTGGACCAACAGAATCTCATCATCAATGAAATTGTCTCCAATTTGCTCTCCGCCGAAATGAGTAAGCTAGCCGAGGAGCAGATGGCTTACGGAAAGCAAATGAAATCTTTAGAACTAGAGGAGATTTTTACGTGTAATTCTTGCGAAGAATTTCTACATTTGCCGGTGACACTCGCTTGTGGACACACTTTCTGTTCGGATTGCCTGCAAAACTATCAATGCCAAGAGAAGACATTCTGCCCTGGTTGTGGACAGGATTCATCGGTTAGCTACGCGTCAAATATAATCTTGAGAGAGCTCTCTGTTACTTGGTTTCCAGACAAGACGTATATTCAAGAACGTGCTAGCAAAGCCAGGAAAATGCTACGCGAGAGACGATTGTCAGAATTCATGCAGCTGGTAAACGGTCTGATAACTCAGTATCCTGAGAATGTCAATCTCCTATACCTTCGCGCACGCGGGTATAGTTCCGAAAGGAATCTTTCCTACGCTCTGAAAGATTTAGATTTTGCATGCAGCCTTGTTCCCTTTGACAGCAAAATCTTTTACGCACGTGGAGAAGTTTTAGCGGCCTTGAATGAGAATGACGAAGCGATGTCGATGTTCCTCCGTGCCGCAGCTCTGAGGCCGAAGAACTCGGCGTATCGAAATGCGATGTCTTTACATCTCGAGAAACTTCTAAGAGAGGGTATGTATACAGGCAGTCGCTTCCCTGTAGTTCAAAACTTCAACATCGTACAGGAATCTACGAAACTGGCACAAAGAAGCCTCGCAACAAAATCCAAGCCAATTTTCAACGAATCGTTTACGACTGAGCAAATTTGGTCACATAGAGGACAATTTCGCGCAGAGAACACGGTAACAAATCTGTCGGAAATCACAGGCCAAACTTTGTGCAACACACACATTCCGTGTCGTAAAATGAGAGGCGCGGTGGCTTTAGCACAGACACAACGTCGACAGGTTACTTGTATCAAGGAAAACCAGTCCTCGCCTCAGGAGAAATCAAATAGTATTTCAAGCGAACTCGAATGTAAGCTATGTTTCAATATTTTGTTCGATCCTGTGACCACACCATGCGGCCATTCGCTGTGTCGTTCCTGTCTGCAAAGATGTTTGGATCATCGCTTTGAATGTCCTTGTTGTCGAAGCAATCTTCAGAACTATCTTGAACATTTAATGAAGGGAAAAATAGGCACCTGCCGAGTTCTGGAGAGAATAATTCAGTTAAAGTTTAGCGAAGAATATAACAGAAGGAAAGTTTTATACCAAAAAGAACTTAACGAATTTTCGAGGTAAGCTTATCTTTGATTACATAACAAGGTCGCGTATTCAGTCTGAAAGGAGCTGTTGAAATGGCGACAAGAATAGCTCAGTAAATCTAATTTATTTCATATGTTTTCAGTTTCGTTGTTTTTCATTAAAAAACCTTGGCAGACAAGCTCGGTTATATGTATCCAGAGCATACATGTTTAAATTAAATATATTACATACCGCACATACCGTATATATAATATATATTTAAGGGTCATTTATACTGGTACAAACGATTTTTCTTCTCAAATCAAGCTGAATTCAATTTGGCTTTTGTGTAAGAGAATATCTATTTATAGGCAGTCATTTCATTTGCTGGGATTGAAGATTTGGGGTATAGTTAACGATACGCATATAAATACATCATACATGTAGCAGAAATGAAAAACTCGGAGCTTTTTATAGTTATAGCTATGCAATATCGTATGGTCACATGCACGCAGCATTGTTGCCGGATATAATTCGACAGTGGCAGCATTTACATAACATTTGTATTGTCCACATCAGGTATTACGTAAAAACAACACTTTAACCACAATATCTTTAGACACTTGAATACCCACAAAGCAAAATTATTGTCATATGCACCTACAATCATGCTATTCATAAGCACGCTGGCAAAAAGAGTTAGGCACCTAAAAAAAACTACTCTGTTTTTACTAAATCATGATATCGCTGCCTTCAAACCTGTTCGCTTACAAAAACAATAGATTTTTTCGCAAGTATTCGCCATAACCTATACCTTTGGCTTATATAGACGTGCCAGTATAAGCCAGTTTAATTTAAATCTCTATTATGGAGTTTATATATATAAAAGCCTGCGTTGTAGCTACCACTTTTTGTCTAATCTATACTGTTGTTAGTTAAGCCATTTTTGAAAAGGAATTAACGGGCTTAATTCAGTAAAATCATAGTCTTTTTGTAGCTATCATACACAAAGTATTACGTGAATTCAGCAGAGCGAAAAATTTGCATGTAAAAAACGATAGCAGAACAATGTATGCCACAGGCTTATATAAAATGCTAGTGACGCCTTTCCAATTTTCATACTAAAAGTTAAACGAGTTAAACTCGTCAATAGACCTTTCTCCAATGGCAATGCGTGACGATAGTTGATTATCAAGGTCAATTTGAGTTGTGATTTAGCCATGTTCAGGCGCGAAGCAAAAAGAAACGGCAAGATTTTGTACAAACAAAATCGCTTCTAAGCTGAGCGATATCGCAGCTCAAAGACAAATTGCTTGATAATCAACTATCGTCACGCATTGCACGGTTATAACGATGCATTAACTGAAAGTTACATGCAGCAATATATATGAAATTGAAAACAGGCTGTATCATGTATTTTGCTTACGCCATCTGACGATTAATCTTACATAACATTAACATTTCATTATTTTCTCCTAGCTGTGGCAAGAATAATGACGAGATTCCTATATTTGTTTGTACCTTGGCTGTCCCCGGGGTTGCCTACCCCCTGCATATCTTTGAGCCACGCTACAAGCTCATGATTCGACGGTGTCTGGAAAGCGGATCACGGCAGTTTGGCATGTGCGTCGCGGACCCAGAACACGGCTTTGCGGCTACTGGCACGGTGCTGCACATCAGTGATGTGAAGTTTCTGCCAGATGGTCGCTCGATAATCCACACCGTTGGAACCAAACGGTTCAAGGTATTGGAACGTGGAATGAAAGATGGATACAACACCGCTAAGGTTGAATGGCTCCAAGATGAGATCGATGAAACAGATTACACGGAACTGAACTTTCAGGTCTACGACATGATGTCGCGATGGATTAAGAATCTTCCAAGTGAACAGCAAACTTGCATCGAAAAAGCGGTTGGACAAATGCCTGAGGTCTCTCAGAGTACCGCCAACCATGGACCGAACTGGTTGTGGTGGCTGTTGGCTGTCATGCCATTAAACACGGAGGCGAAACAGATAATCCTATCAATGAATTCCGTCACAGAACGCTTGTACAGTACAAAGAGGTTTCTAGCTATTTTATTGAACAGGTTGTGACTTACATACAAACCGTTCTACCAAATTAACTTTCAATGTAATATACTGAAGTGTGTCGATGTAAAAATGAAATCCTTATTCAATGCTTAGAATAAATGCTTATCTGTAGTAGCCCTCGTGCAGGGATCGCCCATTTTATTAATAGCTTTTTAAACGAAATCAATTGTCTTGTAGAAATAGCATAAATACGGCTGGATTATATACACGGTAAAATTATTTTTGACAATCATTTGTAGGATACACATATATGTTGCAAATAATGATCGCTAGTAATTGCTAGATTGATTGTCTATATTATCTATTATTACCATGTATTATATATGTAAGATTAAGAAAGGTAAAATAGATATTTATATTTTTATTTAACCGGAGGGCTTGTGCTATTCTCTGACTCGCATTTGTTTTTCGTAAGAAGAGATGCCTTCTCCCTACCTCACGCCCGCGTGCAGGGTCTTTCCCATTAGCAGGGCAGCGGTGGATTTACTAGGGGGGGAGGAGTAGGGGTTGTTTAGAGTGCAAATTTGAGTATGAATTCGAATCCGGGGCATTTTGTGCGAAACTCAGTATTTGAAAGATTAAAGTTTTCTAAGGCACTGACAGTCCAGTTGGTACCTTCATCATCTCATTTTTATAATTTTTCCAACAAAAATACCTTCTAATTACACTGCGGAAATTGGTAAGAGGAATTTCTGAATACTTGGGCTTCAAACTTGGTGAGAAAAAAATGTATAAATACTATAAACAAAATATGTCTTGCACAAAAGATTTGAAGCTTGCACGCGGCAAACTAAACGAATCTTCTAAATTAATAACCTTGTGTATCTTTTGGCCTCAAAATGGCCATTTCACAGCGGTCAGATGTGTATGATGAGCAGTCAAAAGATTGCAGAATGCGTATTCAGAAGAAATATTTTTAAAGTTATTCAATAGTTTTCTCTTTGCGACAGAAATGCACAATTGTGAACCAGTGATTAGATTTTTTGGTTGAAACTTCACAAACACCAACTCCTATATACGGTGTTGGTTCTAACATCCCTCCTAGGTAGTCAGTTTACCCTTTTACCGATGCCAGGAACCCCCTCCTACGAAACTGCCCCGGGTACTTGGCAATATATCAGAATACACTGGGTGAACATTCTCCGAGGAACGAACAGTCTAAAATTTGAGTCTCGCAACGAGACGAGTTTGCGGTGAATTTTTTATTGTATTTTGATGTAATTATCTAACTAGAATGACTCAGTTACGGCTTGCTAGTGTCGGTACGTGATTGAGTCGTGATTGCGCATCAAATGCAATGTTAAACCAAATTTCTGGGAATCATTCCAACTGAATAATTCCTAGAAATTTCGCGACACGGCCCTGTCAGTTTCAGGAATTGTGATTTGGTTCTGCTATGCTTCTTGGAAACCTTGTGGATTCTGAATTTGCCACCTCCATGAATCTTCGCCTATTAAACAAATATATTTTGTTTAATAATGCTTCGGCGCCTAAAATCATTGCTTGCTACTGGAAACCGCGCAGTGGAGAAGAACAAAAAAGGATTGGCACTAGCCGTCATGTTTCCGCCATCTTTGCTTCACTTTTCCAATTCGTCGCATGCGTCATTGCAGTGACCTCTAAACAGCAACTGGAGTGATAACTGTTTTGAAACACACAACAGGGACTTACACATTTCATCCAAGCTTCTTTCAGTTTTCCACCCGAGTTCTCTCTCAGCCAATGACGGGTCAGCGTAACACGTCGCCACGTCCCCTGCACGACGTCCAGCTATTTTGTAAGCAATCTTAGAAACATATATAAAGGACAGTGTTAAGGTCTGTTTCACACGATCCAATTTTGTTGGATCCAATTCACTTCTGATGGATGTTTTATAGTCCGTTGTCTTGTAATGTATATCAGCAGCGAATCCACTGAAGCCAATGCAGCAGTGCTGCTTTATCGATAACAGACTATATTCCATACGTCAGAAGTGAATTGGATCCAACAAAATTGGATCGTATGAACAGACCTTTACGAGAACCAAGAATTAGAAGATTTCAACAAACACGGACGAAGCAAAATTGCAAATTAGGCCTTCGAAATTGAACACCTACATCTCCAAAAATCGACAGCAGTGCTCTAATACTAAATAGGCAGTGCCTTCTCATAGGCCACCAAGAATCAGCGATGGCTATTGTTGGTGATAACTACGGAATAATGTTCCGCTTATTTTAAATATTTTTCTCGCCGGCCACAAACATTACCCACCTTTTTGCCAGAAGCTTTTTCAAACGCCTTTACCATTTCCAAGACGGATTGTCCACGACCCGTGCCAAGATTGTAAACCTATGTTGCAAATTTCAGTTGTTTGAGAACAGAGTATCACAAGAGGGGAATGAATGACAAAAGTGATTTACCGCAAGCAAGACAATCCATCTCACCTTAAATCCACAGTTATCCCCAATCATTTTCCTAAGAGCGGCAACATGACCCAACGCCAAGTCGACAACGTGGATATAATCACGCACGCCTGTACACAGAGCATATTTTATACACTTCTGCACAAACCCAGATTCACGATGGATAGCTCTATCAGTTCTAAACTGTTCTTCCTAGATGTCCAGTAAGGATCATCTCTTATTGATCCAGTGTTACTACAGGAGGAAACCTAAACTAAACTAACTTTATTTATACTGGATAGCTCTATCAGTTCTAAACTGTTCTTCCTAGAGGTCCAGTAAGGATCATCTCTTATTGATCCAGTGTTACTACAGGAGGAAACCTAAACTAAACTAACTTTATTTATACTGGATAGCTCTATCAGTTCTAAACTGTTCTTCCTAGATGTCCAGTAAGGATCATCTCTTATTGATCCAGTGTTACTACAGGAGGAAACCTAAACTAAACTAACTTTATTTATACTGGATAGCTCTATCAGTTCTAAACTGTTCTTCCTAGAGGTCCAGTAAGGATCATCTCTTATTGATCCAGTGATACTACAGAAGGAAACCTAAACTAACTTTATTTCTACTAGGGACCATTCATTGTATCAAACCTGTTCCATCAGGCGTGTCATAATCATTTCCAAAAACATTTAAATGCGTTCTTCTTCCGACGGCAACTTGCGTGATATAGGGCGTCAGATTGTTAGGAATACCCTGAATATAAGGTTGACTTTATCACTCGTTTAATCCAATGGGATAGCGAACAAGGCAGCAGCAGGAACTACTGATACCCTTGTTTGTTAAACTAACAGTGCTTTTCAAGTAACGAGCAAGATGATGTGAATTCACCAGAATCTCAGGTGCATTGTTTCAAAAGAAGAAACGGCAAGAATTTTGAACAATGAGATGAAAGGGACTATATAGTAGAGAGCATTGAAATGAGGATACCCAACAGCTCTTGTTTGGTATGAAGCAAGCAATTTCACTACATTGAACTGCCGTCATACAAGAGCATGATTGTTTATACCTGAGGATCTTCACCTATCGTCCCAGATTTGTGTGCGCCAATTGGATTAAAATACCTTAATGATGTCACATTCCAATCCTAGCAAAAAAAGAAATCCTGAAATATATTTACACTCTTGTCTGCCAAATATCAAATATACCTTCATATAAATTATACCTTTTGTGCAATGACAACGTCTTTAAGTATTTCTTCAATAAAATATTTTGTCTTTCCATATGGATTTGTGCACCCACCCGCAGGGTGTTTTTCGTCTAAGGGAAGATATTGTGGGTCTCCGTAGACTGTTGCCGATGATGAGAACACTATATTCTTTACGCCATGTTTTTTCATAGACTGTTAGATTGAGATAAACACATCAGATTAAGATAGATTTGTGATGTCAGATTGGGATGGACTTGTAACCTTGAGATAAACACAGCAGATTAAGATAGATTTGTCAGATTGGGATGGACTTGTAACATTGAGATAAACACAGCAGATTAAGATAGATGTATTTGATTGATACAGCATTTGTTAGATCAAGAAAATCATGCCCAGAGTTATGTAAACTTAGATTACAATAAACTCATTGGCTTTAGAAAGATATGTTTGACTGATAGAGATATATGAAGATGCTGGTTTGCATATTAGTTTCAAAAGTGCATCAGGCACAGTTATTGCAGAAAGAAACACAAAAATTGTTTGGAAATCATCACATCACCTCCAGTAAATGGATTGTCCCTTGAATATTATTATTGTAATATTTCAGAGGGATTGACACAGATTCCCCAACAGCTTTAAGACCAGCAAAATGCATGACTGCACAAAATTTATGCTAAAAAGAGAACAATTATTGTGAAAATCAGCAATTTTAAGCCTCTTGTAAAATCAAATGCATGTTAAAATGAGAAATCATCTCATTTGTTATCAACCACCTTTTCAAAAACTTCTTCTAAGCTTTTCTTGTCTAGCAGATCAACTTTATAGAAAATTACTTCTTTCCCACTGATTTTTCTTATTCTTCGGATGCTTTCTGAATCTCAAAAGGGATATTTTTATGCCAAACAATTAACCTATGGGCTATCAGCTCATATACAACTCAATTGTTAAAAATATCATGAGGCAAAATATGCTACCTTTTTTCTTTAATTTATAACAATAATAGATAATAGATTTACCTTCAGAAGAATTACATAAATTATCAATAATAACAACATTATAACCAGCGTTCAACACTTCAACAGCGGTATGGCTTCCAATAAAACCAGCCCCTCCAGTAATTAGAATAAGATTATCTTCCATTTTTCATTAATCTGAAGAATATCAACCTATAACAAAAGATAATTTTGTTCGTACCTAACCAACTGCTTGACCCAAACATTTCATAGCTAAACAACTAAAAGACAACTTTAGGACAAAAAATGAAGTACTGATAAGACACTTCCCTTGCTGGCCTGGTTTCTGAGAATAAAAGGTACCTGATAGCTAGACCTTTTCGTGTTATGACATTATAGACATGCAGAAAGTCTGATATCAAATGAAATTTGATTGGCTCGTTAGCTTTGTGTGGCCAATCAAACCTTGTGTGACATCAGGCTTTAGGTATTTGATATCATTACAAGAAAGGTCTTCTAAGAAACGATTTCAACCATCCTCAATATCAAGCTATTATGTTTTTCTAATATGGTCTGTATTGATAGAAGTCTAAGGTCAGGGTTCCAAGTTACTTAATGATAAATTTCTAAACACCCTTATTTCATTAGTTGAACATACAGATATTGAATGTTTGTCTTGAGACAAACCTTACCTAAAAAACGTTCAAGGACCCTTCATAATGACAGACTATTGCTAATAATCACTTACTGTGATATCGCTACAATTTGTATGGTATATAAAAAACTATATATTATACACATGAGGTTCATTCGTATCCTATGAGACTCGCTACCTAAATAAATGAATCATGCTTACCTTTATTAGCAAATCACAAATGATGCCCTTGTAGTTTCTTGTAAAAGCTAAACAAATCTACGGCTATAGAAATTTTAAGAAAGTGTCGACGTGTCCAGGACAACCTTCAGTAAAAATACCGGAAGTAAACTGACTCGTAGTTTTATACTGTGGTTTTAAATTACAATGCATATTCTATATGATTTGTTTTTTGTCTACAAAATCGTCGAACATGTGAAAAATATTCAAAAATATCAAAACCAAAGTCTAAAATCAGTAAAGACGAACGTTTATCGTCGATAAAAGGAGCATTTTCGACCCTTCCCGTGTGCATGAAGCGGTTATACAAAGTCTACAAAGGCGGATTTATCGACTTATCGTTATTCACATATTTAATAAATCGATTATGATTTTTTGGCACTTCACTCGATGTTAGGTAAATTCTACAGGTTCAAAGGGTCATCTCTAAAATTTTGGGTGGAATTATACACACTTCGAACTCAAGCCAGGAACAGTTGATGGAAAAACGAGTCAACTATCGAGTATCGATCCTCCGGTAGGATCGAACATGCCCCCCCCCCTTTCCTCTCTACCTCACCATTTCAGAGCTAGAGAACCGTTAAGTGTATAAAAGCTCGTCGCCGAGATGAAAAGCTTTTACACAAATAAATGAAGCAAACTAAGTATGAATACAAAAAAAAATTTACGATCTTGCTTTTAGAAAAAGCTTCGCGATTCTCGAACTCATGGCAATAAACTATGAAGTACATGTTTTCGACGGGTCCAAATTTCCGAAACGGAGGCCATATTTCCTTGGAAATACGGCCCGGGGAGAGGAGCAAATTTTGGGGGGGGATTTTCTTGGACACTGTGTACGAAATTACTTACGTGGTAAAAAAAGAGCGTCTTGATGAATTTTCGTAGTTCTATAATCTATATATCCGTCAAGACGAACTACCCATTCAAATTCGTCTATTAATAGACGAACTATGGTAATTCGTATTAACGGATAATCTGGTCTGTTTGCCAATGTCTCAGTATAAATCGGGGCATTATTGCGACTATGAAATCAGTCTCTTATTGACAATGAAGTCTCTGACTGGAACGGTTGCTTAGTCGCTTGTTTTGTTTCACTTTCAGTGTATTTTAGCCGCAAATCTCAGTTGTCAGGCGTGTCCCGTGGTAGACAAATATACTGCTAGGCCTCCTAGGAAAAATCCCTGTGAAAACAATAATCACAGATTCCTAAAAGTAGTACGTCACTAAACATAATTATCTCCACCTGGTATATATTCGCTTGCATAATTGCCTCAGTGCAAAGTGATTTCTTCCCTGTATCCCTCCATTACACCAAAATGAAGGCTTGCACAATGCTGTTCGAGATCCTCGTGCTGCTAAAAATCGTTTATATCGACGCGCAAACTTGCGACCAAATCAAATACACAACAATCAACGACATTCGTCGCAGCACGAAGTTTCAAGCTAAACCAAACTCCAAAATATGCGATCGCAACTTCATCAAAGACGACAACTGGTATCGATTTGACAGTGTGGCTGGTAATACAATACCAGACCACAATCCTGGCATTGGTTCTTGTGGTACGTTCGTTCCAATTTGGTTTAAAGGCACTCATCCAACACAAAATAACGTTGTGAAAGACGCCAAAGCCTGCGCTGCCTTACCATACATACTTCCCGCAGGATGTGGTCGTTCTTACGGCATTAAAGTAATAAAATGCGGTTCATTTTACTTGTATCGTTTGAAAGAGCCTAGGAATTGTGATTTTGGTTACTGCGCTGGTAAGAGAAGTCAGTATTCCTTTTCTAAATAAGTGTTTAAGTAGGAAATTGTCATGAAGGTTAAGATTAAACTCGATCTAAAATATTTCGTTTCATAATAAAATGCTTCCTAGTAATTTGCAAACCGGAAATCTTCAAATCAAAGAGGAAAGCTCTTTCGCATTATGAGCATGAATCTGATTTTGATACCTTGATTTTGATTATTTAAATTTGAAATTCCACTGTCCATAGATTGCTTCTGCATGATAAAGGTTGAGTATCCAATGAGAGGTTTCATGACTTTTTAAAATTTTAGTAATCCTAACTTAACCTCTTAACCTGGTGATATCAGTCACTGATGTTTTAGATTTTATTTTAATACTCAGTGGCAGTCATGAAAACCCTTGACCGCCCTTGAAGGTTTGCTTCGCTGTTAGGTAAATCATGCACTATACAAGTGATAAGACATCATCAATCTTTTTCGTCGCGTTAATCCTCATATGTCAAGAGTCTGTAACACAAATAATTTTGGACGCTTATAATTAACATATGATACGATTTTCAACTTTTTCCCACTCCATTCTGAAATGAGACACTACAATAGCGTGCTGCTAAGATTATTTACCGATTAGATTGGAACACTCCTAGCGACCAAGTGTTGTCGAAGGCTAATTGGAACACTATTAGAGACATGAACTCAAAACGATTGTTATGCTTTGCATATAATTGTTACTATGGTCACGTTCCAGAACAATTGGAATCCATAGTTAAAAAAAGTAATTACACATATGATTTTAGAAGGAAGTTAAGTTTAGTATTACCAGTGCCTAAATCTAACTATCTTAGGAATTCAATATCCTTTATAGCGGCTAGTCTGTGGAACTCTTTATCGAATGAGCATAGGGCTTCAAATAACATTACTAGTTTTAAAAAGACTTTAAAAACAGTTAAATATTAATCTATATATTGTTTGCATGGGACTGAATAAATAGGGGTTTTTTTTATATAAAATAGATTAAATGTTTCTTAATTGTAAACACACGACCACATCAGTACATCTGTAATTTTATCGTGTTTAAATAAATGCTTTAGTAGTAGTAGTAGTAGTAGTAGTAGTAGTAGTAGTAGTAGTAGTAGTAGTAGTAGTAGTAGTAGTAGTAGTAGTAGTAGTAGTAGTAGTAGTAGTAGTAGTAGTAGTAGTAGTAGTAGTAGTAGTAGTATAGTAGTAGTAGTAGTAGTAGTAGTAGTAGTAGTAGTAGTAGTAGTAGTAGTAGTAGTAGTAGTAGTAGTAATAGTAGTAGTAGTAGTAGTAGTAGTAGTAGTAGTAGTAGTAGTAGTAGTAGTAGTAGTAGTAGTATAGTAGTAGTAGTAGTAGTAGTAGTAGTAGTAGTAGTAGTAGTAGTAGTAGTAGTAGTAGTAGTAGTAATAGTAGTAGTAGTAGTAATAGTAGTAGTAGTAGTATTTACAATGCGACAAATAGGGTCTAGAGAAAAATCACAAGTCCCTTAGAGGCTTTTAGACCAGGCTGAAGTAAAAATCTAATAAGAAGTATTTTCAGAAAAAGCAAAAAAAATAGAGTTTGTTTTGATGTGATGAATAGAGCCCGATTTTTGGCGGTGTTTCATACCCCACACACCCGCAGTTCTCTGTACGTCCTTGACTATCAATCTGATTCCCTCTTATCTCCGCATTATGTTTAACGTTAAACGTATTCTGTCGACACCTTGTCTCGATCCGAAGCCTTTTCTAAATGCTCGCAATAATGCTCCCTACCCTAAACAAACCACATTCCGTTCATGTTTTCTTTAAATCTCGTCTTTCGTATTTTAGGGACCAAGTTACCGAACTCTTCATGTTCAGCTACTGGTGAAAGTACCCTTCCTGTTTGTCCGGGTAGGTCATTTAGTGATCCCATGATCACCTTGAAAAACTAAAATAAATACGAACATCTTTAACGGAATATTATGAATCTTATCTTTTGAGGACATACTTTAGCGTTCAAGCGTTGAGTGCGAGAAATTTTTCACGATTTTTCCGTTCTGAAACGTTACGTTTATTAGGATGAATTTACTCCTCAAATGGTCTGTTGATTCCAAAAAGATTGCTTTTCAAGTAAAATCATAATTTTTAAACCCATTTCAGAAAACTCAAAGTACCCTAAAACGTCATCGTGAGAAAGGCTAATTGACGAAGTGTTCCTTCACGAGTTCACGGTGCAAATAGAATTCGTTCCCGGCCCGTAGGCACATACACTGCAGTTTCCTGCACCGTGAGAGTGTCTTCAATCAGAATTACAGTAAATTGTAACATAAAAGTGGAAATTAAAGTGTAAAAAAAACGAAGGCTTGTCGAAATGACGTGTCAAACGTTGACATATTTCCTACAAAGTTGTACGTTTCGCGCCGAAAACGTGAAGTAAACAACAAAGAAACAAAACGTTTCAGAACGCAAATGGCAGTATCTTTAACATAAATGCTCCCCCCAATACGGGTTTTTTTTCAACACAGACATCTTTATAATAGACATCTTTCTAGTACAGACATCTCTCTAATACAGACATCTCTCTAATACAAACATCTCTCTAATACAGACATCTCTCTAATACAAACATCTCTCTAATACAAACATCTCTCTAATACAAACATCTCTCTAATACAGACATCTCTCTAATACAAACATCTCTCTAATACAAACATCTCTCTAATACAAATCTCTCTAATACAAACATCTCTCTAATACAGACATCTCTCTAATACAAACATCTCTCTAATACAAACATCTCTCTAATACAAACATCTCTCTAATACAAACATCTCTCTAATACAGACATCTCTCTAATACAAACATCTCTCTAATACAAATATCTCTCTAATACAAACATCTCTCTAATACAGACATCTCTCTAATACAAACATCTCTCTAATACAAACATCTCTCTAATACAAACATCTCTCTAATACAAACATCTCTCTAATACAGACATCTCTCTAATACAGACATCTCTCTAATGCAAACATCTCTCTAATACAAATCTCTCTAATACAGACATCTCTCTAATACAGACATCTCTCTAATACAAACATCTCTCTAATACAGACATCTTTCTAATACAGACATCTCTCTAATACAAACATCTCTCTAATACAAACATCTCTCTAATACAAACATCTCTCTAATACAGACATCTCTCTAATACAAACATCTCTCTAATACAGACATCTCTCTAATACAAACATCTCTCAAATACAAACATCTCTCTAATACAAACATCTCTCTAATACAAACATCTCTCTAATACAAACATCTCTCTAATACAGACATCTCTCTAATACAGACATCTCTC